AGCGCCCAGCGCGTTCTTGACCGATTCCAGAGCGGCGAGGCGTTGAGCATCCGACTCTTGCGTGACGATGTGCGAGCTGGGAAGCGAGGGGGCGATAGAGACCTTCGGGATCGAGGTGCCGTAGCTGCGAGTCCCGACAAATCAGCGTTACGCGGCGTCCGGAAGAAGGTCGGAAACGCACCTCTCGCCAAGCGGCTCGTCATCATCGTCGAGCAAGCTCCTGCCCGTCCCGCTCCTCGGCTCGCCAATCGCCCTGTCATACCCCTCAGGCGGCATCGAGTACCCCTCTTCATCGACCCTCGCCGTCCCAGGCGTCTCGACCGGCTCCGCGCTCATCGCACTCGCATACTGCGGCGACGACGAAGCTCCAGCACGCTCATCAAAGTCGCTGAGCTGCGTACCCGCCCGACTCGGGCGGCGGAAGAGCGATCCGCCAGGCATGAGCGACTTGCGCTTCTCCTGCTGCTGGCCGCTGCCCGTGCGCTGCGGTTCAAGCGGGGGCGGCATTCCTCCTCCCGACGGACCACCACCGAGCAAGTCACTCGACCCGCTTGCGTCCGTCTCCCTTCGCTCCCCCATCTCCGGTCGCGGGACGGGCGGCGCATCGCTTGGAGTCGAGAAGGAGGCGTATTTCGCTGAGTTGGGGATCGAGGAGGAGCGGTCGCGCGCTTTGGAACCGCCGAGGAAGGAGGAGAGTTTGCCGCCGAGACCGGACTTGGATTCTTTCGTCGAGCGAGAGTCGTCGGTCGTTGGCAGGGTGAGAGGGGCGGCGGGAGGGGGAGCGTTGCCAGGGCGAGCTGTAGCGATGGGAGTCAGCTATGGCAAACGTTCGAGAAGATGCGGATAGGCAGGAGACGCGCGACGCACACATGGTCCTCGAGCGCTCGACACCCGTCGCACCGCTGACCGTACTGGCCGCATCATCCCTATCGAGGCAGCTCCCGCCCGCCGCCGAGCCGAATCCACCTCCCGCGCCACTGTTGACGCTCGCCGTCTCTCCAAACTCTCCAACCGGCGCTAGTCCATTCCTCCCCGGTCCGCCCGCCGCTCCACCTCCCAACTTCATCCCCTCCCTCAACGCCCACTCCTCCGCCTCTGCACTCTCATCGACGCCCAAAACACGAACAAGCAACCGCTCGCCCATCTCCATCCTCTCCCTGCCCAAATCACTGGCGATCGTCCCGCACTTGACGAGGCATTCTTTGAGGAAGGCTTGGTGGGAGAGGTCGAGGGCTTGCGATTGGTTTAGGAAGGAGGGGAGGGAGGAGGTGAGAGAGGAGCCGAGAGAGGAGAGGGCGGATTGGGATTGGAGTTGCTTTGAGGAGGCGGATTTGCCGGACTTAGTCGACTTGGCTTGGGCCTGCGAGGCGTGGAAGGAGTGTGTTAGTGGGGAAAGGGAGGAAGGTCGCGCAGAAAGGAGAGACTGGAAGAAAGCGGGTGATACTCACCTTCTGCACCTTGTCGACGAGGCTCTCGTACTCCTTAACGCTACTCGCGAGCTGTCCCTCTGCCTGATTCCATCTGGTCCACTCCGTCTTGCCCAGCGAGCTCCTCAGCGGTCCCGCAACCTCCTTCTCCAGCTTGTTACGCCAAACGTCATGCACGCGCGCCTGCTCAACCACCTCTCCCTCGAGCTGCTTCTTCACACCACTCCATCCACCGCCAAGCTGTTTCTCCAGCGCCGAGTCTCCCACTCCAAGCGCCTCAATCTCGCGAAAGACCGTCTCCTTCCCCGCGCCTTTCAAGCGCTGCGAGAGCTTGTTGAGCGACTTGATGTAGGCATCTTCGAGGAGGATCCGTTCGTGGAAGTACGAGGCGAGGTCGGAGGTGAGCGCGCGGGAGAGGGAGAGGCGCTGGTCGACGGCGTGGAAGGTGGAAGAGGGAGAGCGCGATTGGGAGAAAGCGTCGGCGTAGAGGGAAGGGTTGGCTGACATGGTGGGCTGCGTGGAGTGGATTCCCTGGAGAGGATGAAGGGAGGAAGGAAGGGGGAGGCCGAGGACGGCGAGAGGGGACGGACGCAAACGGGGTCAATCGGGGCGACGAGGAAGCTCGGGAGGCTGAGCGCACCTGGACTATGTCTGTTACACTCGGACTAGTCGATGCGCGGCCTCGCACGGTCTATCTAGGCGGTGTGCAGGTCGAGAGAGTGGTCGGAAGGTGTGGTGGGGCTCGGTCCGCGAGGAGAGAGCGAGAAGGAGCGGTGCGGCTTGAGCAGTCTCACACTATGGACGTCTAGCAGTCTCGTCGACCTCAGCAGAGCTCAACAGCGCTCAACGGCCTGTGCGAGTTAATGTGAGGAGGAGAAGCGTCCGTCGTCATGAGCGCTGACACCCCTGGCACCGCAGATGTGCGGCTTGTACTGCCAGCTGTCCAGTTAAAGCTTGATCAGAATTGTCCAGCTGCAAGCGAACCCCCCTGAGCGACTTTGAAGGACCCCATCTCGCTCGCGACATCCTCTCTTCAGCACCACACTCTTACGGCTGAGCTTCTTGTCTTCTTTAGCTGACTGGGCGTGTGCAAGGGACTACTACAGCTCTGCCAGCCGACTCAGGGCCCGCCCGCACGCCACTCCTCTTCTCTCGCCCTCGACTACTCTCCCAACTCATCCGACGGCGAACACGACTCGCAGACGACGGGAGACTTGCGGTGGACTGAGGAGAGCCTCAGTGAAGGAGCACGAGCACAGCGACCACCGCCATGAGCGCACCCTCGACTCTACCAGACCACCTCGCCTACCTCTCAACTCTCGTCCTCGTCTCTCGCGCTTCCGCCTCGTCCTCAGCAGCCAACTCGACCAGCCCAGCCGGCTTCACACACGCGCGGACACTTCCGCTTCACACCCTTTCGCACCTCCTGCGGTCGTACCTCCACCTCGTCGCCTCGGCTGCTGTCGAGAGTGCGAACCAGGCTGGACGAACAAAGGTCAGCTTGTGGGACGTGGGAGAGGTGCTCGATGAGTATGGGTTCCGAGGAAGGGCAGGATTGGCGGAACTGAAGGAGGAGGCGGAGAGGGGACTTGACGGTGTTGAGGAGGAGGCGGAGCAGCTTGCAGATCTTGCAAAGGGCTTGCAGGGTGCGTTCCTTTCTTTCAGCTCATCCACGTCAGGCTGACGAGCTCTTGGACGATAGACCACCTCGCCCTGCCGCCGATCCAGCCCCCGCTCTGCCAACTCAGCTACGACCCGCTCGGCCCATCCGAACTCTCGCTCCTCTCGCTCGTCCAGTCTCTCCCTTCCGAAGACGCCGCAACACCTGGCGCGACGGACGGCTCGTCCTCCTCAGACGAAGAAGACGAGATCGCGTCTCCTCCGCCGACCCAGCCGCCGACGCAGGAGTCGGTAACGCAGATCAAGCCTGAACCAAGCTTCGATGCGATAAACGGACTCGAGTCGTTCGGGCTGGGAGATCTCGGGTCGCTGACAGGCGGGGACACCAACTTCTTCGATTCTCTCCCCCTTGGTTCCCTTCCTCCAACATCTCAAGGAGCTCCCGCAATCAACGGCATCGGCGACATCACCGCCTCGGTCTTCCACCCTCTCGATCTCGCCGGCCGCCCAATCGCCGACCTTTCGCTCCTCGGTCCCGCCTCACTCACCTCCCTCCCCTTCCCCATCGACGAAGAAGACACTCGCCCCTTCCCTGCCTGGCGCGACCCCACACAAGTACCCTCCTATGTCCCGCCTTTCTTCCCGCCCTTTCCAGGGATGGAGCGCGAGTCGCCTGAAGCGCTTGCGAGGCGGCGGCGGCGCGAGCGGGAGCGTGAGAGGGACGCGTTGGAGGCTGCGACAGGCCAGCAGCAGCAGCAGCAGGGTGCGGGCGCGACGGTCAGTCGTGCGGCAGCGGCGTTGATGCTTGGTGCGGGAGCTGGAGGAGATCCGTGGCAAGAGGCGATTCCCTACTCGGCGAGCAGTCTAGCGACGATGGCGAATGAGTTTGGACACTCGTTGCCGACCCCTTCGAGTCCGCATAGCGGGAAGGGCGGGAAGGACTTGCCAAACGGAGGACCGGGCGGGAAGAGCAGGAAGAAGCGACGGAGGAGCTTGTCGCCGCCGCCTTCGACTTCCACTTCGCTCGCCGCGTTCGAGACGATCCAGCCTCTGATGCCGCACCAGCCTTCCTTTTTGCGGACGAACCAGCTGCGGCGAACGGCGGCGGGTTACATCGCGTACAATCAGCGACACCCCGAACTCGCCATCTCGTCCGACTCGCTTTTCGGCTCGCTCCCGTACGCGCAGCCTCTCCGACAACCGACGCTCCCGCCCGGATTCCTTCCCGACTTTGCGCCGCCCCTCATCCACCCTTTCAACACAAACCTGCCCTTCACCGTCTCGAACCCGGTCCCTTGCCACCCCGCCGCCTCGACCTCGATCCTCCCCGCTCCCCCTCCAAACCCTCGCATCCCGACCGTCCTCTCCTCCATCGCGCGCGAGCTCTCCTTTCCTCTCCAGTTCGACACCCGCCCCGGCATGCGCGACCAACTGCACCCGAACATCGCCCTCTTCGCCCGCCTGCGCCGAATCGGTCCGCCAGGCCCGCTCGGCCCGAAAGGCGAGGCGCTCAACTACGAGTTCATCGGTCAAACGTCGCTCGTCGCGCTCTCGAATGTCGAGTGGCCTGAACGACGGTACAACGCCAAGTTGCCGAAGCGGTTTGGGGCGGAGGATCCGGATGCGGCGGCTGCGGCTGGTGGAGGTGGGATCAAGTTGAAGTTGGGTGGTGGGACGGGCGCAGGCGCAGCGACGACGGGCAGGCAGACGAGGGAGGGAAGCATGGCGATCTCGACGCCGTGGAATACGTTCGGCGGCTCGCCGGCACCTTTCCTCGGCAGCGGGACGGGCGCGACGCCAGGTCCGAACGGCGTCACTCTCGGTCCTTCGTCATCCGCCTTCTCCGCCTTCGAGTTTGGCAGTACCAGCAACATCCCGTTCACCTCGACCGCCTTCCCTACCTCGACTCCCGCACCGACGGACTTCCCCGCCGCCCAGCCACAAGCAGACTTCGACTATCCCGATTTCCTCCTCTCCGCTGGCGGATTCAGCGCCGCGCCGACACCTGTGGGAGGAACGGAGCTGGATTGGGCGACGATTGCGTCGACTGCCGCTTCGGCTGCTCCAACGGTGACGGCGACGAGCGCGATCGATCCAGCGCTCGAGAATACATCGGCGCCCCTCGCGTCGACCTCGGCTTCAACGAGCGCGACCGACCCGTCGCTTGCTGGCGAGACGGCGACGACCTCGTCGGGAGTCCCTGCGCCTCCTCCTCCGCCTCCATCGCCACCACCCGAGCCTACTCCCGCAGAAGCGTCCGGAGCACCTGCACCCGCACCCGCACCCGCACCAGCGCCAGTAGGCGAGGACTCGGCACAGCACGAAGCGGACGGAGCGGATGCGTCGATGGACATGGACGGCGTGGAGGACGCGGTTTCGCGAGCGATCCAGGCGAGCGTCAGTCAGGGAGGGATGCTGTTCTCGATACCGGGGATGGGCGGCGAGCAGCAGGATGGGCACTAGCCGCTGAACGGTCCGCAATTCGCAAGTTCGCCGACTTAGGCTCGCCCTTGAGAGGTACCTGCGGTCGAATATCGGCATATAGCGCGATGCGAAGGCAAGCTGGCGGTTTGGCTGACGTTGCGAGCCGCAGGCGCATTTCCCGAGCGCGAGCAAACGAGCTGAGGAGGTAAAGCACGAAGCAGACGCGATGAGATACGGCCTGAGATGACGATGTTACGAGGCGAGGCTGTGACTGCGTGGGTTGGGAAGCACAGAACGGAGGAAACGGAGGAGAGGCCAGCCCAACCGTCCGGCTACAGTACTTCGCGTCTTACGGGGACAGAGTGAAGGGGTAGGAGACCCAGGACTCGTACGACGAGGTGAGTGTTGGATCCGCGGTGATCTTTAAGGCGCTGGCGAGCATGCAAAGGCGTTAGCTCATGTAAAGAAGCAAGAAGGACATGGCAGGCGAAGGAGGGCGCACCGCACGAGAACGCGATACTGGACACTCTGTTCCATCTGAAAGGCCGCTCGATTAGGTACGAAAGGGAACTGCCGCTCCGTGAAATCGTTTGGGGCCCGGTCGGCGAAGTAATCGCGATGCGAAGGGAAAGCGATTCTTGCGATGCTGCCGACGACGGGCGTGTCGCTGAAGAGCGGCGCGGACGCTGAGCGCTCGTCATAGGTGCGCAAGGAGGAAGCCATGGCCGTAGTCGTCGTTGAGACAGCGCGTCGATCGAGGCGACTCGGAGGAGATGCCTTGCGACGCTGAGTCGGAATCGTAGTTGGCGGCGCATCCGAAGACAAGATGACGTCGACGGAGAAGAAGCGTGTGCCCGCAGCAAGGCGTAAGAGCACGGTGAACTCTTGCGACGCGCTAAGGGCGCCGGCAGCGTCGAAGATCGTGAAGTTGTCGGAGGTGATGAAGGGGTAGGCGACCTCGCCGTAGACTCTTGCCGTTGAGTCAAGGACTATGAGAGGGACCATCAGCTATGCGTGCAACTCGGCGAAGGGGAAGGTGGATGCACCTGGCATGTCCCGCATTGCGGCCGCTAAACCGAAGTACGGGATGTGCAGCTCTTCCGCATGGTTGTGGTCGTTGCTGCGCCCGCTGATGTCAATGAAGCCGGAGTAAAGAGGAAAGCGTGCTAGTTCCACGGGACTGAAGGACGGTGGGAGGATGGTGACGGAGAATGAAGAGGTTTGGCCCGGTTTGACCGTGATCTGCTGCGTCGAGAAGGTGACGTGTTCAGCTTGGGGAATGATTGGCTGCGGCTTCATGGAGATGAAGGGGTCGGTCGAAGCGTTGTTGTCGTAGGTGGCGTAGGCTTGGGTTGATGAGCTCGAAACGGTGTACTGCATCGAGAACGCATTCGTGTTGCGTAGCGTGATCGACTGTGTCGCAGCGGGAAAAGCTGTATCGTTGAGCATGAGCTCGAAAGGCGAAACGATAGTGCGAGTCGAAATCGCCTTGTCGACCTGGACGAGGCCGCCACCTTGAAGGAGGACGGTCTCGACCGTCGTAGCATTACGTGCAGCCGGGAGCTTACTTGCCGTTGTTGTCAAGAGTGCGCGGATGTCAGCCGAAGCGAGGCTGTCCGACTTGCGCTGCGACAGGATGAGAGCGGCGGCGCCGGCTGCGAAGAAGCTGTTCAGCTGGAGGCTTTGCAAGCGAGAGATGAAGCGAACTGACCGAGAAACGGTGCAGACATGCTTGTCCCGGAAAGGACGCCGAAACCGCCCTCGCTGAGCGGCAGAGTCGAGAGAATGTTGCTACCGGGCCCTGCGAGGGTGGGCTGGCCGAAAAGCTCGAATGTAGGGCCCCAGTTTGAAAGCGACCTGTCGATTAGGCATCAATCTAGCGATCAAGCATGTATGTGAAGCGGAAAAGCAGATGCGAACCAAAGAAGCCCGCTCGAAATGTTGTCGTCAATGAAGATTGGTGCCATGCCTTGCGGGAACGAGATGCGGAGGTTGCCTGAGCGAGAGTTGTACCATTCGAGTAGCTGTCATCCGAAGTTGTGAGGAGTGGACAACCTTCGCCTGCGGAAAGGTGACCTTCCGCACCTTCGTGCCTTCCTCGTCGCGTAGCGAGGCGACTACCGCTAAGCCAGTTGTCCCAACTTCAAGATCAGTGGTAAGATTGAGTGCATCCGGAGTGTTGTAGACAAGCGCAATTTTGCTGCGGGAGGAGAATGTGAGTTGGTTGGGCCGCAGGGAGACGAGCGGGAAGATTGACGCAACCCGCCCTTCGACGCAACATTGGACATCTGCTCAACGGAGAATAAGCACTAATTCCCGCGAAAAGACTGTGCGCACCTTTGTTTGCAAGGGACAGCCGCCGCGGCGGACGACCGTGATCGAGGCGGACAAGTCGGGCGTGCTGGCAGGGAGCGACTCGCAAGCATCGGCGGATACTGCAGCTGTCGTGCTGGTGAAATAAACGCGGTAGCCGTCGTTTGAAGCCGAGAGAGTCGACGTGTTGAGTGGAGTGGACGAGAGGTACGGCAGGACGCCAAAGGTGTCCACTTGAGCTGGGAATGCGGGCAACTGCGCAACGTTGACGGCACCGACACTGATAGCGCCCGTACTCGATGCCGGAGACAAGGCGAAGAACGGGCCTGCAGCACCGCTGTTGCCAGCCGAGACGGTGATTGTGATGTTTTCCTGCGTCGTGAGCCGCTTGATGACGAGCTGGGTAGGGTCGACATCAAGCCAGCCAATACGAGTGCCCGTCGAGAGATTGATGACGTTGACGCCATCGTTGGCCGCGACGAGCAACGCGTTGACGATCTGCGAACAGTCGGGATATCATTCGGCTAGGGCTCGCGCGGAAACGGACGAACTCGATCTTCAAGCCCCGAGTTATCGCAGCCAAGGACGCGGTAGTGCCCGACCTGCACGCCTGGAGCGACGCCGCTGAAGCCGAACGAGTTGGCAAGCGCGGCCATCGTGCCCGTGACGTGCGTACCGTGGTGATTGCAGCTGGTGTACGGGCTCGGACCCGGTGGATCGGTCGTGTAATCGCCGCCGAAGGAGACGAGGCAGCCAGGACCGAAGCAGCCGCCCAAGATCGGGTTGAGGTAGTCGACGCCGCTGTCGACGATCGCGACCTTGATGTCGCTCGAGCCGAGGATGCCCTGGTTGTGCAGGTTGGCGACACCGGTCATGACGTGTGGATTGAAGGTGTCGTTGGCGTAGGCGGAAGGGGGAGGGAAGTTCGTGCCGCTGCGCTTCGCGAAAGGTGCGGCGTCGAAGGTAGGCGACTCGGTCGTTTCGGCGCTTTGTCGCGCCGATGTGCGAAGAGGTGCGGCGCCTCGGAGAATACGCAGAGGCCACGCATGCTCAATGCCCTCGATGCCGTGCAGTCCTTGGAGGATCTCCTTGACGGTCGATTCGCCGCCCTGAGTGAGCTCCTCCAACACATTCGGGTCGTCGATCTTGATGACGGCGCCATGGAAGAGCGACGGGCGAGCGGTGAGCTGGCGAGTGGCCGAAAAGGTTGGGAGAGCGGTACCGTTGACGTTTGACGAGCGCGAAGCGAGGTACGAGAGGATGCGGGAAAGGTGCTGTGTGTCGCGCGCGATAGATCGAGTCAGCAAGTCGTCAAGCGAGTTGACCGCAAAGACGAGAGGAAAGAAGGAAGAGGAAGACGAGCACTCACAGCGACTCCGTCCCGCTTGCTTAGCGATCCTCCGCCGACCTCGATCAAGAACGAGCCGGGCACAATTTCTTGGCCTGCATACGTGACCGGTACGTTCCGCTCAAGCTGTGCGGCTCTGATGGAGGCGAACGAGGTGAAGGCGAGTTGCGCGAAGATGACGAAAGCGAGCCAAATGCGGAGGGCGGCCATGAGCATTCCAAGCAGGAGCAGCTAGGGACTGGCGAAGTGCTCGCGACGAGACGCTTCGAAGCGGAAGAAGTCGCGGGTCGAAGGTAGAGAGAAAGAAGCGACGGGAGTGGTCGATCACCTGCGGGAGATCGACAGATTAAGTTACCGCGACTCACGGGCACCTGCGGCACGAGACACGACTCCGCTGCTTCTTCGAGTTCTCGAGCGTGTCTGAAGGTCGAAAGCGGTACACGGAAAGCATTTTCGTCCCGCATGGCGAGGGCGGATCACGGGGTCCTGCGGGGTACAGTAGGCGACGCCGTCGAGCGTCACGCCAAGCTAAGCGCCAGCTTTTCGATGCCTGCCGGGAGAGTGTGCAGCTCGTAACAGTCCCGTCGGAGGTCGATGAAGACGGAGGGCTGCAGCGTACGTTCGCGGTCGAGGCAGAAGGTAGTCTAGCTGGCCCACAAGTCGCTGAGGCGTGGCGGTGGTTTGAGCTGACTGCATCACAAGCGTCGGCTGTGACTGACAGCGGGCTGAAGCTGCGCAAGCGAGGTCAGCGGGCTTGTCAAGGGTTTGTCAATGGAGCAGAAACTGGAAGTCACGTACAGGACTGAGTCGGTCCGACAAAGCTGAGGTCAACAGCCTCCCTTCCAAGTCTTTCCAGCAGATCCGTCCACGGTGGCTCGTCTCGGCGTCAAGCCAGCCAAGGAAGCGCTTCGCCAGGCCATCTTCGCGTGAGACGACAGCGAGACGCACCGGCAGACTGGCGCAGGTCGCGCGGATGCACTTCGCCCCGCAGAGCGCGAGGGAAAGAATGGGCAGAGGCAATGCCCTGCAGAAGGGAAAGCGGATCGCAGAAGGAGATGGAGATGTGCATGTCGAGGGACCAGGCGAGTTGGGCAAGCGGACCGGGCGAGCGCGCTTCGCTGGGCGACGTTGGCGGAGCGCAAGGCCCGCGAAAGAGTCTGCGACCATGTTCAGGAGCACGCAGGTCAAAACCAAGTCAGCTTCGTCGACCTCGACTTCAGCTGATGAAGGGATCAGCTCTGCGAACCGCTCGACTTTGGGGTGAAGCGGCCGTCGCAGAAGAAGGAAAGAACTCACTAGCGAAGACTGCTGGCTGCCACACCCGCGCATGGTCACGGAGCACGCCAGAGAGAATCGGGCGAGCGGAGGCGGTTGTCGTCGGTCCAGTCGGAACTGGCGGGGCGGAGCTGAGCTGGTCGTAGCGAGCAAGACGAGGCAAGACCTTCAGCCAGACGCAGTGAGCGCCATGTGGAGCGATAGTCGCAGGTAGGAGGGAGAGAAGGAACAGCAGGCGCAACTGTCGAAATTCGCAACGATAGCCCGCGCAGAAAGACACGAAAACAACTGTACTACCCGTTCCTACTGCTCTAAGCAACGACTGCCTCGCGAGCCCGTCTAGCCGGCGCCGGCGCCGCATTCTCCTTCGCCTCCTCGCTCTCCTTCCTCGCCCGCTGCCGCTCCTTCTCCTTCGCTATCCGCCCGGGGTAGCTCATCCCGCTGCTCAAGATCGCAGCGCTGCTCGCACGCCGCACGCTCGGCTGGATCGGTCGGATAGGCGTCTCTTCGTTCCCGGCATGAAGAGGCGGAAGCGTGAGGTCGTGCGAGAACTCTTCGTCTTCGGTGTCGGTGGTCGCGCGGCTTGCTGGGACGGAGATGGACACTCGTCGAGCAGTTGTCGCCGCAGCCTGCTGCTTGTCGGCGGGGAAAGGCGTCGTCGCATGCTGCCGCTTCGAGACGGACGAGCGGCGAGCGGAGGTCTTGCTGGTGCGACTTGATGCAGGGACAGTCGGAGCGAGGACGGAGCGCGAGACGCTGGTGGAAGCGATGGCCGAAGCGTCGACGACCTGCGAGACCGAAGTCGCCCTCTCTCGCTCAAGCTTGAGGGACGACATCTGTCGCTTCCAGTGCGATGCCTCCTGCTGCTTGGCCTGTACGTGACGCGCGGGGGTCAGCATGGATCTGATGGCAAAGTAGCAAGCCGCGCTGCTCACGTCGAGGGCGATGTTGAGGCCGAAGACGTCTTCCTCGAGCTCGGCAGCGCGCTTCTTGAGCTTGGCGACCTTGACTGCGCCGAGGCGAGAGCGTCAGCGAGATGGTCGGGAAGCAAAGAGAGGAGCGGAACGAACCCTCGCGGTCGGCTGAGTCTCGTCGCAGCTTGGCGACGAGGTCGCTGAGCCGGTTGTTCTCCTTCTGTAGCGCATCGAGGTCCTTCTTGAGTCGACCCGCTTCGCCTTCCGCTCCGGCAAGCACCGCGTCGCGCTTCGCAAGCACGTCGGCGCTCTCCAGGCGCTGCGCCTCGAAGTCCGCCCGCAGACTCGCCAGCTGCTCGTCCTTCGCCGAGGCCTCGGCCTCGACGCGAGCGACAGCCTGCTCGAGATCGGCCATGGCGGCAAGCGCAGCCTCGCACTGCTTGACCTGCTGCGCAAGCTCGACCTCCTTGGCGTTGGCGGCGCTGACGGCAGTGTCGCGCTCGACTTCGGCGGCGTCGAGACGAGCATACGTCGCCTCGAGCTCTTCGTGCGCGAGCGCTTGACTGCCAAGCGCCTCCTCGAGCTCCTGCTCTTTACGTTGAAGCTGAGCCTCGAGGTCCCCGTTGGCGAGCTCGGCGTGCTGGCGCTCCTCCTGGACGGCGCGGGCGAGACGGTCCACCTCTTCGCGGCGCGAGCGAAGCTCATCGCGCAGCTCGGCGACCGATGCATCGCGCTGGGCGAGCTTTTGACGGGCGAGGTGGACGTCGCGGTCAACCTCCTGGCGGATCGAAGCGACCCGGCGCTCGACCTCCTCCTCGACCTGCGCCTGGTCGAAGACACTGCCGCGATTGCCAGGCGACGTCAACTTGAGGTGCTCGATCTCCTCGCGCAGTCGAGCGCAAGCGTTGTCCCGCTCCTCAACGTCAAACGCCCACCTCGCCTTGACCTCGTTCTTCTCTCTCTCTACCTCCTCCCTCCGACTCTTCTCCCTCTCTACCTGATCCCTCAACGCGTCCCTTGCCTCCTCGGCTTCCTCCTGCGCAATCCGCGCATACCGTAACCTGATCTCCCCTTCCCTGACCTCGGCCGTCCGCGCATCCAACTCGTGCCTCAGCCGCTCCAAATCCGCTTCGAGAGCCTGTCTCAATGCTCGATCGTCCCTCACGCGCGTCTCGAGTTCGTCAGCGAGGAGACTCACAGTCTCCTCGAGCGCGGCAATCTTCTTCTCATCCTGCTTGACCGACTCTCCCTCCTTCGCACGCAGAGCCTGATCTTCCCACTCGAGCGCAAGTCGCTCAATCTCCTTCGCCTCCGCCCGAGCCTCCTGTACCTGCCGCTTGAGATTCGCAACCATCGCGTCCTTGTGCTCGACCTCGTTCTGAAGGTTCGTCACGAGACTCGAGAGGATGAACCTTTGCGAAGCGGAAGTCGCGAGTTGGTCTTGCTGAGTCGAGAAGAGGTCTTGCAGCAGCGTGGCGGCGCGAGAAGGGGGTGCGCCGGCTGGCCCTGAGCGGGCCAGTTGGAGGAGGAAAGGGTTCTGCGAGGGGGTGACGGGGTTGCGAGGGCGGGGGATCTTGGATGCTGAGCGTGGAGTCTTAGGCGGGAGAGCGGAGGCGGTCGAGCGGCCGGGCGTGGCGGGAGGAGCGGAAGAGGCAAGATGTTTGGCGGCGAGCGAGAGCGAGAAGGTCGGTTGAGGAGGAGGCGGGTCTTGCGAGCGAGCACGCAGGCGACGACCTGATCCGCGCTTAACGGGCGTGTTGGCGTCCGACTCGGGTTCGGTCTGCGTGCGGCGGAGTCAGCAAGCGGCTTCAGCGTGCGCTTGACAGGAAGCGGACGCACCACCTCGACAATCGGCGACAAGAACACTCCCCTCGCCTCCGGATGCTCAATCACACTGTCCTCCGCATCCTCCGCGCTCTCAACCGCTCGGATGCCTCCCTCCTCGCGCGCGACTTCGACAAACCGACTATCCCCCAAACCCCTCAGCAATCCCTCGACATCCTCTTCCTCGTCCTGCTCCTCCTCCTCCTCTTCTCGCTCCTCCTGCTCCTCGTCGACGATCCGGCTCTTGACGATACTCCAATACTCGCTCCTCTCCCCCTCCTCGCCTTCCTCCTCCTCCTGCTCTATTTTGTCCTCCTCCTCGCGCTCCGCCGAGGAAGTACGGTCCTTTGGACTCTCCTTCTCCCCCCTCTCCAGACGCGCCCACTCTTCCCCCGCCGAACGGGAAAGACCTGACGATGCGCGGGTGGACATGAAGAGGCGGTAGAACGAAGTCGAGGACTGGCTGTTTTGACCCGTCGAGTTGGAGGCGGGTTGCGAGGTAGATTGGTCGGCCAGCGAGGAGGTAGAGGAGGAAGTCGAGGCGTCTCCTACGAGCGTCACCTGCGCAAGCGGCGACGGAACACGCGGAGCAGTCGAAGTTGCTGCCCTCGGAGTGGCCACAACTGTCGGCGCAGGCGACGCAGCCGGCGCAGGTTCGAACGTCGTCTCCTCCTCCTCCTCCTCCTCCTCGCCAATCTCCTCCAACACCCCAATCTCTCCTTTCTTCCCCGCCACTCCCGGAGGAAGAGGTTGGCCGACCTGGCTAAGCATGAGGAACGACTTTCCCCCAAAATCGGGGGCGACGAGGTTCGCTGTTGATGCGCGCATGAGGAGTAGCTCGTCTTCCTCTGTGCCGGTGGAGAGGTGCGCGAGTGAGAGGGAGTCGTCTGCTGTTTCTGGCGCTGGGTCGGAGGAGCCGGGCGGTCGGGACGTAAGATCCGCTTCATCTGCCGTAGCCGAGGAGCGCTCGGCGATGGCGAAACAGGCGGACGTCGAAGCCTGACTGATATGCGAGACAGAGGAGGCGAAGATGAACGGGTTCGATTCGTCGAATAACATCGGTCCCGGTCCCGGTCGCGCTCCCGCCGCCGAGTCGAGTGTCGATTCTTGAGGCTTGGGCGGAGAAGCCGGCGGCGAAGGGGGCTCGACGAGCGACGAATCCGGACTGGGGATGACAGCCTTCAACTTGCTCAAAAACGACGCTCGTTCCTCCCCTTCCATCCCTTCCACCTCCTTCTCCCGCTCCTCCTGCTCATGCGAGTGTTCAAGAGACTCATCTCGCTCGAGACTAATCTCCCTCTCATCGTCCCACTCCCTCCACCTCACGCTCCTCCCCGTCCCCGGCGTCCTCGGACGCTTAAGAATCCCTTTCTCTCCTCCCGCGGTCGCCTCGGTAGGCGATTCGAACGACGGAAGCGCAGGAGGCGGGGGGAGCGACGGAGCGTGAAGGAGCGGGGAGGGGCAGAGTGAGAGGGGAGAGAATTGGATGCGCGCTACGTGCGGTGGGAGGGTCGAAGAGGAGGATGAGGAGGACTTTTTGGAGGATTGCGCGGCGGAGGAGGAAGAGGAAGAGGATGAGGCGGAGACGGAGCGAGAGCGCGCGGGTGTGCGGGTGGTTGGAGGCGAGTCGGGGACGAGTCGTACGCCTCCGCTCGGAGTGCCCGTCACGACAGACGGGGCGGGACTCGTACCCGCCGACCCAGGACCAGGCGACAGCGAGATAGAGGAGGACTGGTCCCCGAAATTGAGAGAGGGCATTTCAGCCGAGTCGAGGTGGAAAGACGAGCCTGACGAGTCGGATGCCGTGCGAGCCGGACTCGGACGGTTGGGCTGGTGATGAAGGCGCGGAGAAGGCGCAGGCGACTGATTCGGCGGTGTAGCGAGCGTCTCCACCTCTTCCTCCCTCGCATCTCTCGAATCCCTCACGCCCAAACTCGCCCTCCTCCCAATAGGCGATTCGTCCTCCTCCTCTCTCCTTCTCGCTAATTCATCCAAACTCCCCACGCTCGCGCTCTTGCGGAAGACGGAAAAGTGTGGATGGGCATCGAGGACTCGCTGGATGGTTTGGTTTCCTGAGGCGGAGAGGGAAGTGGGCGAGTAGTGCTGGGATGTCGAGGCGGAGGCGGACACTGAGCTAGGACGGTGAGGAGAGGGCGTATGTGGTGAGTCTGCTGCTGGAGAGTGAGGGGTGGGGAGGTTGAGCGAAGGGGTCCGTGAGTTCGGGTGTCGCCCTCGTTGGGCAAGGAGAGGGTGCTCACCTGCGTCTGTTCCACCGTTCGCCTCTGCTGAACCCTCCTCCGCCGCGCCTGCCGCGTCGAGCCGGGTATGAGACGCCGAACGGGCGAGGAAGCCCTGCACAGACGATGAGAGCGACGCAAGCATTGCGCGTTTAGTGGGTCGGCTGAGTGCAGTCTAGCAGACAGTCTCGAGCCAATGCACGCAGCAGAACCGGCAGCAGGAGGTGTTGTAGCGTTGAAGTGCTCGGTCGAGGGGACGAGGCTGAGCAAAACAGATGAAGTCGGCGAATTCGATGCACGTGCGTCGAATTGGGTGGATTACGTAATCAGTCAATCAAGGACGCTTTGCTTCTTGGCAGGCTTGCTTCGCTTGCTTGGACTCGTTCGCAGCGCTGTCGCTTGTCCTCCTCGAGTGCACTCTGCCTGCTCGAGTCTCCCTCTCCACCAGCTACACCGCGAGCGACTCTGGCTGGCACGCACTCGCCTCGGCTTCGGAGCAACGGGCGCCGCGCTGCGCGGAAGCGGCGGGATGAGCCATGATGCTCAAGTCCGAGGGACCTCGCTCCTTCGCCTCCTTACGATCTCTCGTGCTCTGATTCTGCTTTCTGTGCTGGCTCAGTCTCGCAACGACGCCGTGACGATGGCCGTGCCACTCCCGGGCGCGCCGAACCAGCTCTCGGACGCAGACACGACCCCCTCGTCCTCGGCTTCATCGACCTCGTCTTCTCTCCTCTCGAAAGTCCGCAGGCGCATCTCGACGCGGGGAAAGGGGACGAGGTCCTTCGAGGCTATCAGGGGACACTTGCCGAAGAGCTTGAGGAGCGGGAACGGGAGCGAGGCGGGAGAGGAGGGAAGTACGATGGGCGACGAGTTGCTCGCGTATACGATTGCGCCGCCTGATCACCGTGAGGTGAGTGACTTGACCTGTATCAAACGGGGGCGAACGAGGCTGATGCTGGCGAGACGAACAGAACACCGCGCTCCATGCCATCATGGACTCTCTCCCTTCGCTCGGCTCCCTTCACGCACCCAGCATCTCCCTCCCGTCCATCCGGTCTACACCACACGTCGCCTCGTGCTTCACCGCCGAAGGCTACGACTCGGACGAAGACTCGTCTTCTCCCCCTCCCACACCTCCAGCAGCCGACCTCGACCCTTCCTCCGGCGTCTCTCCCTCTCGCCGTGGCTACACATCCAACAACCCCGCAACGACCTCCGCACCACCCTTCCCGCGCCGCTCATCCGACCCCAAACCCTCCACCTCCAGCTCCTCCTCAGATCCGCTCGACCGCCTCTACGGCAATGTCCTCATGCTAGGCGGCTACCGCGGTTCCGTCCTCCGCGACGCCAAAACTCGCAAGCGGTTGTGGATCCCGCTCAAAGTCGGGTTTGGCATCAGGAAGGCGGATTTGGGTCTTGGGTTGGAGGAGGTGGATGAGGAGAGGGCGGGAGAGAGGGTCGTTGCGAGTAGTATGTTGACGCAGGTTGGGGGGATGATTGATCTGGGGAAGAAACTCAAGTGCGCCTCGAGTCCGCGGTTGTCGTCGAGCGAGACTGACATTGCGCCTTCGCAGGGAACGACTAAAGCAGGTCTCGTCGTACCAACGCCACCACCCACCGCCCGACCCTCTCCTCCACCCACCCGTCCACTTTCAGACCTTCGGCTACGACTGGTGCCTCTCCCTGCAACGTTCCTCCGCCGCACTCCTCGCCCACCTCGAGCAGCTCAAAGCCGAGTCGGCCGCGCGAGGCGAAGGGCCTGACGGTCTCGGGCTGGGCGCGACAGTCGTAGCGCACTCGATGGGCGGCCTCGTCCTCCTCCACGCCATCGCGCGTGCCAAGGACCCTTCCGTCGTCCGCGGCATAGTCTTCGCCGGCACGCCGTGGCAAGGATGCGTCAACACCCTTGGCCCATTTAAGCTCGGCGGCGGGATCGCGCTCAATACGAAAGTCGGAGCGCCCGAGATTGTATTTTCGTGGAGGAGCGGGTTCTACTTCCTCCCTCCGCCGATATCGCTTTCGAATCCTCAGCCAGGGGGAAACAACGATGAGTATCCGGACTCGTGTACGGGCGAAGCGGTGACGGACGAACCGGAGTCGATTCCCCTGCCAAGCGACTCGCTCGTACCCGCCGTGGGCTCGACCGCTACAGTCCCTCGCTCGACCTCTTCCTCCTCTCGCTCTCCCTCTCCCTCCCGCCCTCACTCCTCCAAACGCGCAACCTCGATCCCCCTCCTCTCCCTCCTGCACAACTCCTTCGAGTCCCCCTCCGGCCGCCCCCTCGCGCTCAACCTCTTCTCCCCTCAAACATGGGCCACGCACGCGTTGAGCCCTGTGAGCGCAGGAATGGACTTTGCGCATCCTTCGAGGCCTGTTCAGAAGGTTGTCAGCCGGGGGGGAGCGGGAGGAGGAGGAGGTGGGTTGCTGGCCGGCGGTCCGGGGAATCTTGGTGAGAGTGAGGCAGGCGCGACGGAGGCTGTCGAAGCTGCGGAGGGGGTACAGAGCGCGCTTGAGGGTGTTGCGGAGCGATTGGGCGGAGAGGACGAGGGTGAGGGGGACTCGAGTAGGGAGGGTTCGGAGGTGGGTGTTCCGACGGTGGGTGTAGGGACGGGCGCGATGGAGCCGACGGGCGAGGAGAACGAAATGGCGCAGAGAGAAGAGATGGAGAGGTTGGAGAAGCAGGCAAAGGAGGTTGAGACGGTGGGGCGGTACCTCGAGCGGACGCTGCAGCGGGCGAGGGAGGTGCGTCCCGTTCCCAGATGCTCAGTCCGTCACGCGTGAGCTGACGACGTCGGTGCGGTGCGCGCGCAGTTCCAGGAAGACCTCGTCAACCTCTACGACCCAGCCAAAGCGCACCTCTACCCTCCCATCGCGATCCTCACCTCTCGCAAGACGCCGACCGTCCGCGCAGTCTGCGCAACATCCGAGAAGCACGTCGCGATCGAGGGGTACCAGCGGTTACTCTGGGCTGAAGGTGCGCTTGCTTTTCTCGCGTCGACGTTCTCAAACGGAGGACTTACTGTGCGCCACCGACAGGCGACGGTATCGTCCTCTACGAATCAGCGACCCGTCTTCCGGGCGACCCCGAACTCGCAGGTCGACCACGCACAGGCAAGCCAGAGACGGACAGGTGGATGGCGCATCTCAAGGGTGTCGTCGAGACTTCGAACGGGCATGTTGGGATGCTGGGAGACTTGGATGGTGTGCGGAAGTGCGTCGAGTTGATCTACGGGTGAGAGGTAACGGGAGGACGATGTGCATAGCTGTTGTAGCAGTCTCTTCTCTTCGCATCGCAACTTTAGACGCACTTCGGATGCGAAGGATAGCTCGTCGATACAGCCCGCTCGGAGAAAGCCTACAAGTACGACATTGAAAAGGAAGAACGTCCTTTACAATCCATCCCCCTCACGACCTGAGCCAGCCGGCGAGCCCTCGCCCGCCTGTCCGCCCGCCGATCCCGGTCCTCCTCCTGCTCCACCGAGACTGCTCCAATCCCATCCGAGCGCTGAGCCAAACGCAGCAGGAGGAAGAGGCGGCAACGCCCAACCTGATGGTCCTCCGCCAATTCCCGCTCCTCCCGACGTCGCCATCCCCGCTCCTCCTCCAAGCCCGAGACCGGCCATGCCCGGGAACGAGCTATACGGCGCGCCGCTCGACATCTGCGGCATCGAAGCGGAAGGACCCGCTCCGCCCGGTGCGCCATCGAGCGTACTGAGGTGAGAGTAGAGGTAGTGCTCGCCGTAGAACCACGGTGGGACGGGATAAGGGTATCCCTGAGGAGGCATCCCGCCGGCCGGAGCGTCGAAAGCGGAGGGAGACGGGAAAGGGAAAGTGGAAGGATCGGAAGCGTGGCCAAAGGGAGAACCGGTACCGTTCGTGTCCGGGAGAGCGGTGAAGGGCGAGGTGGGCGACGCCGACGCAGCGAAAGGCGTTGTAGTCGCAGCCGAGTCGAGCGTTGACTCGATGCCGTTCCGAGACGTGGCGGCCGGGCCCATCGGGGTGGTCGGAGCGACACCTTTGCCCTGCTCAGACGGACAAAGTCAGCTTGCCTTTCGACGACGAAAGAACAGCCATGCTGACCTTCCTCCGCTCTTTCCGCCCTGCACCCTCCTCTCGCAAGCGCTTCTCGTCCGCGAGCAAGGGCAAGACGAGCCCAAGCCCGCGCTCGGCAATCGCGCTCGCCGCCTTGAGTCCTTCGAGCGTCGGCAACGCCTGATGGATCTCGTTTCGAATCGCCTCGTTGTCCGCAGTTGGATTCTTGAGCTGCTCGTACAGCTCGAGCGTGAGACTGAACGAGGCGACGGAGATGTGGTAGATGACGGTCCAGATGCGGACGTTGCGGCAGGCGGGCGCCTCTCGCAGGATCGCACGGGCGGACTCGATGACGCGGCGACGGGAGAAGGTGTGCGTCGTGGCGCGAGACGGCTTGGCGAGGAAGGGTCGGTGGATGGAGAGGATCTTGTGCTGGAGCGCGATTCGGTAGGTGCTGCGCATGATCTGCCACGAAAGCTGTCAGCCGCGACGTGAGCAGCGCCGAAGAAGCGCTAACGCACATCAGCGCAGTCGGGCATGCCGGTCGTAGGTCCACCAGGGCGCAGCCAAGCCGGCAGGTTGGCGAGCATCCCCTCTAGCTGCTTGTCCTCGTCGATGAACCGCTGATACGCTTGCGACGCGGTCGTCTTCTCCGAACGGGTCGACTCGAATGCATTGGCCATGTGGGACCCGATTTCGACGTCTGCGAGCGAGAGGTCAGCTTGGAAGGAAAGCGACAAGAGGAACAGTACGCACATTGCAGCAGCCAGGAAGCATCGGTGTACTCGTCTCGCGGCCGATTGACGAGCTCGCCCGTTGCAAGGTCCCTGCGAGTCGCGGTAACGTCAGCAGCGGAACAAAGCAGAGGCGAAGCAGGATACGCACTCGTTCGTCGCGTTGAGCGGAAGAGGCGTGACGATCTGCGCTCGAGACAGCAGAGAGTATCCCTTGAACGGGATCGCGAACCACTCCGAGTGCACGAGCGCCCAGACAACCCTCTTCCTGATCTCGCGGTCGATGAGCGCCTTTGCGCGCACGCCGGCCGGCTTGCCCTTCATCGCCTCCTTCCACTGTTCGTCAGACGGAAGGCGCTGCAGGCCCATGTCTTGCGCGATGGAGAGACCGGCGGAGAGGAGCGAGGCGATGAGGGTGGCAGAACCGGCGTCGCGGCCGGACAAGACGAGGACGGCGATGGCTTGGAGGCAGGAGAAGTCGTGAAGCTGGAGGAAGTTGTGGCGATACAGGCAGGCGATTGAGCACGTGAACCTGCGAAAAGATCGCTCAGTGCGGGTCGAACGAATTCGCGAAGGCACTACTTACCATCGACTGGCTGCTCCGCTCGTTTCGGCCTCGGTCCATCCCATCGCGTCCTGCTGTTCTCGATCTACCAACTTCGCGCTGACAGCCAGCAAAGCGAAGTAAAGGCTCAGCCACGCAAGCGAAGCACGCTCGAACCGGTCGTCGCCGAGGTTTCGGAAGGCGGCGAGATGCGACCAGAAGGTCGGGGCATGGACAACGGCGTGCTGTATGAGACAAAGATCAGCCTGATTGTAGGCAGCGTAGGTTAGCTGGCTCACGTGGAAGCCATAGCGCTCGAGTCCCTGGTGGAAAACGATGTCTTCCTGGTCGGGCGTCGGTGCAGCGTCGAAGAGCGCCTGTCCGTTGGGGAACATCGAGACCGGCGACTCGGGCTGACCCTCAGGCGGAAGAATGGCGAGACGATGCGACGGCGAGGACAGGCCATCGTCTTCGTTCGAGGGTGCCGCCGCGACATTCGACTCTGTCCACACTCGGGGTCGACCAAGAGCGAAGAACTCGAGATTGACGCTCGCCTCGACTCCCGCCTCGCCTTCGTCCGGCTCCTGCTTCGGCGGTAGAAGCCTCGTGCGCTTCGTCGGGGGTTCAGAGCCGATAGGAGCGGTAGAAGTAGACGCCAGCGGTTCTCGAGAACCTGTCAACTCGGTGACCGGGTCGCCAAACGTCTTCACGATCGCGTCGAGTTCGGCCGAGTCTTCGTCCTTCAAGTTCGAGTTGGCGATGAAGAACTCGATGGCCGGCAGGCGAGCCTTGAGCGAGTCGAGAGTCGTGCGGAAGAGACGAAGTTCTTCGAGTGCTGCAGTCTGTCGTTGTCCGAGTTCGCGTGCCGGGTCGACTCTGCGTGAAAGTACGAATGTCTATCAGGCTCCTCACCTGCTTCGAACGCAAGATTGGACGGACGTTGGCTTCTTGCGCTTGGTGGGGGCGCTGGTACAACTCGAGGACATCCCACGCTTGACACAGGCGCCGCACGGCAGATTCTGCAAGCGCAAAACACTGTCAGCGACCCACGCAGCGTAGCAAGCGAGCTACGCACCTTGTCACATGCGGTCTTCCTCCTCGCACACTGATGAACCGATGTTGGTGGAGGTCAGTTGGGCAGCGCGAGCAGCGAGCGATAAGAGCTGGGACCCGCCTCGGTGCACGACCTGGCTGAGCGCTCAGGCAGCAGCACGACCTCGGAGCGCCCCTCTGCCATCGTGATGGCCAAAGATAGCGGACGAAGCGAGAGGAGGAGAAAGGGAACGGCGCCTGTGAGACTCCTCTTCTGAAGATGCATGCGAGGTGTAGACGATACGAGAGCATAGTTGCGATGGCGGAGACGCGCATACGAACGAATCAAGACGGCAAGGCGACAACAACAAGACTGACGGAATGTCTGCAAATCCTCCTCCTCCCTCCTTTCCCGACACTCCTTCAGTTGACGATCCACTCGATGCCCCAGTCGGACGTCAAGTCGCCGAACTGCACCTCGTGCGGCGAGAAGGACGTTGCCGAGCCAGTCGAGGCGGCGGAGGGAAAGTGCGGGACGGCCATGTTCGGGTTGTACGGTGCTGGGTGCGGCGCGTCGTGGACGAGAGATCTGCCGTCGCCGATGATGGGGTCTGGCGCAGGGAGGGCGACCTGGCCGGAGTAGGGGACGGAGGCGTGAGGCTGGGTGCCGTTCTGAGCGGGTTGAATCGCGGCGCGCCGTTCTGTCTCGGTGACGGCAACGGAGACGCGCTTGAGGAGTTGCGCAAAGCTGTCGACGAGAAATGTCAGCTTTCCGCGCGAAGCGAGCGAGTTGCGCAACTCACTGTTCCCTCCGACCCGTGGCCGACCGCGCATGCAGCGCTTCGAACAAGCACTGCACAACCAGCAGGCTCTGCCTTGCAACGATCCTGACCCTCTCCCTGATCGACCCAAGCGCGCGGTGAAAGCACAACGACGCGTCGCTGATGAGGCGGTAGTCGGCGCTCGGAGCGTTCGGACTCGCGTCTTCCTGGTGCCAGATGCCGCAGAAAAGGACGATGACGGCGACCTGGATGTGGTTGATCTGGTAGCTCTCCTTGACGAGCGGCGCGCGAGTCCGGTCCAGCTCCTTCTGTGTCTCAAGGACCGCTCGGGCAGCTTCGAGCGCTGCGTCGGTTGACTTCCGCAGAGCCGGTTCGCGGTACCCTCGCGACATGAAGGGTCGGTTGACGCGGATACGGCGGATCTGGACGTTCTGTAGGGCGAACAGGCGCGCCCAGAACATGCTGATCGACTCGTTCGCCTCGGGCCGCTCCAGCTCGTATTCGTCGATCAAGTTGCGCAAGTCGGCATCATGCTTGAGGACGGTCGCGTACTCGTACTCGGGATCGAGGACGACCTGCTCGTGATACTGCCGCTGGATCGCGCCCGTCTTGAACCGAACAACCTCGTACGAAGCGATGGTCCGCACCGAGTGTGGCTGAGGCGGGACGATCGCATCGCCGCGCAGATCTCGGTCGTCGAAGTTACCGGGAAAGGCGCAGTCGACGAGGTGAAGTGGGAGGACAGGGCGAACGCGGAAGATCACTTGGTCGAGGTGGAGGAGGCCGTGGAACAGTCGAAGTGCCGTCTCGCGCCGTAGGGTATTAGACCCGCATCGGAGCGCAGGATCGCTCATTGGCATCTTGGTAGGATCCGAGCCGAGGCGGTCGAGGCCGAGGTGCTGGCAGACTCGGACGGTTGCTGCGACGTAGGGCGTCAAGACGTCGACGCGACCTGGGTCGCCCGAGTTGAGCGCAAGAGGACCGAGGAGGACGATGGCCTGGACCGTGCGGATCCTGGGCGTTCCGAATGCGTCACCGCAGTCGAGAGCGGCTCGCGCTGCTTCGAAGAAAGTCGGGATCATCGCATTAAGCTCGTCGGCGGTGAAGTCGGAAGTCGGTCCGGGGTACTCGAGCGAGTTGGCCGAGTGTGCGAGAGTCTGCAGGAACGCCCTTAGTGACGTCTTCGAAGGACCGGAGCGCAACAGATCAAGGCAGAGCAGGCCTGCTCGCCCGCATGCATCGACGACTCACTAGGAAGAGTACAGCCAGCCACAGCGGGTCCACCTCGAGTTGCCGGCCCTCGGCGACGAGATGTCGGAAAGCGTCGTATTCGGCAAGGAACGTCGGAGCATGGTGGGCGACCCAGTACCAGCTGAGCGAGTTGAAGTAGTGCGTGACGAGCCAGTCCATCTTTGGCTGAGACGGGAGCGAGTTGTAGAGGTCGGTTAGGACGCCGCGAAAGCGCTTCGAGATTTCGGGGACGAGGAGGGAGGCGCGTTCGGGCGATGTTGCGGCGGCGGCTGGGAGGGGCTGCGCCGTACCGAGGTAGGGAGTCGTGGGAGCGGTACTGCGTCGTGCTGCCGGATTTGCGACTCGGACATTGACAGCTGTGGAGGGGCACGGTAAGCGGGAGAAGAGCCGTTTGGGGGTCTGGTCGAGCGCACCTATGTCCTCGAGTGTCATCGCCGCGTCCTCCGTCTCCGAATCTGGCCCATCTACATACGCCGGCCGTAACGGCGGTTCTCCCTCGTTCGACACCGATCCGCTTCGGGCAGCTGCTTCGAGGGCCATGATTCGTCGTTCGAGGTCGGCGCGGTGGGCGGCGCAGCCGTCGCTGCAAGGAAACGAGTCAACCACGTTGTGAGGAGAAATAGTGAGCGAAAGCGACTCACCACCCATTCGAACCAGGCGATGCCGAACCAGGCGCTCCTCCGCTGTCGCACGAGCTGCCCTCCCCTCGCTTCTCGCACGCCTTGCACGGCGTCCCCGGCCCTCCCTCCCTCTCACACCGGATCTTTCTGCAGCGTACAAGCAAAAGAAGCGATTTCAGCGTGCGGGAACCGACTTCGGACGAGAGGGAGAACGCACCGAACCGTACAGTTCCGACAACTCAAGACCTGTCTCCTCCGCGTGATCTTCTTCTTCGCAGGCTGTCCGTTCGAGCCTGCGGCTGTTGGAGCGGTGTAGGCATCTGCCGAGGTCGACGCAGCGGGCTGATGGTTGTGGGGAGGCGAGGAGGTGTAGGACGACTCGGGCGGCGCGGGGCGCTTCAGTGAGCGTGCAGGCGAGTCCTGGTGATGCTCGCCTTGCATCTTGGCCAAGTCTAGCCAGAGTGAGCGGTAAGGGCGGAGGCGAGAGGCAGAGAACAAGGGTTGCTCCTCGTCCTGACACTTGCTCGGGCTCTGTGGGTTCCGAGACGTGCTGAAGCTCGCTACATACGTACTCTCGCCCGCTTGGCGGCTCGGCAGCTCGCCGCGTGCCGTTCACCCGGATTTGCGATTCTCATCAATCTGTCGACCTGCTCCTTCCACACGCTTCTGCCGGGGCTACAGACACGCTGACAGGCCTAGAGGAGCTGTAAAGGAAGGGCAAGGGTCAAGACGCGACAGCTCGGTGTGGAGGAAGAGTGTCAACCGTTCGCTTCTCCTCCTCCGCTTAACCTGGCTCTGCGGCATCTCCCGGGACGCATGTCGATTGAACAAGTACATGCTCGTTACACCACCGCTCCCTCAATATTTCTTGCCGGCATAGTCGTTGCTCGTACTCCGACTCCTCCTCCCGCTTCCCTCGCGCTTTCCTCATACATCCTTCACACTGCTACTCCTGCTGCTGCTCATTCACTAATCTGCGGTCCATCCCCTGCCGGTGGCTGAGCTGCAACCGCTCAGCCTCAGCCTCCGCCTCCTCCCCTCGCTTCCCTCACCCATGCTGTCCCTTCAGTTCTTCGCGCTCGTTCCCGCGCTCTAGGTTCTCATAGCTCTTCTCGACACCAGAAGCCCGGACGCGAAAGACCAAAGTACTGCTTTTCATACCCCTCCTGTCCTCGCTCTTCCTTCCCTCCTTCCCCGCCTCCCGCTCGACGTAGGCACCTCGTCCACCTAGACTTGCTTAGATTCTGCGCACGGAAAGCACGAACAGCACGGAAAGGTGTCAGCAAGCCTTTCAGAGCGCCCGTACCCGTCCTCTCCTCCCTCCCTCCTCCTTCCCCTTTCCTCGAATACCATTTCAACTCACCCACGCCCACCCGTAACTTCCAACGTATGTCCACTAACAAACGCGGCCAATCCCGATGCCAAAAAGAGGCATGCAGCAGCCCCTTCCTCTGGCGACCCGGGCCTTCCGAGCGGGATGTCGGGCACGCGCGAGTCGTCCGTTTGGGCGTGCGAGCCTTTTGAGGGGATACCGAGGGGGATTTCTGCGAGCGAGCGAGCGAGCGCGCGTAGCGAGTGAGCGGGGAGGGGAAAGGAAGGAGGAGGGGGAAGGGGGGAAAGAGGACGCACTCTTCCCGTTTACGACAATAGCTTCGCCGAGTTCTTTTGCCTGAGTCAGGCGGGTGGTAATGTAACTGCGCGCAAGAACGAGAGGTTTAGCGGGACTAGTAGAGGAGAGGCAAGAGCGGGGAGGAAGAGGGGAGAGACGGACCCGAAGGCGACGGTGTTGCAGCGGACGCCGAAGGGACCTGTTTCGAGGCGACGAGCGAAACGTCAGTGTCAGTTGAAAAGCTAGTCTTAGCAGCGCAGGTTGGGAAGGTCGCCTCCTTCTTCTCCTCGACGCCGCACAAAAGGCCACAGCCTGACGGAAAGACACTCACCCCACTCCTTAGCAACACTGCAATTGAGAGCAAGTCAGTCAATCAGAATATAAGCGCGTCGGGAGAAGGAGAAAAAGGAAGCGGCGGAGGAGAAGGGAAGCGCAGACGCACGTCTTGGTGAGACCGATAATGCCGGCCTTGGCAGTGGCGTAATTGGCCTGCAATGCGTGCAGTTTTCGTGAGCAGGAGAGCGCAGGGGGGAAAGGCGAGAGAAGGGGAAAGAGGACGAACCTGTCCGACGTTTCCGTGCAAGCTGTGCGAATAATCCACACCAAAAAGGCATCAGCTAACGCTCCTCGACGGCAGTGTAGCAAGCCGGTTCATCCGAGCCGTCACCACGCACCCCGAAGTCGACGAAACATTGATAATGCTCCTGTTCTTCCCCTTGTCCTTCGGGTCCTTGCTCCGCATGTACGGCGCGACTTCCTTGATCAAGCGGAAGGGAGCCGTGTTGTGCACTTTGAGCATCAGCTCGAACATGTCGTCGGGCGTGGTGTGGAGCATCTGCGCAAGAGGAGGGGGTTAGTAAGAGAGGGAGGAAGGAGGGGAGGAGGGGACAGACGCGGTCGGCGGTGAATCCGGCCATGTTGACGAGCTGTGCGGGCAAAGAGCAAGCAGAAGTCAGCCACGGGACGGAAAGGCCTCTGCGAAAGACAGCCGGAGACCGCAAGACGCACGACGTTGATGTCGCCAAACGCCCTATAGGTTACCGGCAAAGGTCAGCGTCTCTCATCTCGTCGTTGTGGAGACCTTGTGAGACTGGCGAGCGGTACGCACTCGATGGTCGCATTGACAAGCTTCTTCGGGTACTCGGGCGCGGTCACGTCTCCCCCGACGCCGATCGCCAGTCCGCCAGCCTTCTTGATCTCATCGACGACCGCGTTGGCCTTGGCTGCGCGCAACGCCATCAACTACGGTCAGCCTTCGCTCGAGAGATTAGTCCCGTCGACCGTGGGCGGAAGCGAGACGCACCCTCGTCAAGGTCAGCCACGACGACCTTTGCGCCCTCCTTTGCAAAGAGGACAGCACAAGCCTTGCCGATACCCTGCGCTGCGCCGGTGACGATGGCGACTTGGCCTGCGAGCAAGCCGTGCGGGTGGGTCGCGGAGAGCTGGCCTGACACGGCGCTGAGACGGTCCTGTGCGGTGGACATGTCGAGGTTGTCTCTAGTTGTTTGTAAGGAGGACAAGGAGTGGGTTGAGCGAGAGAGCGAGGAGAACGAGCGAGGTGGGGCCAAGTTCGACTTCGGAGAGGGAGAGAGGCCGACGCCGGCGAGAGAGCGTACTGAACGGCGGGCTGTCGGATGCTGTAGAAGTATCGTAAGAGTACTGACGGAGAATTACCAGCGGCGACCGGAGTCCTGGCGAGTGATTGCGGCGAGAGAAGGGGTCGAGAGGAGCCGGAGCGTCCCCCTGACTCGCTCTCCTCCTGGCCAAGTCCCGCGTCCCCTCCTTGTTCTCCTCTTCATCACTTCACTTCGCACTGGCTGCCCTGCGAGGACTGCTACCGTTTCACCAGATCCCTGCTCGACCCTGCTACTACGCTCCAACCGCCGGCGCACCCTTTCTCGCGCCGCACACCTGAACCTTTTTCTCCCTCCTCGCTGTCCTCGCCCGTCTCCTCTCGCTACACAGGTGCGCTTGCAGTCCCTCCCCCTCCTCCCAACACACACGCACGTCCCCTGCCCGCCCTCGTCACGCACCTCGCGTCAAGGGCGTCAAGCAGGCGAGCCTCTCCCTCGGGAGTCGCTCGAATCCGACAGTGCCAGATCATCCACAGATCCAGTTTGACAGTCCCGAAGCCTAAACGCATGCAGGGGTTCTGATAGAAGTGATCTGACATACCTTTTTCCCTCTCACAGGTTTCTCCTCTCCCGCCTTTACTTGCTCCGCTACTTGGGGAGGGGAAGGGGAAAACGGCCGTGATTACTACCAATATACCCAAATTTCCGAGTCCTTTGGGACGCTGCGGAGACACCAACTCTTATCATCTTTCGGGAATGAGCCGTTTCCCCTTCCCCTCCCCTCCTCTTCCTCCTCCCCCTTCTCCTTGCAACAAGCGTTTCCTCTTCTTCGAGTCCCGGGCGAGAGACGGAAAGAGTGCTAGTAAACTCGGTCTGTGATTTCTGCGTCGAGGAGTCTATGAGGGCGGAAGAAGAAGGAGAGGGCACAGAACACAGAAACGCTCGGAGGAGGAGAGAAGAGGGGTAGGGAGGGAACAAGCGGCGCCGGGGCGGGGAAAAGCGAGCAACAAATACAACCGCCAACTTACATACGAGAGCCCGGGTGATCTGGTTGTCAAGCCGAGAGCGCGTGCGAGGAATGAGGGAAGGGAAGAGTATAGAGGCAACAGGTTTGAAGGCGACGAAGCGAACGACTAGGGTGGGACGACGGGTTGAGGCAAGAGGTGGTGGGACTGTACAGTCGAGGCGCAGCCGAGGTATGATACGGCGAGGCGGAAGCGAAAGGCGAGGGCGAGAGTATGGGTATGTACGATTTGGTCGGGGGAATGAAAAGCGAGCGAAATCGACGGAAGAGGGGTATGCGTGCGGTGGAAGGTATCGGTGTCGGTGCTGAAGAGGGTGGCCAGAGTGCGCGGGGCTCACTGCCCGTCGACCGAGGCGTAGAGGACGAGTTCGAGCGGCGCGCCGCTCGCAGCCTTGTCGGCATGGATGACCCTAGCCGTCTCGAACGCCATCGAGACGTCCTCCTCGCTCGTGATCAAGATCCTGTCGCCGTCTTCGTCACGGTAGCGAAGCCTGACCGCCGAACCTTCGACGCGCGCCTTGTCGCCTCCGCACATCCGGATCTTCTTGAGCACCTTCTCGACGAGGTCCGGGTACGAAACGTTGTCGAGCACGACGACAACAAAGGCGTCTTCGCCAAAGTAGACTTTGACGCGGACGGCAGAGGCGGCGCCGGCTGCGGCGGGAGGCGAGACGAGTCCACCGCGTCCGTTCGCGCTCGCGTACGGCAACGCGCTCGACGAGTGCGCAGAGGTGGCGGACGAGCGATCCGTCGCGTTGCTCGAGGCGGTACTCGACCGCTTCTGCTGAGACGATGCCGACATGGACGAGATCGTCCCGCCTGAATGGGTCCCGACGCCGCGCTGGCCCGCTTTCGCTGCGCCGCCGGCATGATACGCCTGGTCGATCCCGTCGGGCATCTGCGGCGAGTCGGGGATCCTCCCGTCCTGCGTCTGGTAGATGTTGGGCGACGAAGCCGACCTGTTGCGCAACATGGGCGGGGCGGCGGCGTTCTGCGCAGGGTACTGATGCGATGCCTGGCGATGGACAGGCGCGCCAGGTCCCATGCGAGGCGTGACCTCTTCCTCCTGCGTCGGCAAGCGCGAGTAGCTGCTCAACGCCGGACTGGATGTGATCGACCCCGGTCCGCCCCACTCCGTACTCTGCTTGTTCCGCAACTGTCGACTGCTCGCCGAGCTGCGAAGCGACTGGGCATCCGCGCCTGCGCCGGTCCCGTTCACGCTCGAGGTCGACGACATCCCACGCAAAGGCTGCGAAGGGAGGTTCGGCGTCCCTGGCTGACCGGGCGTCTGGTTCCGCCACTGGTTGATCAAGTTCGACGACGAGTCTTCCGTCTGCGCGCGCGGACGATGAGGCGCGCCGGCGGCGTAGCCGTCTTGGCGCTGTTCGGCGGGGAGCGAGCGCGTGACGGGTCCGCGACGCATCGAGGGTGTCGGGCGACCCGACTCGCTGGGCTCATAGAAGCCCGCCGAGTGGCCGTCGTCGTGGTGGTCGTCGTCAAAGCCGAGATGGGGCGTGCCGGGACCGCTGTGCGAAGGAGGGTAAGGCGAGTGAGCGGCGTGGAGCGAGCCGTACGGGTGGCCGTGGGGGTATACGCCGTTCGCGGGCGAAGCGAAGCTCGACTCAGTCGTGTGGTACGAGTAGACGGACGACGCGGCGGATCCGAGCGGGCCGTATTCAGACATGGGCGTTGGGGGGAACTGCGAGGCGGGCGAGTGGACGCTGCGTTCGGAGCGGCGGCTTGACGAGAGGTGGTGCGCGCGACGACGGGTAGGCGCTTCCTCGACCGCCTTGTTGATCGCCTTCTGCCACTGCTTGAGCAGCTCCTCCGTCCGGCACTTGATCGTGAAAGCCTCCTCGGCCACGTCGCCGCGCCAGCGAACTTCGAGGAGGTACTGGCCTGCACGTCAAAGGGGCGAGCGAGTCAGTTCGGGCACACGAATCCGGGCGAGGAAAGGAACGCACCGCTTCTTGCGTGAACCTGCGACGCGCCGGTGATGTTGTTGACAAAGATGCGGCCCTTGAGCTGAAGCTTGTTGATGCGCTGGCTCGGAGGCCTCTTGAGCAACGAGTTACTCTTCTTGTCCTTCTTCCCCTGCGCCGTAACCTCCTTGCAGCACAGAATAATGCGCTCAAAGAGGTAAACGTGGTACTCGCGCTCGTTGTCGCTCTTGATCACGACAAACGTCTCTTGGAGCAAGAGGTCGCCGAACGAATTGATGTCGTGGCCTTTCCAGTCTTCGACGCGGCGGGCGAGGTCGTCAACCGCTTGAGCATTGTCCTTGCGCCGCTTCTCCTCGTTGACTTTGTCCGTCACGCGCATGATCGACTCGAGACCGGCTTTGAGCTCGTCGTAGAAGGGACCCGTGTCGGGCGTGTTCTTGAGCAGTTGCTGTGAGTGCGCGCGAGGGCGGAAGGTCAGCTGGAATCGCGGGAAGTGGAATGGAGAAGAGACGCACCGAGATGAGCAGCGGGTACTTGCATATCCGCTGAACGGGCTTGATGAGCAGCGGCGCGAGCTCCGACACCGGGTCGAGGACATGGCCGAGTTTCTGCGCGTTTCGTCCGATCAGCCTCCACGCGCGCGAAAGAGCAAGGCGAGACGCACCGAAAGAGCGGCATTCTCTGCTATGGCGAGGTCTTGCGCGTTCGTCAAGTTCGCACAGTACGGCTCGTAGCAAGCAAAGTTGTCCTCCTGCGAGCGCGAGAATCCGTCAGTTCCGTTCGCCTCAGAACTGATCTCGCAAACTACGACGCGAAGCGTACGAGAATTTCGGGGAGGGGAGAGAGAGCAAAACGCACCATTTGCAAAAAGAGGTTCCCGAACCTCTGCTGTTCAGGCGGCAAGCTCGCATTCGTCTCAACACCAATGAGGAACCTCCTCTGAAAGTCGGCTAGCTTGTTGAGGTTGATGAAGAGCGAATGGATCTGGTCCTGGGTCAGGATATCGTTCATCTGAAGCTGGCGTTGATAGTCCTGTTCCATCCCGCACCATCCTTGTCAGCGTCAGCGTGGAAGGAGAGGGGTGGAGGGAGGGGTGGAGCGAACCTGCAACACCTCGAGGTCCTGCATGTATTTTCGCTCCGAATCGAGGATCTCGCGCACGACGAGCGAGCGTTCGTCCGACGGTCCTGGTTGAGGTTGGGCGGGGGAGGTGTCGGCGGGAGGGGGGAGGAGGACGCCTTGCGATTCGAGGAGGTCGAGGAGCTTGGTGACCGTGTGAACGACCTGCAAAGCATCGTGCGAGCATTGCATCAGTCGCTGCGCCCGAGAAGGCCGCACGCGCACACGCGAGCGAGCGAAACCTCCGAAATGCCCGCTCACCTTTACGACGCCGTTCGTATCCTGCCCATACAGCTCGTTGACCGCAAACAAATCCTCCTCGGGCCACTTCAAGTCCTGCTTGCAAGCCATGATGAAGTGCGCCGCGCCCCTCTGACACGCCTTGAGGTTGCTCAGTGTCGCTTGAGGGTTGACGTCGAGTTGGTGTGGATGACCGAGCTGGTTGAAGAGGAAGCAGAGGGACGAGCCGAGGCGGAGGACGGAGAGGACTTGCGAGACTGGGTCGGTTTGGGTCGTCAAGTCGGGCGGGGAGGTGGAGGTCGATGCGCCGAGGGCGGGGGAGAGGGTGGGTGTGGGAGTCGAGGAGGACGAGGCGGAAAGGAGGGACGAGTCGGTATCGGTGCGAAGGAAGCGGTCTTCGAAGTCGGGCACGCGGTACAGCCTGTCGCGGACGGTACTGCACCGCTGGTAGATGCTCGACGAGGCGGACGCGGCCTTGTTCAGCGCCGAGTTGGTCGCGACGGGCGTGTCACCCAGCGTCGAGGGCATCCGGTCCATCGCTGGCCTGACCCCCAGTCCAGGCGAACTCGACCCGCTCCCGCTCCCTCCCGCCCCAGGCGCCGGCGGCAACGGTGCCGACAGCAGCGGGGACGCGTGCGGCTGTGGATGCCCGTTGCGCGAGGCAGAGCGCGAGACGCACGAAGGGTCGAACCCGTTGACGGCGGCGGCGGTGCCTGTTCGCGAAGACGAAGAAGACGAGAAGGCGGGCTGGTCCGGCTGGTGCGGCTGCTTCTGGATGACCGACATCCTTGCGCGAGTGTGCGCCTGCTCGACAGACACGCGAGTCGCCTGGCTGAGTGCGGGAGCGAGCGAACGAGGGTCCGGGCGGAGAGGAGGTTCGAGAGGGGGTGGGTGGGGGTTACTCGCTCGTCGCTGTTCGCTCGTTCGTTCGAGTGTGGGTGTGGGTGAGCTTGTGCGAGTGCTGCTGTGCTGTCAGAGTGGCTGGGCGCGGTGTGAGAGGGAGCGATGAGAGGGAATGTGCTGATCGGGGAAGGGCGAGTGAGCGAGAGCGGGAGGAAGTGGCGCGGCGCGAGTCGGTCGATCTGCGGTCAACAGCGAGTCCCACGAACACAAGCCAGTCACCAGCCAAGTCAGCACGAGAGCAAGTGGGAAGCGGTGAGCAGCGCCAACACAAAGGCCGCTCCAAGGTCGAGGCTTGTCATTCTGAACGAGAGACTTGCCACGGCCAATACAACCACGACAAGTGAATACAAACTGAATACAAACTGCCTCGTAATCTCGCTACCCTCTCTCCCTCCGCTCCCCTGCTCTCTCTGCTCAGTCTCGTCCCGTCTGTCTGCGCACGGACACCGCTCACATTTCTCTGACCAGCCGCTGCAAGCCGCGAGAAGTCCCACGCCTCCGCACCAGCTTGTCTCCTTCGAGCCAGAGCTGCCCGTAGACCGACCCGCGAGAAGGGAACAGCCAACAAGCATGCGAGCGAGCGAGTCGGAGGGATCGCCCGGCATCGGTGATTGCTCCGAGCGAACGCGTGCAATTAGCGTGTTTCGAGAAGATGGACTCGCGCGAAGGGGGTTCGAGGAGGAGGAGAGGGAAGCTTCTTCGGACGCTTCCATTGCTCTTTCTGCTGTTCGCAGCGTCTCGTTCGACGTACTTCGACGCTGTACGACGCCTGACGAGCCCGTCCTGCCCTCTCGCACCGTCTTCGCCCTCGTCGAACCCTGCTTCTCCGCGCCCGCTCTCTCTCGCGCTCGCTTGGCCCCCGCTAACTTAGCCGTTGGCGCTTCCGCTCGCTCGCACGATCTATCTGATCCCTAGCTCCGTCTCATTTACGCTTGCCGTCGCGCTCGACCATCGCGGGCTCGGCTCGTTCCCTTCGCGCAGGCCAGGAGGACGTCCTTCACCCTCGCGTCAACTGGACTGCTGAAACGACTGAATACTGCATGGAATGCTAAGACTGAACGCTGGTGATAACGCACGATACGGAAAACGAGTGTCTGGTGGGTGGGTGAAAGAACGATCCTGCCGCCGGCTTCTCAAGCGAACACCTTCTCCCCCTCCTCCCTCCCCCCCTCCAGACTAACCTTGACGCTTCCCGCATCGCCCGCTCCGCCATGGACTACACAACTCCCATGCACCCTGGCCAACCCAGCAGGCGTGAGGACGCTCGTAACAGCGTACATCGAGTCTCCCCCTTTGTGAGGGGGTACCATCCCGCTGACCGTCGGCGGCATACTCGTACAATCGAGGATCCCGCCCGCTGTGTCCCCAATCAGGGCGAACAAGATAGGCGGCGTAAGGACCGGCGAACGACGAGTCGGGTACCTCCGTTTGATGAGCTGGCGGTCCCCAATCGCGTAGGTGAGGAGCTCGAGGTCGTAGCCCAACAACGCTAGGACAGCGCGCGTGCCGACATCGTCTTTGTTGCGGTGTGGGACGAGGAGCGTCCCGCTGCCGGACCCGGAGGAGTGGATCGAGGAGACGGAGATGGAGTGCGTCGTGTGTGTTGTACGAAGGGAAGAGGTGTCGGAGAAATAGTCCGGTGGGGTGTAGCCGTGAGTCTGTGCGACGTCGGGGTTGGAGTTAGCGAGAGTAAGGGGAGGGGAGGGGAGCGAGGACGAACCTTGACGTAGATCCAGTGCGCGAGCTCGTACGCCAGCGTAGCGATGACCATGACTGCGCGCGCCGCACACTCATCAGCACTTCCCTACCCCTCCGCAGCGCCAGCACTGGAACTCACTCGACAAATTCGCCACCTCGTCCCTCGCATCCTCCTCCCTCGCCCTCTCCAACTCGGCATTCAACGCCGCTCCAACAAACACCCTGCCTACCATCTGGCCCTCCCTCCACGCCGCCTCAAGTTGCTCGATAGTCGGCACAGTCTGCAGAAGGACCAGTTGAGGCGTTTCGGTTGAGAAGAGGGTGAGGAGGTGCGTGTCTAGTGCTGCTGAGGATGCGGACGTAGGTCGGGCGTCGGAGGCTGTGAGCGCAGGGAGGAAGATCGACCGCACTGCTGCCGAAGCAGGATTGTCCGTCCAAGTGAGGAGCGCGAGGAAGGCGTTTGCGACGCTCAAGAGGGCGGTCTGGTGCGCGGGGACTTTGCGGAAGTGCCTCTTGGGGCAACGTGTGAGTATGAGTGCGAGGAGAGGCAGGGGAGACGTGGAAGGGGTGCACGGACCAGGAGATCTCGGGTCAGGACGAGAGGCGGGAAGGGCATGGTGCTCGCGACGCTCGAGTAGGAGAGGCGAGAGGAACAGCAAGAGATGGATCGAGCGAGAGCAGTCGAATCAGGCGTGCGGTGGTCAGCGAAGAGTGGATGAGCGAGTGACAGATGTGCCAATCGACACGCCAGAAGCAGAGAGAGGTGCGAGCGGGCGTTGGGAAGGTCAAAGCGGTGTTGGAGGAGCCCCGGGCGAAGGACGCACGGCGAGGCATTGTCGCCGCCTCTGTGGGAGTGTGGAAGGAACGCGAAGACGCAGCGAACGGATGCAGCGAAGCGGACGCCGCAGGTTTGGGTTCATTGACGGCGCGGACGGATGGCGTTGAGGGCTGCACGGACTTCCATGGACTGTCGCAGCGCTCAGGCTTGATCTTCTATATTGGCAGGGACGGAGTCACCGGTAGAGCATGTCGTCTGTGCGGGTGAGAGCGAGAGGTCAGCTGAGTCTTGGCCGCCTGAAGCGCAAGGTGGGAAACGCACAGTGCCCTGGTCCTGCGATTCGATGCGCGATGTCAGCTCGGGAGCGCATCACGCGAGTAACCGCAGAGCGAGGAAAAGCCGAACGCACGGTACAGCAGCGCCCCCTCCACACCCCTCTCACCCTCCTTCATCGCCTCCTCCTCGAATTCGACAAAGTTGACTTCGCCCGTCTCCTGTTCCCCGCCACAGCCGTACGGCATCAAAGACTGGTCGAGGTAGGCGATGCGGAGCGGGACGTGCAGGGCGCGCGTGAGGGCGGTGATGGCGAGGTGGTCGGCTTCGCGCGAGACGGCCTGTAGCGGAAGCGGCGAGAGAGTCAACAGAGATCGTCGGTATGCATGCGTCGATAAGCACCGATAGCGCCTTCTCTGGGCATGACATGTCCGGGTCGCCGACTCACCTCGACCTCCCGTTCGCAGAAATCCTTCATCGTGATGCCGCCATCTGCCGCGAAGCGAGGGTCGTTTTCGAGGGCGAAGAGAAATGGCGAGAATTCGTCGGAGTGGGTGCGAAGGTAGGCGGACGTGATGAGGCGGAGAATGACGATGATGCAGCTGCGTTGCGGAGAGCGGTGAGCACAGAAGCGCGTGAGTCCTGCAAGCGGCGCACCTGTTGGTCTCCGCATCATTGAACGCTTTCATCAATCCATCACGCGTCAATCGCTCCATCCCGTCTTTCCTCTTCCCACCGTCCTTCTCTTCCGGACCCATCTGGTACAGCAAGTCCCGCAGCGGCTCCCAGAAGTCCTCCCAGACCATCTGCTCGAATCCGCATGCCGTGAGAAGGGGTAGGAGGTTTGAGAACTTGCTGAGGAGGTAGAGCGAGTGCGAAGCGTGGAGGGGGAGGTAGGTCTCGAGGAGGGAGAAGATGAAGCCTGGCGGAATGGGCGGCGTCAGCCTATCTCCGCCCGAGAGCGACGTGAACGAAGGGTAACGCACTGCGGTAGAAGCAATCCCCGTCTCCCCTCGCCCGTCTCAACCCAGTCCATCCATCCTGCTTCAACCGATCAATCTTGGCAACAAACACGCCCGACCCTCGTGCGTACTCGTCTCGCAGATGATCCAGAGGTTCAAGCTGGCCGACCAGCGGACGCTGCGCTGCCTCTTGGTCTTTTAGAGCGGCGGTGAGAGAGGCAATATCGTGGTCGTTGAGTTCTGAGAGCGGTTTGTCGGCGAGGGAAGGGTCGGACATGGCTGGTGGGCAGGCTGTGCAGTCAGTAAAAGCTTGGGTCGCGCTGAGGGGCTACTGACACACCTGCAGTCTGTCTTCGCAGAGGCTGATCCGTCGGAAGATGAAGAGGAGATGAGGGTGCTGTGGAAGGGTGCAGAGTGCTGTGGACTGTTTGCGCTCGACAGGTACGCTTCGAGAGGCTCAGGGTCAAGCTTCAGCGACTCTCAGCCCCAGGCAAGCAGTGTGAGCGATGCCAGGGAGGTGTTCAGGTCGAAGAGGTGGGGGGTCGACAAGTCTGCCTCCTCCACCCTGCTCAACCTGCTGAGATCGCATGCTGGAGCACGGCGAAGGTTAAGGTAGTCGTATAGCATGGCTGGCACACCGTCCAGCTCGTCTGCACTCGGGGCGGGCGCCTCTCTCTTCGTCCTCCAACTCGGCTCTCGACTGTTCTCCTTCGCGCTGAACCAGCTGCTGTTGCGGTCGACGGCACCGCAGGCGTTCGGCATTGCGACAATCCAGCTCGACACGTTAATGGCGACGGTGCTGTTCCTCGTGAGGGAGGGTATTCGAGGGGCGGTGGTCGTGAGTTCCTCTCTTCAGACCCCTTTCTTCCAATGGGCTGACGCTTCGAATAGCGAACACGACGAGGCGAGAATGCAGACGCCGCTGTTCTCCAGCAACAAACTCTTCTCCTTCCGACCCTCTTCTCCCCTCTTGCCGCTCTCGCCTTCTTCCTCTACTCCCGCTTTGTCGTCCCGACTCCGCATCCAGCATACTACAGCACCACACTCGCGCTCTACGGCCTCTCGACCCTCGCGGAACTCGTCTTCGAGCCGCTCTACCTTCGCACACTGCAAGACTGGCAGACCTTCACCTCGAAACGCGTCAAAGTCGAGGGTTTCGCCATGCTCACGAAGGCGACTGGGACCCTCGTCACTGTGCGCATCGTGTCGGAGGACGAGGCGCTGCTCGGGTATGGGATCGGCCAGCTCGTCTATTCGTTGACCATCTGGGCGGGTTTCGCCTGGATCTTGCGGTCTTCCACGTTGACCCAATCACCGTCGCTCAGCCTGCGCAAAGTCGACGGGCGGTTCTTTGACCAGGGTATCACGGAGCTCGGCTGGGTGTTGACGAAGCAAAGCGTGGTGAAGCAGCTGCTTACGGAGGCGGACAAGCTGGCGATTGGCAGGTTCGGGAGTACGGCAGACATGGGAGGGTATGCGGTGGCGCTGAACTACGGTGAGTGCGGAGAAGCATCTAGGCGGGTTTGGCGGGACTGACGGACTTTCCGACCAGGCTCTCTCGTCGCCCGTCTCCTCTTCCAACCGCTCGAGGAATCCTCCAGGCTCTACTTCTCCTCCCTCGCATCGACAACGGTTCACGACTCCGCGTCGCCAGAAGCCGCGTCGTCCTCCGCCGAATCCACACCGAAACCTGCCGGGCCTCCGCTTTCCGCCCTCGCCTCGGCCGCCTCCTACCTCCGCCTCCTGCTCCTCTTCTACACCCATCTCACGCTCATCTTCATCTTCTTCGCTCCCGCCTACACCACTCCCCTCCTGCACCTCCTCCTCGGCCCACGCTGGTCACGCACCTCCGCCTCGCCCATCCTGCGCACCTACGCCCTCTCCCTCCCCTTCCTAGCCTTCAACGGCTTAACCGAAGCCTTCTTCCAATCCGTCGCTCCAGCGCACTGGATCCAGCGGGGCGCGGCATGGATGGTCATTTGCGCGGCGGGCTTTGCGGTGAGTGTCTGGGTCACGATTGGGAGGTGGGGAATGGGAGCGGAGGGGTTGGTGGTGGCGAATTGTGTGAATATGGCGATGAGGATGGCATTTTCGACGGTGTTTATGGTGCGGTACTTCGGGGACGCGTTGCGGCAGGATGAGAAGGGGAAGACGGGCGAAGCTGAGGGTGAGGAGCCTGGGCAGGGTCGGCAGAAGGAGCGTCGACGAACTGCCGACAACCTCGACTGGCGAGCATGGACGCCGTCATTCGCCACGGTCGTCGTGTTCGTCGTCGGAGGGATCGTCTGCCGAAGGAGCGAAGACGTCTGGACGGAGCAGGTCATGCTTGGGCAGAGCGTTGGCGGTCGGAAGGGCGACTTGCTGGAGACGGGCAAGCACTTTGCGGTGGGTGCGGTCGCGGGGTTGATTGGGTTGGCGACAATGTGCGTTGTGACCCTCTCTCCCCTCACGACGTTCCGTCACGCTTTGCTGACCTGTTGCTCTTGCTCGCAGCTTTGTCTCACACCGAACGGAGATCCGCCAGGCGCTAGCAACTCAACGAGATCGGCGGAAGGCGGAGTGAACGGCTCATTCGTACGACTCACCTTACTTGCCTCACCTCTCGCTGCGACGCCGCCACGCCTCCGCTCGCACAGACCTTATCGGCACAGCATCTCGCGGGATGAGAGGCGGCTCAAGGACGTCGGCGGGACGGGGGATAGGCTGAAACGGGTTGAAAGGACGCTTGCGAACCCAGGCGACTCGCATTGTGTGTTCTGCGACCGCCGTTGTCCCCGACAGACTGCAGTGAAGTGCTCGAGAGCGCAAAGACAGCCCCAGCTGCCGCCGACACCGGGGTTGTGCCCTTCTCTCCTCCTCTCCTCCCGCCCACACCGGTACCTACAAAGGTGCGCCTACCGACGCGCATGCTCTCTGCAGGCTTTCTTTGTGGCTCAAATCGCTCGAAATTGAGGCAAACACTCTAACATTGCAGCTACTGACCATGCGTGTGTGCTCGAGGCGACTCGTCCAGCGAGAAGTCCGACAGAGCGTTCGCGCTCGAAAGTGCGCGTGCAGATGCGCATAGTGGAGGCGCATATGCGCATAATAGTAGTGTAAATGCGCTTCCATACGCGCACGTCAATTGTACAACAACCCCTGTCTCCCGCCGACCGAGGTGTGTCGCTGTTTGGACGCCTGCAACACGCAACCTAGTCCTCCGCTAGGCCTGGAGCGGGGCCTCAGCTATGCTCTGAGCCTGTAAGCTGTCGTGCAGCAAAGTCTGCGGGGGTTTGCGGCGGGACAGAGAGGTGAGACGCAGGAGAGCGACGGAAGCGGAGGACGACCGAGTGTCAAGGTCCTCGAGGTCGACGGGACATGCTAGGACTCAGTGAGAGCAGGTCAATCAAGCCTAGCATCCCGCAGGACCTCAAAGCGGGCGGGAAGAGGTCCCCTGAAGCGGCCACGCCTCCTCATACGCCAATCCAGGCGCACTATGCGCCGAAAGTGCGCCTGGAAGCATGCGCACCTCAATCTCCAGTCCACCCCTGTCCGTCCGACGATCTTCTCGAGCATGCGCACCTTTGTAGTGGGCAGGCGCACTCGCAAGCTGATGAGGAGGGTTTCGGCGGTGTACAGCGTCGTCGGGGGTGTAGCGGAGCGATCTGTGTGGATAAAACGGTCGCAAGGAGCGTTCTGCAGCTATAGCATGATCCTCAGCCCCCTCCGTAGCGTGGACGTCGGGGCTGAGGTGCCGCGCGATGACAGGCGCACCTTTGCACAAACCGCGCCCACACCTCCGCCGCCGCACGCTCTCATCCCCGTCCTCTCGAGGGCGGGCTGCTGCTTGCCCTGGTCGCTTGTATGAACGCCATGGACCGCCAATAGCACGCGCTCACAGCCCAGCGACTCTTGTCGACCCCCGTCGACCCCGCCTCTTCTCATCAGCAGAGCGCCTCGACCTCTCGCCCCCTCTGGGCGTTCTTTTGAGCAGCCCAGTCTTTCATACAGCACCTTGTAAGACCATCGACCCCGCCAGCGTGCTCCCTCGTCCGCCTCACCCGCCGCCTGTTCCTCTCATCCGTTTTCATCGCGGTCTTTGCGCCCTCGCCCAGGATGATCATCGACGGCGTCAAGGTGCGTGCCAGGCTCTTTTTCAGCCCACCCCAGCATCACTGCCGCGATCGCAACCGCCCCTGAGCTGTGGGACACCCCTTGCACCCGCCTTCCCGCACGGGCTTTGTTCGAGGGTCACCCGCCCGTCCATTCAAGCTGACCCTTTTTCCTTTGCGACCCGTAGTACAGCTGCGAGAGCTGCATCAAAGGCCACCGGCAAGCCAACTGCACGCATGCAGACCGCCCTCTCCGCGAGATCCAGAAGCGCGGACGGCCCGTCACGGCTTGTGCAGAGTGTCGCGAGTTGAGGCGGGCGACGAACTCGCACAGGACTTGCGTGCACAATCAGGACAAGGTCGACAGTGCGTCGGCAGCTTCTTGCATTCTTTGCGTGAGATCGCAAGACTGACTTCGCGTTCCACGATTTGGCGCAGCCCACGAGGTCCTGCTCAAGGCGCTTCCGAACGGCGCGAAAGACCTCCAGTCCATCTCGCTCGTCCGCCGTCCGTCCTCAACCAAATCGCACGGATCCGTCTCGTCGGCCCCTTCCACCTCGCACCGCACGAACCCCGCCGGTCCTTCTGCCTCGTCTGTCGCGTCTGAGGAGGACTTGGCGACTGTCGGGAGAAAGAAGAGTCTGTCGCGGCCCACGAGCATCTCGAGGAAGAGCTCCTCGGCCAAGGACAAGAAGCCGCACGACCTGGCTCACGGGCACCTCGCTGACCACCCGACGCACTTCTCGGCCGCGTACTCTCCCTACCCGCACCACACGCCGAAGGAGCACCACCACCACCATGTTCCGTCGCCACTTGCTCATGACAAAGAGCGCGGCGAAGGCGGTTCGAACAGGCCGTCGCCGTCGGGTTCGGGTGGAGGGGTCGTCAAGACTGAGGCGCCGACTCCGCCGCTTCCGCCTCTCCCTCCACTTCCTCCCAGCGCGTCCGACCTCGTGCTTCCCCACCTTCCGACTCTGCGCCCGCAAGAGCAGTTCCAGCTTCCCAATCCTCTTCCTCTTTCTCGCGCTCCCGCTCCTCCCGCCTTCTCGCCCGACCTCGCAACTTCCGCACCTCGCCCTGCGACACCGCAGTTGACGAATGAGCAGCTCGCCTCCGCTTTCTTCTTCCGCGACTTTCCTCCTCAAGCCGTCGCTTCCTCCTCTGCGTCTGCTTCTCCCTCCGTCCCTTCGCCACAGCACCAGCAACCCGTTCCTTCGAACTCTACGCCCGAGCAGACTTCAAACCCAGACTACGAAGAGTTCGAGCGGTTCAAGGCGTCCCTCGAAGGCGCAAGCGGGTTCGACAACGCAATGGGCGACTTGTCCTACCCCTCCCTCTCGGACTACCCTCTCTCGACCTCTCTCCCCTCAATCGACCCCGCCGTCGCATCCTACGTCCTCGGACCCGAACCCTCCCGTCCAGCAGTCTCCCTCGCACCGATGTATGGCGCGGAAGGCGAATCGTTCTTCTCCGCCCCTGAACCGCCCCCTTCCGTCCCCTCCGATTCGGGCTTCGATTTCTCTGCGCTTGCGTTCGCGGGAGCGGGTCCTGCGTCGGCTGCCGAGACGACAGAGTACCGCAACCCCGTCGATCCGGTCTCTTCCGCCGCCTCGAGCGATATCTTCGACCTCGGCGCCACCAACGCGCATCCAGCCATCTACGGCTATCCGCTCGAACCCGTTTCGTCAAACTACTCGGCCTACGAAAGCGCCGCCCCGTCCGTCGCGCAATCCGTCTCTGCGACCTCCGCGCTTGAACGACTGGACCTCGCTCCCGCGCGGGGTGCGACTCAAACGCCCTCGAGTGCGAGTGCGAGCGCGGCGAGTCAGAGGAACGAGCCGGATGCGGTACCGGGGCAGACGGATCTCGATGGGATCCTCGAGTGGCTTGCGTCGAGTACCGCTGCGGGGGTTCTGCCTCCTCCGCCTTCTTCGTCTGTCGCTGGACCGGTGAGGCAGGATTCGCGCGGCAGTGGGTACGCGAGCGCGAGTGGAGGGAGCGGGTACGCGAGTGCGTGGCCTAGCGCGCCGCCGAGCGTGGTCGGTCAAGGGGTGGGCGACTGGTCGGGCGTCGAGGAGAGCAGCGAGGGGCGGGACTCGCCTGCCCCTGCTCCGGCTCCGGCTCCGAGGTTGCAGTTCAAAGAGGCGGAGCGGGACGAGGAGGAAGAAGCGAGGAGGAAGCGGAGGCCGCGGAACGCGGATCTCGAGATGTTCCGCTCGGCGACTATTACCTGCGCCGACGCTGCTTTCTCGTCCTCCACTTCGCCCGACCTTTCCGACCCCGACGGCGACGACGACGCCGAAGCGGAAGGAGGCGGGGAGTACAGTTTCACGGCGGACGACCTCGAGCTGGACAAGTTTGGCGTCGACGAGGAATGGTTCAGACGGTTGGGGTTGAGGACGGGTGGAGGTGGTGCGGATTGGGGAGGAGGAGAGGGGGACGAGTTTGATGATGGGTACGAGGAGGACGACGAGGCTAGTGTGGTTGGAAGGCAGGACGAGGGGCGTCGCGAGGAGGAAGACGAGGGCGATTGGCGCGGGGATGAGGAGTTTGGCAGTGGGGCGCGGCATGAGCCTGCGATCAAGGAGGAGGAGGAGGAGGAGGAGGAGGACGAGGCAGACGAAGGGTCGGGAGGAGAGAGGCGAATGGTGGACGAGCACGCGCACGACCGCGGTGGCATGTGGTGGAGTTGACACACGCCCTTACACTCTCGCACGCCCTGTGTGCATACGCATCACTCGCACACCTGTTGTTCCACCTCGCTCGTTCCGCGGGTCGCTCGCCTCGCTCGCCCTCTCTCTGTGTCGCAACTAGCATTCACTACTATTCCCCTTTTGTATGTGTCGATTACTAGACGCTGGATTTACCCGGAGCAGGTTGTCCCGGCCCGCGTCTCCGGCTTCTTGTCCGGCTGCTCGACGCTCTTTCGGCTCGCTCTCTCTTTCCCTCAAACTCGTCACTTTCGAGCACTCCATTACCCTCACTACTCCCACACACACCGCACACGAACAACCCGCGCCGCCATGTCCGCCCAGAACCGCCTCCAACAAGTCCAGGGCCAGCTCTCCGCCTCGCACCCCAAGGGCCTCCTCGCCGGTGAGGTCGCAGTCATCACTGGCGTGCGTGCCGTTCCTACGCGCTCATCGTGCGCCCCCGAACTGACCAACTCGCGCTTGCCGGTTCTCCTTTGATCCCCCACTTTCCTCTCGTCCCGCGGCCCTCATCGCCTCATCGCCTGCTTTCCACTTCCCTTGTTCTCACACTCGCTCCGACTCGCAGGCCGCCCAGGGTATCGGCCGCTCGTGCGCCCTCCTCTTCGCCGCCGAGGGAGCCAAGGTCGTCGTCTCGGACCTCGATGGCTCCAAGGCCCAGAAGGTCGTCGACGAGATCAAGCAGAACGGCGGAGAGGTCATCGTCGTTGCGGGAGACGTTACCGCCGATGACTTTGCCAAGAAGCTGATCGAGCAGACTGTTGCGTGAGTTTGAGGCGATTTCTCACTTGAGCGGGCGAGCGCGCGGTTCTTTCGGCTGGTTGCGGGCTGGTCGGCTTCTTTGCGTAAAGATGCGGAGCGCTGGCTTTGCAAGGCGCGAACTCTCCACCGAGGATTACGCGGCTGACCGTCTCTTTGCCCTTCGCAGCGCCTTCGGCACCGTCGACCACATCGTCAACAACGTGCGTTCGTTTGCATCTGTTCTGCGCGAGACTACTCGTTTTGACACCTCGCTCCATCGCAGGCCGGCTTCACCTCTGACAAGGTGCGCTCCCATCCTCGACAAGCTTCTCCCTCCCTCATACTGATCCCCTCGTTCGCGCAGATGCTCCACACGATGACGGACGACAACTACGAGTTGATGCTCAAGGTCCACAACGTCGCGCCCTTCAAGATCATCCGCGAAGCCGCGCCGTACCTCCGCTCCAAGGACCCCAAGCGCGCAAAGGCCAACCGCTCGATCGTCAACGTCTCTTCCGTCGCGGGTCTGCATGGAAATGTTGGACAGACTAACTGTGCGTGCGAAAGATCTCGTTTGTTTACGAATGGGAGCTGACGTATTGGTTGTGCAGACGCGACTGCGAAGGCTGGTGTTATCGGCTTGACCAAGACGTGCGTTCCAGCCGATCCCTTTCCCCTTCTTCTTCTGTACTGACTCGGCTCTCACAGTGTCGCAAAGGAGTGGGGACCCTTCGGCGTCCGCGCCAACACCGTCGCCTTCGGGTTCGTCCGATCCCTTCCTCTCCTTCTCCTTCGCTAGCTCATGCCCAATCGCGCGCAGCCACATCCTCACCCGCCTGACGCAAGCAAAGGAGCTCGGCGAGACTATCGAAGTGAACGGAAAGAGTGCGTCCCTCTCTCCCTTCTTAGCCTCGTGCTAAGCTGACGAGGGTGCTGCAGAGATCGCGCTTGGGATCCCTACCGGCGGCAAGAAGAAGGACGACAAGCCCGAGTCGTACCCTCACATGTGCGTGCGAGTCTTTCCTACAATCTGGAGGAGTGCTGACGAGGTTTGGCGTCGACAGCCCCTTGAACCGCCCTGGAACCGCTGAGGAGGCCGCGAAGGCAGTCTTGTTCTTGTGCTCCCCGCTCGCCGCCTATATCTCGGGCCACACGCTTGAGACCACTGGAGGTATGGGAATCTGAGCACGCCGTACGTCCTCTCTCCCCTCCCCCTCCTCGTCTCGGACCGTCCCTGACTTCCCTCCGCACCTCCAGCTCTAGGTCCGCGACCTCTCTCGTCTCTTTCGTTCGTTCAGGGTGTAATTCGGTGCATTCGCAGTTCCTGTCTCGCAGTTCGTGCATCGAGACAAGGGAAGCGAGAGCGAGGTGGAGGAGCAGGTCTTGGGAGACGATCTGCTGCTTTCGGAAGTCGCTCACGAGCATCTTCCGCGTCAGCACACCTCTCTGGCTTCGCTAGGAGTCCCAAAGAAGTACACGAGAGAACCTTGCGCTCCTCGTCAACTCGCGCTCCCTCGCAAGTCCGCCTCACGTTGACCAAGCTCCCTTCAGTCTCCAAAGGTGCAAACTTGCTGCAATACACAGTCTATCAATAATCGTCGAGTGTCGGTGGAACATCGGTGTCGACGGAAAGCATCTTGCTCAAAAGGCGAAAATTCGCGCGAGTCACCTTGTCTAGGTTGAACGACTCGAGGAGCGCGTGCAAAGCCGGTGAAGGACCAAACTGTGCTTCCTCCCTGATGTATCCGACCAGCACGAACGGCTCGACCGCTCGGGGAAGCCATCCTGCGAGGCCCCGTCGATGATGGCGGTGATGCGGCCGTCCTTGACGATGATGTTGCCGCCGTGCAAATCTGCATGGACGAGCCCGACGCCGCCTTGTACGAGACAGTCTTCAACGTTTGGCGGCGCTGAATACCGCGCGCAGGCCTTGCTTCGTCGCCCAATCTCGAAGCGGATCCACTTTTTGAGGTCGTCGACATCGTACAAGGCCGGCTCCGGCTTCTGCGTGAGGACCGCTTGAAACGGACCGCCAAGTCGGCGCGAAGCTTTGTTGTCGCAGGCGCCGAGTCGGACGCCGGGAGGTGCAGGAAGGGAGGCGAGTTCCGAAAGGATGAAAGTAAAGTCGGACTTGATGTGGTTGATGTCGGCGGAAGATAGGGTGTCCCATGCGTCATCGAGTGTGTTGCCCTCAACGTACTCTTGGTAGATGAAGGTCTCGCCAGCGTCGTCCGACATGCCGAGAAGCTGTTGGATGCCAGGTCAGCCAGCGAGAAAGCAGTCGCTGGTGAGGAGGAAGGCGGCGCACCTTGGGTACAGGGATCCTAGTCTGTTGCGCGACGAGACGCATCACCTCTCCTTCCTCACGCGCGACCCTCGGTCCGTACTTGACAACCATTTTCCTCGCCTCCCAAGTCACCGCAACAACGAACACCCCCAACAACTTGCAGTACCCAGGTCCTTGCGTACTGAGGAGCCGACCGTTCAGGCGTACGTATGAGGGCGATGGCAGCGAGGCAGGCGGGACTGAAAGGCGTTTCAAAGCAGGTGAGGGCGCCGCATCATTCATGAGTGGGCCAAGCGGCTGTCTGGCCGGTGCATGTGGCTCATCAGAGGCGCCGCACTGCATCAAAGAAGGTTCAGCTGGTGAGGATCCGCCGGGGAAGCGGTGTGGGCCAGAATAAGACGGGAGGGATGCGGTGGAGGCGAAACGCGGCCAGCGGGAGCTGTAGAAGGCTCTGTATACGTGTACTGGGAAGCGAAAGCGCAGGAACCTATGGGACAAGCTTGTTTGAGAGCGTGAATGGAGGACAACAAGCGGAGGAGGAAAGACAGACCGACGGCTCTTCTCCATCTCACAGCTTCCTGCAACTCGGGTCGAGCTTCTACAGATCCGCTACGACTCTCTGGCCACGAGCCGTTTCCAAAGAACGCCATGAGCAAGAGCTGACGCGTACATCCTCGCGCTGAGGGAACGAGGGAAAGTTGGAAGTGTCCCTCGATGACTGCGCCAATATTGACTGATCATCTATCAGTACTCGTCACCACCCTGAAACTGCTCATCAGGCCACGACTGCAATGCGTCAAGCACCTCTTCGAGGCCTTCGAGAGTCCGCTTCTCTATGTTGAGCGCCTCGAGGAGCGCCGCCATTGCCTCGCAGCATGGGGAAGTTCTTGTTCGGGTAGGCTGTGAGCGCCTTACTCAAAATCTTGAAGCCCTCGAGCGTCTCCGCATCGAGATTGAAGGTCGCAAGAAGCGCCTGCAACCCCGCCCGGCATTCACAGCGGTGTCGCTCGAGATAGGTGACGAGCGTGTACGCCTCAGCAATGCGCGGCAACCATGCTGCCTCCGCCCAGTCAACGATAGCGGCGATGCGTCCGCTCTTGACGAGGATGTTCCCGGCGCTTAGGTCGGCGTGGACGAGACCGATGTCGCCTTGCGCGAGGAAGCGCTCGATATCAGCTGGGATGGACAGCTCGTTGAGCGAGTGTGAGCGCCGGTTGATCTCGAAGCGGATCCATTCGCGGAAGTTGACCAGTGTGCGCAGGGTCGGTTCGGGACGGTAGCTGCGTGTGACGTGGCACGAGTCGGCGACGCGGGCGTGTAGAGACATGTTGTAGTTGCCGAGGAGGACGTTGGCGGGCACGTCGATCTTGGCGAGTTCCGCGATGCAGCGCGAGAAGTCGGAGGTGATGCTCTTGATTTCGGCCGGGGTGAGACTGTCCCAGGCGTCGGCGAGGGTCGGAGCATCGACTAATTCTTCGTAGATAAAGGTCTCGCCGGATGCCGCATCGACAGCGACACCAAGCACCTTTGGGAGCGAAGGAGAGGTGAAGGAGTGGTCAGCAAGAAAACGCGATTGAAGGAAGGCTGAACGACGCACCGCAGGAACAGGGACAGTTGTATCCTCCCTGACCAATCGCATCACCTCGGCCTCCGACGAGAACACTTCTTCGCCGTACTTGATGAGAATCTCCTTTCCTCGCCACGTGACCCGCTTGACGAACTGTCCGTGCAGTCGACAGTAGCTCAGGTTGTCTGGATCGACATGTGCGCCATTCGTTCGAACGAAAGAGGGAGACGGAAGATGTTGAGAGAGCGACGGCCGTTTCGAGGACGAGGTGAACGAGGGTGAAGAGGCGACAGGCCGATTCGTGCGGGGTGCGAAAGGCGTTCGCGGGTTGATCATGACTGCTGTGCACGATGCTCAGTCGCGCAGACCTCGGTGAACTCCAAACCTTGGACAGAGGTTGACAGAGAGAGCGATGAAGGGCTTCGCCGGGGAAGGGAACGCGAGGGCGCGGAAGCCAGCGTAGCAGCGAGAAACTCAGTTGAGAAGCGGCGAAGTAGAGTCGGGCAACCCCAAGCGGGGGCTTTTGTGCGACGAAAGAGGAGGAGGAACAGAAGGCAGGGGCAGAAGATCTGGAACCGCTTCCCTGCTTCCAGTCGTTCGTCCCAGCTCGCTTGCAACAGAGAGACGCTGTGGCGCCAAGACAAGCTGCAAGGGCGCCGACAAGCGCAAGCAGAGCGCATGCATAGAGGGGACATCTCGTTTCTCGCTACGACGACGCGAGCAGCACTGCAATAATCACAGCTTCACCAAGACTCCGCCCAGTGCGCCGAATCTGGACCCGCATTCAGCGCCATGTGCACGAACAGCAAACCTTCGCGCGTCTCCGGCTCGAGGTCGAAAGTGCTCAGCAGCCCCTCCATTGCCGGTGGACACCCGTATCGCCGTTTCTTGATGTACCCAACGAGGGCGAGCGGCTCGACGATGCGTGGTAGCCATCCGGTGAGTTCCCAGTCGATGATGGCGGCTATCCGACCGTTCTTGATGAGGATGTTCTCGCCGTGCAAGTCGGCGTGGACGAAGCCGACGACGCTGCTTGTGAGGAGCTGGTCGAGGTTGGCCGGTGATGGTGGGAGCCTCAAGAGTGCGCCACGACGGCGATCCATCTCGGAGCGGATCCAACCCGCAAAGTCCTCAATGGTGCGCATGACAGGCTCGGGCTTCCGCACGAGCAACGCATGGCACGATTCGCCCACGCGAGTGTCGAGCTTGTTGTTGCAAGCACCGAGCACGACGTCGTGCGGTGGCTCGAGCGTGGCGAGTTCGGCGACATAGGCGGAAAAGTCGCGTTGGATGGCGGCGAGCTCTAGAGGAGAGAGGTTGGACCAAGCTTCGGCGAGCGTAATCCCGTCGACGAGCTCCATGTAGATGAACGTCTCGCCCGTCGCCTCCTCGTGCACGACGCCGTAGACCTGCAGACTCGAAAGTCAGCGACTCAGCGCGCGCACGAGGTTGGCGAAACGGCCAGTCTCGTCGCACCTTCGGGACAGGGATAGAAGTGTTCGCCTTGATCATCCTCATCACGTCTGCTTCCCCGCTGGAGACCGAGATGCCGTACTTTACGATAATATCCCTCCCGCCCCACTGAATCCGCTTGACGAACACGCCCTCGGCTTCGCAGTCTACCGGTCTCCGCGTGCCGATCAAGTAACCGCCTGTACGGACGTCGCCAGGTCGGGGCAGGGGTACCGACGACATGAGCGGCAGAGCGGGGTTCGTTGACGAGGAGAGAGGTAGGTAGGAAGGCGTTTTGACGATTTGTGCACGGGTCAGTTGGCTGCCTGTCCCAGGCTGGTGTTCCTTGGTGGCTTTGTGCTGCATCCAAGAGGGGCAGCATGCGAGGACTCGCGAAGCCGTCGACAGAGGAGGAATGCCGAGGAGACAGGCCGCGAGGATCTTGCGAGAGAGGCAGCGCACTAGAAGCGCAGGCCGACACAGGACAAAGCCAGACGAGACACGAGCGACTTGATGGTGGTTTGGACGAGCAGGGTAGAGGAGGGTGAGGAAGGAATGGCGCGGGAAAGGTGGGCGTCGTGAGAACTTGGCAGGTAGCGCGGGACAGTGTTAAAGCACTGACGAGCGTGACAAGCTTGTGTAGCAGCGTGAATGGAGGAGGAAGAAGAGGGAGAGAGCTCTTCTCACCAACAGAAGCGCCGCCTCGCTTCTTCCCGGCACTTGTTTCGCACTTCTGTGCGCTCAATACAGCTGTCTCTTACCATTAGGCTGAGCAACGCGGGCCACGAGCGAGGGTTGACGCGCATACATCGTCGCGTCGAGGCGAACTTCGTCCTCCTGCCCTCAACCACTCGCTCACACTGCTCGGAACGCTCTTTACGCCCGTCAGACGACTCATATACCCCCTCGCAACGCACCACAAGTCACGCCATACCCTTCCGCTCGCCTTTGTCGCCCCGTCACTTCTCATCAGTTTCGCTCGAACCTCCTGTCCGGGCAAAGGGCGTCGCGTCTCGCAGGGCGGGGTGAGGCGCTGGGAAGGCTCGCAGGCGTCTCGAAAGGGAGATGAGTGCACAGGAGACGCGTCGCCGGCCAGGCCCGCTCGTCCAGACTTCCCACGACCCGACTTTCGATGCACGCGTCTCACCGGAGGGCAGCGACATGTGGGCTCCCGTGGGTAGAGGATTCGCGGAGACTACGAATGAAGCGGCTGCGAAGGCTCTGGCGAAGTTCTATGCGGAACAGGCGCGAGATGGAGGCGAGACGGAGAGTGTGGTGCAGACGAGGGTGGATGAGAATGGTCGGACGGTGTACAGGGTCAAGTGAGTACTCGTCCGACGGCCGACGGAACGTGCGGCTGACAACAGGACCCGCAGACCCATCGCCGACTCGCCAATCTCGCCTTCCTCCTCCTCATCCGCCACCTCCTCGCACATACCCTTCGCCCGGCCATCTCATCAGCCTATGCCTGCCGCAACACGCCCGAAGATTGCGCTCTACCGCAGCTCACTCCGCCAGTCCCGCTCGATCCCCGCCCTCCGCTCGACACCGCTCGAGGCGGAACCTTCTCCTTCTCCCGCCTTGCTCAGTCCGACCGCCGCCGCGTTTCACACCGCACAGACAAGTGCGGCGAATACGAATCGCCTACGACGGATCGGTAGCTCGCCAACCCTGAACTCGACGCCTGCGTTCGTGCAGCAGTCCTCACACGACAATCGAGACAGCTCGCGGTCGTCTTCGTACGAAGGGGACGTACTCGGTCGTATTTTGGGCTGGCGGGAAGACGTGACGCTCCAGCAGCATGCGGGGCTGAAGACGGGTACGGCGACGAAGAGCCGGAGGGAAGGGACGGCCAGGGTTGGGTTGCCCGACTTGTTCAGACGGAAGGGGAGTGCCGCGACGGGCAGTAGCGGCGGCAAGAGGGGGAGAAAGGGTAGCGCGCTGAGCACAGCAGAGACGGACACGACGGACCTCCCTGACGATCGTGAGTCTGCCATTCCTCGTCACATCCGAGATCTGCTAATGACGGCTCGCAGTAGTAGTCGAGGAACTCGACACCGCTTTCGACGCAACTCGCCTCGACCATCCGCTCGCCTCGCCGCCAAAACGACCGTCTTTCGCTCGCGGTCCGTTCGGAACGGGCGTACGCATCCCGCGAGCCGTCTCTCAGGTCCCGCTCGGCGGTGCGTTGTGGACGACTCAAGGCGAAGCGAGCTCACCGCGTCCACCGCACCCGATGCGCGAGGTGGCGTCGAACGACTCGATCCGGACTGCTCGAGCGGACGACGCCCTGCCTCAGAGTCAGCCGTCCGCACCTCGACTGCGCTACCAAGATCCGACCGTCTTCGATGTCTTCCACCGCCCCGCCGGCTTGTCCAGTCCGCCTCTTCCGCCCGCCGACCTTCCTCACAACATCCCCTTCGGCCACCACGGCCGACTGCCTTCCTCGGCTTCTCTCGCATCGGCGCGCTCGAGCGGCTCGCATGCGTCCGGCCAGCAGATCACAGTCGTTCCTGCGGCGGGAGACGACCCTCGCTTCGTGATTTGGGGGCTCAAGAACGGCTCGCGACAACCCGTCATCCCGACCTCGCCCCCGACAACGAGCTCGCGGCGAGGCTCAGCTGCACCGCCAGTAACGCCAGGCAAGAGTGTTCGTCGCGATAGTGCGGCCGACGGCGCAAGGGACCAGGTTGGCAGTCCCGCCTCGAGCGTGACGGGCAGTCCGGCTCCGAGCGCGCGCCGCTGGAGCATCAGCCAGCGCGGCTCAGGTCCCGTCAGCTCGCCCGCGACAAGCGTTCGCGACTCGGTCGGCTCAGCGAAGAATACGCCTTTGCCGCCGTCTCCCTCCGCCCAACGAGTCCTGATGGCCGCATCCGTCGAACGGCTCGTCGCCGAGTTGACCTCGCAAATCTCCAGCGACCTCTTGACCGACTTCTTCCTCACGTTCCGCCACTTCATCGCGCCTGTCGACCTCCTGCACCTCCTCATCTCCCGCTTCGACTGGGCGATGAAGCCCTCCACGCAGCCGCAAGGTGGGCTCTCCTCTTCGAGCTCCTCGTCGTCTCTGGCAGCACTCGCAGCAGAAGACGACGCCCTTCGACGAGTCGTCCGCGTCCGCACCTTCGTCGTGATCCGCTACTGGCTCCTCAACCACTTCATGGACGACTTCTTCCCCTCTCGCGAACTGCGGACGACCTTGACGGTCTGGCTGAACAACGCGGCGAGGGATGAGCGATTCAGGTCCAGCCCGAAGGACGCAAGGCTCATTAAGGGTCTGAAGAAGACGGCGCGCAAGTGCAAGGAGGCGTACATCCTCGGCGCAACTTCAGCGGCGGTGGCGACAAGCGGAACGAGTCCTGCCCTCGGCGCACCGGAAGACGAGCTCGACCTCGATCTGGCAAGCGTACCGGTCAACGGGACCTCTACAGCTCGACCTCACGACCTCGGCAGTCGAACGAAGACTCGCCTTTTCGCCACCTCGTCGCCGTCTTCCCCTCCTCGCCTACACAGCTCGGTCAACGCGCCCTTCCCGCTTCCCGACTCGACCTCGCAGCAGAATCCGATCGCCCGCAGCTTCTCCTCCGCCATCGGCTCAATCGGTCGAATCAAGCGCAAGCTAGGCGCGGCTACCAAGGGGCAGACTGCGCATGAGCACAGCGGCTCGCGGAAGGGCTTCGAGATGACGGACAGCGCGGAAGGCGACCTCCTCCGGATCGAGGGCGGGCTGGAAAAGTACCTCGAGTACTGGGATATCAAGCGCGAGTTGGACGCAGTCGTCGACGATCAGGAGGTCACGCCCACGCTCACAAGCAACGCCTCGACGTTCGAGACGGACGAGATCGCTTCGCCAGAGCCGGATGTCGTGCACGACCCCGAGCAGTGTCCTCCTGCGGTCGTAGTCGACCAGTCTTCCGGCCTTGGCCTCGGCATCGCCGGCGTCGACGAACCCGTTCCCATCGCCTCAACCGACTACGCCTTCCCGGCCAAGCCTACCCCCGTACCCATCTCCGCCGAACCCTCGTACAGCGCCGACTCGACAACCACGCTGCCGGCCCCGCTTCCGTCCACAACTCCCGGCTTTATCCTCAGGCCCGGCGCATTTGGCCACGTTGCCAGCTTCGACCGCCGCGAGTCCGTTCGCATCGAACTGGACGACCTCGACGACTCGGATGAAGACGAAGACGTGATCGAGGCGAAGCGGACTCTGAAGCGGTTGCCAGCGGCGCAAGATCTGCGCTTCGTCGCCGACGGATCGCTTGTCCATGCGCAGCTCCCGCTTCGACAGTCCATCGACTCGGAGACGAGTGATCTCTTGCGGCGAAGCACACGAGGTCCCGCCCCTTTTGACTGGACGCGGGACGACCAGCCGCGAGAATCGGTTCTCTTCGTCGACGACGAAGAAGGCGTCGAGCCAGGCGTCGCCACCGTGCCCAACTTCATCCTCGAAGGTCTCGTCGACTCGGACGACGAAGAGCCCGGCGACGTCGAGGCTGCCTTGCGAAGGCTCGAGGGTTTGGTCGACGACACGAAGGAGCAGGAGAAGGCGAGGCGCGTCGCAATGCAGATGGAGAAGAGCTCGAAGCTTTCGAAGCTTGAGGAGGAGCGACGCAGGCTTGTCGAGGCAGGCGAGGTGGAGGATAGCGTCGAGATGGACGTTGATGCGGGTGCGCCTCTCGTCACGCCTGCGCACGACGATGTCGTTGCTTCTGCCGCTAGACTGCCCGACACACTCGACCTTCCGCCGCCCTCTTCGACCGCGCCAGCAGAATCTCGTTGCGTCGAGACAATCGCGAGTCCGCGGGCCGACCAAGCGCTCCCTTCGGCTCCCTCGACCAAACTTACGCCTCAGCTTGTCGCGCCCGAACCACCTACGTTCCGCAAGCCGTCCATCAGCCGCATCTTCCGACCTTTTTCGACTCGACCTGCCTTGCGACCGACGCCATCCGTCGCTCCCGCCCATCGCTCCTTCATCCTCTTCTGCAAGGCCGAGACGCTTGCTCAGCAGTTCGCGCTCATCGAGCGCGACATGTTGCGCATGCTCAGCTACACCGAGCTGGCAAGCGGGAGTTGGCAGGACCGGATCGGCGAAACGGACGTCCATGACTGGGAGGTGTACGTCAAGGAGCGTCGGAGGGCGGACTTGGTCGCGAAGGAGAAGGGCACGCAGCCCTCGAGCGCCGTGCAGGACGTGATTGCGCGGTTCAACCTGACGGCGAACTGGGTCTGCTCCGAGGTGAGCCTTTCGATCCGCTCTTCCAAGACGCAGGCTAAGCAGTCAAACACGCAGATCCTCCTCACCGCCAGCATCGATGAGCGCGCTATTCTGCTCGCCAAGTTCATCCGCCTCGCCTTTGTGAGTTGCGACGTTGCCGTTGTCGCTACTCAAGTGCTGACTCTTTGCTTCTCCGCAGAAATGCTACTGCATGTCCAACTTCCAGACCCTCACGCAGATCGTGCACGGACTGCAGATCCCCGACGTCGAGCGCTTGCGCAAGACCTGGGCCAAGGTGCCGTCCTGGGAGATGCGCAAGTTCCGCGGCATGCAGGTCTTTGTCTCGCACCTCAAGAACGTAAGTCTGCACCCCTTTCGCTCATGAGCTCCGGCCTCATTGACCCTGTGTGTCGCAGTTCAAGTACTTGCGCGCCGTCATGAACGCGCTTGTCGCGACCGAAGCTGGTCTGCCGGCCGCTCGCTCGGGTTCTTTCGACTCGACCACCGCAGCAGCTGCAAAAGGCTGCATCCCCTTCCTCGGTGCGTCTCCTTGTACTGGCCCGTGCGAAGGTGATCTGACGAGCCATCTCCGCTAGGCATCTTCCTCCGCGACCTCGCCCTCAACGCCGAGCTTCCGACCTTCCTCGACCCGACCGAGCCCGACATTCCCGCTGAAGTCGATGCTGCCGGTTCGCTCGTCTCGCTCGCCGACCCCTCTGCCTTCGAAGAACTCCCTCCGCTGCCGCCGTCCATCTCGCTCGCCCCGCTGGTCAACGTCCACAAGTTCCGCGTCCTCGCTAGTACCGTCCGACAGGTCGTCGCCTTCCAAGATCTCGCGAACCGGTACACGTTCGAACCGACACCGAGCGTGTTTTTCAAGTGCCTCAAGATCCGGTCGCTCAAGCAAGACGTCATGCACGCGCTGTCGCGCAAGCTCGAGGCGTGATCCGCACTTTTCTCTCACTCTCTCCGACTCTCTCACGCTCGTTACGACCGCTCGCCCGCCCAGCAAAGTGTACCATACCCGCGGTGACTTCCCTCCTTCCGCCTCAAAGCAATACCCGTCCCCTCTCGTCGTTCTTTGTCCACCTTCCTCCGTGTCGCCCGCCGCCAATCGCATTGCCCTGTACTCGCCGCCTATATATCCCTTCGCTCGTTCTGCAGCTGTTATACCAAGCTTCTCAACTCGTCGACCTCCTGACCGGATGAGTGAGCCCTCCTCGCATCGGTCCTGCTTCCGCTGGATCTTTCGCGTGCAAGAGAGCGTCGAGAGTGACTGCATGCGCTAGTAAAATGAAAGCGGAACACGGAACTTGGTCGACGGACGCGTCTCGGAGAGCGACGCGGGAACTCCATCGCCGTTCTTTTCCCTCGCACGCTTCGTCACATCCGTCCTTGCTCCTCTTTTTCGCTCGCGAGCACTCCCTGGTGGACTGCACTCGCACTTGACGACCTCACGACCGCCGGCACCTCCGCCCAGCGCGACGCCGCCCTTTCTTGTCCTCCTCCCGCTCACCCGCTCGACCTGCGCCAGCTCGCTCGTCCTTGACGCCCTTGCGACCTTCAGACCGGCCTTCACGTCTCAAAGTACACCTACGACGCGCCCGTCAGCCGCCACAACCCGCCAGCGCCTCTCCCATCTCCTCCGCTCGCCGACCGTTGAACAGCCGGCACGCGACACCTTTTCCGCCTCTCGGCGCATCGCAGGACTAGGACGCGTGTTCGAGACGCTCTTTACATTTGAAGCACGCTGCCAGGACTGTAGGTGAGCCCGCCGTTCCCTCCTTCATCGCTCAGGCCTCTGGCGGAATTTGGGAAGGTCGCGAGATGAGGAGGTCAGTGCGGGCCATGAAGACGACGAGGATGCCGCTCGCTCGCGCAGACGGAGCAAGGATAGATCTGGATTGCGCTGCCGAGACGACCAATACACAGGGCGTGTCGTTCCCAAGGACTGCTCGTGTTTGCGGAGCGCGTTTGGTCGTCGCGTACGGTCACGCTCAGAAATTCAAGCTGACCTGCTTCCTCCTGCTCTTCACAGCCAGTATGCTTCCCTCGTACAAGTTTCCGCGCTCGCACGGGTCGCTCGACTTGACCGATCCCGCGACCGTCCCTCCTCCCTCTGGCTCGCAGTCGCACCCTTCCCTCCTGATCACCGACTCGTACGGCCAGCACCAAGCCCCGCCAGCAGGTTCTATAGACGAGCAGTACCTCGCCAAGTACACCTCGGTCACCCAGAGTCTCTTGAACGGCGCCGGATCCGCTCCTCCCGCTCAACCAAACCCGGCGCACCTCTCGACTTCGTCGACTTACCCCTCGAAAACCCTCTCCCGCATCTCTGAATACTCGGAGTCGGCGTACTCGTCTGTCTCACGCTCGCGCGAGTCGCAGCAAGAGCCGTCGACCTCGTCCACTCATTCGCACAACTCGTCCGCTCCTTCTCTCGTCGACCCGGCTTTCGCGCTCGGCACACCTTCCATGTCCTTCCCCTCGCCGCCTCAGCAGGCGCACCTTGCCACCTCAGCACCCTTGCCGGCGACGAAGCCCGTCGTTCCAGCTCCCGCTCCTATTGTCCTCTCCGTCACGAACCCCGACACACCTGAAGGCCTGAGCCCGGCACCCTCGCTGAAGAAGCACCATCTCCCTTCTCGACCACTCACAACGCCCGTCCCGACGTCCAATCCCATCCCTCTGCCTGTCCCCATCGACAACTTTGCCGCTCCGCCAGGTCAGGAGCGCTCCGGCAGTCCGTGGAACAACAGCTCGCCCACGCCTAACCAGCACCAGGAGGTCATGGTGCAACTTCCCGGCCGGGGCTCCGTCTTGGCGTACAACAACCGCGACTCGCAACACGTCCAGAAGGACAGCGAGGCGACGACCGCTTGGATGACGGCCGAGGACGAGAAGTACGACTCGATGTACGCCGGCGCGTACGACCCGGTCTCGCTTGTTCGCACGCACAGCGAGGAGCCGAGCACGAACCGCTTCACGCTCGACGACCAGGAGAAGATCAGCCAGCGCAAGGGCTCGTCGTCGAGTACGTCAGGAATGGGTGCGGATCAGCCTTGGCGCGAGGAGAACGCGAAGAAAGGGAACAACCGACGAGTCTTCCTCATCTTGCTTGCGCTCCTGCTAGTCGGCGTCGCAGTCGGTGTTGGCGTCGGCATCAGCCAGAAGAAGGCCTCCGAGCGGAACAACCTGGACCACGTCGCGGGCGCCGACTCGACCAACTCGATAGACTCGACGGCGCTTCCCTCTTCACTCTCCGGCACTCGCCCGACTCCTGTTTCGTCTGCCTCCTTCCAGTCCGTCATCCTCCCGCCGTCTTCTTCCCCTCGAACCGCCTCCGTCGCCACTTCCGGCACTTCTCCCTCGCGAACAATCGCCAATGCCGCAGCAGAGACGTTCTCGACCACCTTTGGCTTCGAGCGTGGCGGCAAGACGACGGTCGTCCCGCTCACGTACACCATCCCGACGTCCTACTGGACTCGAGGCGACGGGCGATGGCAGTTCACCGAGACGGTCGTCCTGCCGAACATCGACGGCTCAGGGAGCTTCACGAGCGACTTGCGGTTCAGGGTCGCGCCGACGGGAACGGGACAGGCGGCGAGTATCGAGACTGGTGCCGTTGCGAAGGTCCGGCGGGACTTGCAGAGCGAGCGGGTCAAGGATGCGCGGCGGTGGGAGCGGCGGCATCAGGACTTGGCGAAGAAGCGCGCAAGGGTGATCCGATAGGTGCGCGGCCGTTCCTTGCCATTCTCCGTCTTCCGTTGCTGACCTTCCCTCGCTCGGCAGACTTTCCTCTTCACTCCTCCGCCTAATCACTCATACAGACATTACACCTACCTCACGCTCGCCGGCCGTGCCGATACATCCATACTTCGCCCGCCCTCTCCTTGCGCAAGTCGCTGTACCTTTTGCCGCATCGCCCGGTCGCCCTCTCTGTCGCGCTGTACCTTCTGCTCATGCATGCATTGCAGCTATCGTTTCCGTCAAGCTGCTCAGCGTTGCGAATCAAGACAGCGGAAGGGTGCAGAATGCAGCTGCCCTTTGCCTCTCATCCCTCCTTGCCCGGCTTTCGCGCTTCTTCCGCTCATCGCCGATCGAATATCTGACTGACGCTGATGATCACTGGCTACCGAGTTGAACAACGCTCATATGCGTGGAGGACGACTTGCTCTCGCTCTCGCCTGCTTCCAGCTGACTTTGCAAAGTCACGCTTCGCCAGTAACAGCGCTTTTCAGAGTGCTAGAGCATGGAAGGCATTACTAGTTCCCACGGATCTCGTCACACTCGAGAAGCACCGAGCCGTCCTCCTGAACCTCGGGTCCTTTAGACCATCCTTCCCAGGAGCAATGTATCGGCTGGAAGTGACCCTCGGTGATGACGTTCTTGTCGTCAGCCGGGTGATCATAAAGGCGCCGGTAGTACTTGGCAACCTCGTCGCTGACAGGTCTGTCCCAGAAGCCCGCGACGCCATCTAAAAGTTCGCGCACTGTCACGCCGTCGACATTGACGATGTCCGCAGCGATATCTTCGCGTATGCGCACCACCAAGCGATTGCACGGAGGCGACGTGGCCATCTCCTCGATAGCCGGATCCGAGTAGGCGTTCCCTGAGACGACGTCGCCATGTTCGGTCCAGACTTCCAGACGAGCACCGGGCGCGCACGAGTGGGTAGGCTTGATGTAAATAAAGTCGACGTCGTCAAGCATCGGGTGAAGCTCGATAGGCTGGCCGGCTTTGAGGCTTTCGACCTTTGCGCCTCGGCGGTACGGCGCTGGGTCGAGCATCTTGTCGAGCTCCTGGTAAGATCAAAGCGAGTCAGCGTATCCTCGCAGACGATGATACACTCTCACGCACTTCAAGCGTCATCAAGTGGGATGCATCCTCAGCAGCCTCCTCCAGATCCTGCTCACCAACCTCCCTTTTGACCATACGCCACGTCTGCCCCGGCTCGAACTCCTCCCAATACTGCAATGCGCTTGTGGTGTTGCTGAAGGTTGCGCGCAGAAGGAGAGTGGTCGAGGGCAATCGCGGTAGGAGGCTGCGGAAGGCGGACGGTCGGGCAAGGCGAAGTGCGAGCATTGGGTGTTGTAGTAATGGAGAGGCGAAGAGCCGAGCGGAAAGGAGAGGGGACGCGCAAGCAGGAGCAGAGCAGGAGGGAAGATTTGGACGAACGCAATCTGGATGAGCTAGCGAAGCGAAGCAGGGTCCCCTCATCCGCGCTCAGGCCGGGACATCGAGCCGCGCTTCGTCGAGGTCAACAGCGTGAAAGCAGGCGAGTTGACGGACTGGCCTTTGCTGTCGGTACTGCCGAACACTTGTGGACCGTTCCTCGATGCACGAAGCTAAAAAAAAGACTTCGTTTCCTGTCCGAACAGGAGCGACCCTCGATGCCGTACATTGGCGAATGCAATGCCCGAGTCTGTCGAATCTACCGAGCTGCTCGAGCGAGGTAAGGGTCAGCGGGGATGGCTAGGAAGGTGAGAGGGGGAGCATGCGCACCGAGAACTCATCTCGCTCGCGAACGTCACGCCCTTCAAGGCCGGTGCGCTCCACAGTATGCCAATCACGAGTGTAATGAACGAGCTGACGGCTTCGACGAGGATCTGCGAGGCCGTGTGACGGCACCATCCAGCTTCATCAGTTACGAAGGCAGGAGGGGTGAGGAAGCGCGCACAACGCACGTCTGGGGGGATCCGCGCGCCGAGGATGCTCTCCACCTCGAAGCCACCCGTATCTGCGGCTATCCGGGCTGCAAAGGGCAGTGTGAGCCTAGTCAGCGGTCTTCGTGGTGGGAGACGAGGGACGAATATGGCTCACCTTGCCAGGCGGAGTAGGCCGAATGCAGCAGGACCATGCTAGATACGAGAATCACTAGTCTAGCAAGCATCCTAGCGGTTGCGAGGGGCAGCTTGCGGATGCGGAGCGGCAGAGGGATGAGGACAAGGTCTGGCTCCACCACCTCGCACTCGCTGCGTCCGTTGACAGGCTAGACGTGTTTGAAGGAGTGTGCAGCAGCGTGCGGGTGCCCACGAACGACCCAGGTTGGCGCCAGTCGTTACTCGCTCCCACCGCGACTCGACGGAACTCGCCTTTGAGCGCCTCGTCCTCGCGCCCCGCCGCAAGTGAGCGGCGTGGCAATGGACCGCCGCGTTGGTGATGCTCGCTTGTACGCGTCTAGCTCGCGATTACCGGTCCTGTCACCGTCCTCGCCCGTCCCTTCGAGCGAAGCAGGCGAGATCGAGGAGGCTAGGGCCGGCTTGCTTGGGCAGCGGTACTGGGCAGGGCTGCAGGCACGGAAGGTTAGAGCACAGGAGCGAGGCGAGACGGACGAGTTGGATGCGGACCTTTCGAGCGAGGACGAAGTGCGCTCCTTTCTCTTCCTCCGTTCTTCCGCTACGGCTGACGCTTCGTAAGATTTAGCTCGCCATGTCTCCCGTTCGTCTCCAAGCATACACCCTCGCTTCGTCGGCCGAAAGGCGTCGCCGCGCCCCATCCCCATCTCTCGCTGTACCCGCTTGTCGCCGCCCCTCTTCCAGTCGAACACGCTCGCCTTCACCTCGCCCATCGCCCGAACCTTCTCTCCCGCACCCCGACGAGGTTCTGCGAAAGCAAAGTCGATCTGCTTCACCCGCACTCTCGGATGCCTCGTCCCATGTCCTCGACATCATTGCACGACCGCGCAAACCCGTGCAGAGTCGCCCGAGTCGGTCTCCTTCGCCGTCGGACACTCGAACAACGACGCCACCGCCTCGTAAACGACCCCGCACAGCAACGCCTCCTCCTTCATCCTCGCCTCGCGCCTCTTCTCCCGTGGACATTCCTCCGGATGCCGCACATCTCGTCGCCGGCCGCGCCCTCCGCACTCGCACCGTCGCTCAACTGAAGCCCTACTCGGTTGAGCAGCTAAAGTACACCAAGACGCTGCTGAAGAATGGATGGGAGGGTGCTGTCGTGCGGACGAAGCGTCCAGTTGAGGAAACGGCTGAGGAACTCCAACGGAAGAAGGAGGAGCTCGCGAGGAAACCGAAGGATAGTCTAGGAGGCTGGCTCGTCAGCGACGAGGAGAACGGGACCGGCGACAGTCTGCCTCGTTTGCAGGACCGCTCGTTAGGGAGTGCGGATACGTCGAGTGGGTTGCAAAGCGACGAAGACGGCATGTCCCTGCTTGAGCGGGAGGCCAGGCGGAAGGAGCGGATGGAGCTGACGGTGGCAGCAGCAATGGGCGGGAACGGCAAGAAGCGTCGTAAGTTCTGCCTCATGCCTGCACGTTCCGTCGCTCCGCTTATCAGTGACCGCTCCCTCAGCCTACTCGCCTCACCGACACGGTCCCTCTCGCATCGACAACCCTCTTCGCCGCACGAAGGCGCCTCAATCGCGCAAGAAGCGCCATGGGGCTGCCGCATCAGACGACGGTTCCAGCGACTCGTCAACCGCCACAATCACCTCTCCTCGACAAAAGCGTCATCGACCTCGACGCGCCGAAAGTGCACCACCTTCTTCTTCGCCTGCCCACTCGCCTCGAAAAACGGACGGTACCAAGCGACGACGAGTTACCGACCGCCGTCGTTCCGGCTCGGCCACCGCAGCGTCTCGCCGACCAGCTTCTTCCGCACGACGGCAGATTCGGGCGGATAGCGAGCCTCCGACTTCTTCACCGGCTCGACAGCCTGTTGGCATGGCGAAGAAGCCGCACAACATGGCCAAGCCGTCCAGATCGGTGCATCGACGAGCTGGATCCGGCGAGCGCAATGCGCTTGACCGGGACATCCTCAACTTGCCATCACCGTCGCGGTGGAGAAGCGATGGAGATTCGGAGTTGCCGTCAGACGAGGATGAGGAGGAAGACGAGGAGGAAGTCGGGGGTGACGAGGAATCGCAGTCGCCCGACCGCCAGCTCGGCCCGTCCCGCCTCGAGCTCAGCCACAAGCGAAAACGCGCACTCGGCGCGATGATGCCCGCAGTCTTCCTCAAGAAGGCGGCGAAGGACCTTAAGCTCATGGCGCGCGAGCGCGAGGTCGGCGAGTACTCGAGCGGATCAGAGCTGAACTCGGGCGACGAGGAGGCAGTGGAGCGCGCGCGGAAGAATCAAGCGAAGAAGCGGATCGTACCAGGCGACGCGCCGATGCGTTTCGAAGGGGCAGCGTTCACGGACGAAAGCGGCGACGAGCCCGACCGGTCAGACGATGGAGTCGGCGACAAGGACGAGGAGGACGAGAACGACGCTGTTTCATCATGGCTGCAGTCCTTCGCGCCTAGACGGACAAACGCAGCGGAAGAGGATATCGTCGACCGCTTCCTCAAGCGGGCGAAGCGACCGCCGCCGAAGAAGCGGAAGGCCGGAAAGGCTGCCGAGTCTTGCGTTCGGCCTGCTGGCGAAGGCTCGACCAAGGAGAAGAAGGGAGGGCGGGAAGAGCGGGCGTCGCTCAAGGAGACCGGCAATTACGTCGTTGGCTACCGTCCTCTCGATGGTTCCGCTGCTAAAAAACGGAAGCCCCGCTCCGTCCCGCTCGACACCGACGACGTCATCTTTGCCTTCGTGCGTCAGCAGGAGCTGTCGGTCGAGGGGAAGGACGACGACGACGACGTTGTGATCGCCCCTCCGGTCAAGCCGCGAAGCGCGACAGAGCAGTCGCTGCCGAACCGAGTCTTCGCCATGTCCACCGGCGCCCCTGTCGTATCAGCGAACGACGTCCGGAACGACGAAGCCTGGGCGACGTTCGGCAAGTTCTCGCCCGACTTTGGACTCGACCGATTGCCGCCTGGCATCCGCTTTTCCTCACCCTCTTCCTTCATCGCCAACGGCCATCTTTACTCGCTCGTCAAGCCCGCAGACAACTCCGCTTCCGCTTCATGCGACGTCTACGGCCTGCACCTCTCCTCCTCGACATCGCTCGAACAGCTCGAGTCGCATCTCCCGGCCATCTGCGACGACATCCTCGAAGACCTCGCTCGTCTGGGCAAGGAGGGCGAAGTACTCGATTCTCTTGCCGACGTTGGGAAAGTCCTTCAGTACCTCGGCAAGCGTATTGACGCGGCGACAGGAGCAGAAGCAGCCAAGACCGGTTCGGCTATTTTAGCGAGCCTCGAACGCCTTGAGGGCCGACTGAACGCTAGTTCAGTGTTTCAAGCAGCTGGAAAGGATTTTCGACGGGGTCGCGTCCTCGTGGGATGGTACCTCGTCGACATCGCCGCTCGCGTCCAACGGACGACAAGCGACGTCGTCGACGAACGCCGCCTTCAGCAACGTGTCAGGTCTCTTGTGCAGGACCTCCTTCGGCATGGTCAAGATCGCACAGTCAAGACGTTGAAGGCCGCGAGCAGCGGGGACAGGTTGGTTGCAGACGGGACAGTCGAGGCGTGGCTCGGCTTGATCAGCTTGGCGCTCAAGTCCGACTCGTTCGGTCAGGCGGCTCTGACAGTCGACGTACTCTGGCGGATTGTCGAGGAGGAAGTGCGGGCCGGCCTCTCCGCTGCCGCGCAGAAAGGTCCGGCCGGCGGCGAGATCCTCGCCTACACCGTCTTGATGCTGTGCACCATCTCGCAATTCTCGCCATCCGGCGTCTCGACGTCGACTCCTCGTCTCCCCGCACACTGGCCGGCCATCATGGCGACTCTCGATGTGATTCAGCCCTCCGCCCTCGCAGCACCCGACTACAACCTCCCGACCACAGCAGTCGCCCGGCGCGATCGCTACCTCTGGATGCTGTTCGCTCGATGCCTCATTCTTGCCGAGCGGTGGGGCTGGCGGGTTGATGTCAAGGACGACCTTCTCCCTCGACTCTTCGACCTGCTCAACGCGCGCCGACTCTCCGACCGCACGACTGAGACGAGCGGCGACTTTCCCGACTTCCTGCAAGACCTCAGCAAGTTTGGCGACACTCGCCTCGACCGTTCGAACGACACCGCCTTCGCAATCTTCCTCAAGCTTGTCATCGCAGCGGCGCAAGGCTTGCCAGCGATTTCCGACGCAGACAAGCGACGTCGAGGCGCTCAGCTCACCCGCCTATTCCTCCGCCTCTCGCCGATGGTCTCGGCTGCGTGGTCACGACAGTCGGTCGAGCTGACTCGCAGCGGGTCCATCCTGGTCAACCACTACTCGCTCGACATCGCCTTCGCCATGCTCCACCCTTCAGGTGCCGCTCAACGTGTCGAGCATGCTCGTCGCCTAATCTCCTTTGCCGACGTCGACGAGGACGCGCGTCGAACCTGCATCCGCGCTGTCCTGTACTTCGCCGCCGCCTTCCGTCATCACGACTTGCCGCTCAAGCCTATCGTCGAGTGGCTCGCCAGCATCGCCGATACGCTCAAGGGCGAGTACACCGAGATCGAGCGGCAGCGGAGGAAGGAGGAGTACCGTCTTTCGAAGGACCGGTTGAAGTCAACGAGCGGGAAAGGCGACCCGCTCTGGCAGCGGGCTGTCCTTCTCACGATGGTCTTGCGGTCGGTTCAGGTCATCTTGCGGTTCAAGAAGGCGGGAGATGCGGCGCCATCCTATCCCGACGTTGCCCTGCTTCATCCTGGTGCGTAGCTCGCGCATTTTTGGTGCTGCCATCGCCTGCGCTGACATTACGCCTGCTACCCTCTCAGCATGGACCTCGCACCTGCTCGACTCGCCTCTCGCGCTCGACCCGATGATCGGCCGCGAAGCAATCAAGGTCATCGACTGCTTCCTCGACGTCCGGCGCGCCGCACTACCGCGCCAGAAAGCCATTCAGGCTGCTAACGATGATGGTCAAGGCGAGAGTCAGGACGACTTTGGCACGTTCGACGACCTCGACTTTGACGACCCGACCTTGAACGCGATGCTCGGTATCGAAGGAGATGCTGCCGGCGTTGGAGGTGGCGACGACGCGCTGCGCTCGGCGGACAAGGCTTGCGCCGAGGTGAGCACCTCGCAATCGGACTCGTCAGCGGCCGACTAACCTATTCTGCTCGCAGCTGCTCAAGACGACCATCACGCCCGCTTTCTTCCGCCTCGTCTCGAACATCTTCGTCAGCTCGTCTGGCAGCAGTCCGACAATCGCTGACCGGGTCAGCTACGCTCAGTACGCCGTCGAATGTTGGGTGAGGTGTGCTGCTGTCGCAGTCGAGAACGGCGTAGGGGTGCGCACAGTTCCTCCCAGCTTCCCTCCTGCCGAGTCTGACTTCTTGCGTGCGCAGGACTGGCGACCGTACCTGCAGTACGGCGCCCAATCGTGGAAGCGGTTGAGTGACCCCGTCGGCCGCCGCGACATCGGTCTCTTCCTGATCATCGAGATCCTCAAGCATGACCCGGCTGCGTACACCGTGAGTACCGTCTCCATAGCGGTCCCGTCCTTGTCGCTGACTCTCACACGCGTAGGTCTTCGCCGAGGACGTCCTCGAGATCTGGTTCGAGTCGATTGTTGCGCGCCGCCTCACCTCGCAGCACATCCTCACCGAGACGCTGCTCAACGTCGACATCGAGAACGTCGGTACCGTCTCGCCGCTGGTCGAAGGGCTGCCGTTCGACAGCTCCGCCTCAAGCGGGAGGATCGAGGTCGAGCAGCTGGACCTTCTGGACAAGCGACCGGACCTGCTGAAGAGTGCGTTGCTGGTTTCCCTGGAGAGTTTTAAGCGCTCACATAGCTCTCTGGCAGTCGTCTTCGAAAACGCGGCTCGACTGGCGACGGCTTCGACTGCGTCGACTCTGCCGCCCTCGACAGGCCAGCTCCTTGGCCGTGCAGGCGCGGCGCCGCTTCGGCCGAGCGTTCCTCGTGGTACCATCATGAACCTGCTTCGGAGCATGCTGGCGTCGCTGCGGGACAACCTGGCCGTGGGTGAACCTCAACTTTCAGTAGCAGTAACACTGCTGACCACCCTTCTACTCCTCGCAGGCCATTCACGACGAGACGACACGCCGCAACTACTCGACCTTCGTCCGCTCGACGCTCGCGGCGCTCACGGCGGCCGGCGCTGTCCAGCCAAGCGGATTCCAGCCCGGCAAGCGAGGGCCGTTCAACGAGACGACTTTGCCGGACATCACCCTCCTCCGCTCTTCCGCCGCGGCGTGACAGACACGACCTTCTCTGCGCTGTAGCGTTCGTTTCTACCGTGCCAGTGCATCGTCGTTCGCAACCTCCGTCGAAACAGGGGTCCGCCCTCCGTTTTTTCGTCTCTTCGCTGGTCGTCTGCAGCGAGTCTGCACTGTTCGTCTTGCGACGTCGACGTGCTCAACCATTGAACGCTCTCTGGGAAGCCTTCGCTCGAAAGCAATTTGTCGCCGCCTGGCAGCGTCATCGACTTCGCTCTTTCCACCTCGCATCCTCACCCGCTACACCTTGCTGCACTCTCTGAACACTCCGACATGGCCGTGAGTTGCTGCTCTGAGCCGCCAGACCCATCCAGCACCACTGCCAGAAGCCGCAGCTCGTGTGACGAGTACACCGCTCCTCGTCGACTTCGAGGACCTCAACTCGCTGGCACCTGCAGATGGGGCTGAGTGGAGGATTAAGGATATCTGGGAGCGGTTCAGAACAAGGCAGCACGATGAGCAAGGCCCGGGACGACCGCTGACGCTCGTTACCCTTCGTCCTCGTCGCCGACCTGTCCTCGCCGTCATTTCGACTTCCCTCTTCCTCCACGACTTTCTCCTCCACACTGCCAATACCCCCATACAGATCCAAAATCTCATCGCCTTCGGCATTGTCGGAATCGAGATCTTGACGTTCTTCGTTCTGATCGTTCCCCTGCCCTTCACCTGGCGCCGGGCGCTCTTCAAGACCATCGCCGAGTCTCGTGCGTTCCGTCTCTGGCAACTCCTTTGCTCTACGCTAATGGTCCGCCCCGAACAGACATCATCGCCAAGGTTCGCTTGCGTTTCGCAACTTGACGCCTGCAGTTCCGCTTGATTTTGTTCGCGCGCCCCCGCAGATCCAGTATGGCCTCAAGATCACATTCATCTTCATTGCCTTGATGTTCGTCGACGCCGTCAACCAGATGGTGAAGATCCACCGCGAGCGCGAGGCGTGCGTTCTTCTCTTCCACATCTCCCCCCTCTCCCAACTAATCCGTCATTCGTCGAAGGGGCAGGTCGGCGAATGTTGCTGGAGGCTTGGCACCGGACGCGCGCTCTCAAGCCGACTACCGCAGCCGCAAGTTCCTCTCGGGTGCGCCCCTCGCTTCCTCCTCTTACTGTCCGCCCTTACTCACGCTTGACAACGCCGCAGAGCGCAACTTCTACCTCCACGGCTCCTGCCTCTTCCTCTCGCTCATCCTCTCGCGCACGTACTCGCTCGTCCTCGACCTCATCAGGGCGCAGGAGGAACTTGCGATCGTCAAGGCTCAGGTGCGCTCCGTTCCTTCGCCTTCGCCTCCATAGGTTCGCACGCTGACATTTTGTCCCGGTGCAGGCCACCGGATCTCCCTCGGCCGAGGCCGCAGCCGACCCCGACAAGCGTCTCGGCGAGACGGACAAGAAGAAGGTCAAGACGGTCGTTGTCGACAAGAAGCATGACTAAACGTCACCGCTCAAGCTGCTGTTGGTGTGGAAGGCGTGGAGGCGGGAGAGAAAGAACGAGTCGCGCAGCGTAGGTGTGGGAGATACCCCTGCCGTTTCTGTTTTCTTGCAAATAGCGCTGTTCAAGTCCAGTCCCGGCTCGCTGTCCGCCAGCGAGCTGGCTTGAGAGATAGGACTAGAGCATGCTCGAGCTGTAGCCGCTGTGCGTCGAGTCTGCTAGGCAGCGAACGAGAGGAACAGTGGTCGAAGGCGGAGTGAGCAGGGCGAGCAAAGGCGGAGGAGGCAGAGCTCATTTCGAGCCCCAGGCGCCTTGTCCAACTCGCCAGCAATCTCGGGTGGATTTGAAGCGATCCAGCGAGCCTCCGTAGCATCCTCCTTTGCACTTCGCGCACGTGCCGAAAAGAACAGAACAGAGTTGCGGGTCGGAAGGAAACAGGCTACGTCTACGCTGTCGGCTGGATTTCCTTCGAGTCGTCGCGGGAGAGGTAGAAGGATTCGAGGAACGAGTTCGGTCGTGCTGTGCGAGGGGAAAGAGCGAGAGGTCAGCAAGCGGTTCGGAGGCCTAAGTGAGGCAAGTGGCTGGACGTACGGGGCAGCTGTTGAGGTCGAGTTGCACAAGGAGGCAAATGAGTTCGTCAGGAATGCTCGACGCTGAGGACCAGGACGAAGCTTGGAGATCCTCGCCCCTCCGTTCCCGAACGAAAGTCTCGCGCAGACGTACCTCCTCCTTCGAGAACCAACGCATGATGTGACTGCGAGGATAGCATCGTCAGTACGCGATGACGGTGCAGGCAGAGTGTGAGCAAACGCACGAATCCATCTTCCAGCAGTTGAGCGCCTGAGAGAGCAACAAAGAATGGCAAGGCGTGTGGTGCGTCAGCGAGACCGCACTAGCAGAAGACCCTCAGTACTCGTCTCACGCACCTCTTGCAAGTCCTGGTAGCTCTTGAGGAGGAGGATGTCGACGGCCGACAAGTCGGTCACCTCGCGGTGTCGCTCAAACTCTTCGCGGATCTTGGCCCGGATGGAGTAGGCGGGGACGTTGAGCGAGTAGAGGGAGACAATCTCGGGCGCTGTACGAGCGAGTAGAAGGTCAGCCTGCGTTTGAGTGATGAGGATGAGGGGGTCGGCACGGCAGCTGGCCACAGCGTCTCCGGGCGGGCGTGGCCAAGCCAGCAGTATCCGCATAAAGCCTGTGATATTGCACAACGAGACTCGAACGCACCTGCGCGGTACCACTGCCTGTAGAGCGACCTCGTGCGTGCCCGGGCAGCGTCCCAGGACCCGGACTGCTGCGTGACGCGTGCGAGCCTCGATGGGATGGTCGTCATGGTCCTAGCGAGTGTGTGTGCGCTGTGAAAGCTGCTCCTGCGCGAGCCGAGGCGGTCAAGACGAGTCTGACCTCCGCTTCCTCTCCTTCGCCTCCTGCCACTCGCTGTCAACGCGCTCTCACGCCGCCTGGGACTGCTTGCTAAGGTCTCAGACAGCTATACAGGCGCTGCGACCACACTCCGACTCGCCATGTCGCTGTACGACACCTCGTCGTCGACCGTCGCCCGTCACTGGCAGACCCAACTCGCCCTCTCCGTCGCGTTCCTCAAGCAGCTCAACGGGCCCATCCGACTCGAAGACCTCGCCCTCAGGTCGGGCGTCGAGGGGCTGCTGCACAACCACGAGCTCGTCGAGGGATTGAAGAAGCATGAGCGGGTGCGGTACACGGAGAAGACGGGCTTGTTTGCGTACAAGGTGAGGCTCCGTTCCTGTGCTGGCGTAGCGAGCGTACGGAGGCTGTGGCGGGCGTGCAATGCGACATTGAAGCCGAGCGCTCATCCTCACACTTTGCCTCGTCGACCGTGACTCCCTCTTCCAGCCCGACTTCATCCTCTCGTCCAAGAACGACCTCCTCATCCTCCTGCGACGACACTCTCCACAAGGCGGGCTGCCGGTGAAGAAGCTGCGCGAATCATGGGCGGGAGTGACGACGGCTATCGAGGAGCTTGAGCGGGAAGGGAGGGTGTTGGTTACGCGAACGGGCAAGACGGAGCAGAGTCAGGAGAGGGAGGGTCAGATGAAGATGGTCTTCCTGGACGATATCGGCAAGGAGAAGGACCCGCTGGATCAAGGTCAGTTCGCAGCGTTTGCGTGGCTGTTCCTGCTCGGCGCACGCCCGCTGCAACGGGTGCCTACTCCAGCAAGTCCGCTGACGTTTGTGTTCCTTTTCGCAGAGTTCCGCGACCTATGGCGCTCGCTCAAGACGCCTGTCGGCGACGAGCTAGCGCAGGAACTCAAGAATGGTGCGTTTCAGCCCTCAATCGCTGCATTCTCGCGATGCTTCGCAGCTTACGAGAGATGCTGGCTCGATCGGAGTGCTGATACGCTGTACACTCTGCAGCCGGTCTCACCGCATCCTCTGCCGCGCCTCCTCCGCCCACAACGACCAAGGCGAAGGCCAAAGGTCGCAAGGGTCCCGGCTCGTCGAACCGGCGGTTCAAGATCACCAACGTGCATCTCAAGGACCAGGGCATCGACCTGTCCAAAGACTACGTCCCGTCGAACCGTTGATTCCGCTCCCCCAGCCTTTCCTCCGCCTGAAAGAGGTCATTCCGTCCTTCCTTTCGTCCCCATGTTGTTTGTACGCTGTAGTTCCGCTCTCTAGCATCTCTCCTGCATCCATAGCCTGCATCTTTGCCGCTTCACGCTGCGAGTCTTGTCCCGACTCTTCCCATTTCATCACTTCGTCACGACCTTCCACTCGATGGCTTCTCTCGCAAGTCCAGGCAGCAAGAAGCGCGCACTGCCACACGCTCGCGGTGTCTTGCGCGCAGAAGGCGGCGGCGAATCCTCACGCGAAGCCTCGGAGGAATCGAACGCGGAAACTGGGCTGAGCGAGGACGACGACCTCGACCTCTCGGATGCGCGGCCGGCGCCTGCGTCTGCTCAGCCGATCACGAAGGGACTGAAGGGTCTGAGTTTGGGCGCACCGGTGGGCGAAGGCGTGGGGACGACTGCACCAGCGAGTACGAGGGTCGGGCAGCTGGCGGCAGCGAACGAGGGTTACGAGTCGGCTGGTCGTGCGTCCATTTCCTCTGCTCCGAAGGCGTGTATCTAGGCAGAGAGCCTCCCGGCTGACCCGCGTGACGTTGTCACTTTCCCTCCCCTCCTCACCTCGCCGTCGCTCGCACCGCTGTCAACTTTCGAAACGCCAGACGAGGGCGACATTTCCTCTGCGACGGCAAACTCCTCTTCCGCACACGCCATCACTCCCTCCGCTTCTCGCGCCCACGTCTTCCGCGCCCCCGTCGGTCTCCACCACCAACCCTCGTACCGTTCTTCCGCCGGCGAGAGCGGCTACTCGCCTTCCCCTTCGTCCTCTCCGCGCTCTCAACAGACAGAGACTGAGACGGACAAGGACGATGAGATGCCGCCTCCGCCATTGGCGGCCGTCGAGAGCAGACATCCCGGATTGGGCGAGGAACCCGTCTTGTGGGCGCCGGCGCCGAGCGGGTTCTTGAGCAACTTGACGGCCGAGGAGATTCAGGTGCGTACATTCACGCTGCGGGTTTCGAGCTGGGAGGCTGACGACGCCACTCCCGCAGGACCACATCCGGAGAGCGATTGCGGGCGACCCTGGGCGGGCCTACAAGATCAACCCTCCTCCGACCGACAGGCCCGTTAGGATCTACGCTGACGGTGTCTACGACTTGCTGCATTGTGCGTCGCTGCCCACTTCCTGGAAAAATGCAGCCGACTGACGCTCTTCCTCATCCGCACAGACGGCCACATGCTCCAGCTGCGACAATGCAAGCTCGCCTTCCCCTCTGTCCACCTCCTCGTCGGCGTCTGCTCCTCAACCCTCGTCGAACAACACAAAGCCAAGCCCGTCCTCTCGTCGCAAGAACGGTACGAATCGATGCGGCACGTTCGTTGGGTCGACGAGGTCGTCGAGGATGCGCCGTGGCAGGTCGATCAGGAGTTTATCGACAAGTGGAAGATTGATTATGTCGCGCATGACGAGGAGCCGTATGCGAGTGCGGGCAAGGACGATGTGTATGTGTACGCCAAGTCAATCGGTGCGTACTGGATCTTCCGCGCTAGTATCTGTGCTTGCCAGTGCTAATGCTCGATCGATCTGTCTACGTCACAGGCGCCTTCCTTCCCACGAAACGCACCAACGGCATCTCGACCTCCGAACTCCTCCAGCGCAGTGCGTTCTCTCGTCCGCCCTCCCCCCGCTCAGCTACTAAAGACTCCCTCTGCAGTTGTTGAAGGCTACCGCGAAGGCGACTACGACGGCAAGCTGCGCAAGATCGGCCACCCCGAACTGTGCTCTCGCCAAGGCAGCGAAGCCGGAACGGGCTATGGCGCTCCTCACCCTCTCCCGACGGTCGGCGAGCAATAAACACAGCATTCGACGTCCCTTCCTCATCATACATCGCCTCGCGCCTCATCGCGGCCTAATACCACCAAAAACACCTCGATTCCTCGACTTCCGCGACATCGCCTCGTTTCGTTCAAGCCGTCAAGTACATGCTTTCGGTGCAGCTGTTTTGCTCATTGTCTACCTGTAATCGATATCCTGCGAAACAGGACGTGGTTGGCGAGGGAGTCTGCCGTCGAGCGCGTCGCCTCCCGCCGTTTCGCTGCGCTGCTGTCCCTGCAGTTTCGCCGTGATGTACGCTTTTCTGGCTCACTCAGCGAAGCAAAGTCAGACCTACACGAGAGTGACGCCCGTCCCTCGTTGACATCGCTCGCGGGTTGACTTCTCGCCACTCCCGCTCGCTGACAGCATGGCACCCCCAGCCGGGCCCTCGCACATCTTTGGCAAAGGCTCCAAGCGAGCCAGGCTGACCGGCGGCGGCCTCATCAGCTCCCACGCGCCGACTACCTCCCCACCTCCTCCCGCTCTTTCGACCGACTCTCACACCGATCGACGCGCTCAGGAGCCACTGTTCAGGGAGGATGTGGACTTTGAGGACCTGGATGCGGAGGACGAGGGAGACTTTGAGCCGGTTGCGTCGACTTCGGGCGCGCCTTCGACGTGGGCGACGAGGGAGTCCCCTGCTTTCGCTTCCCCTGCGCCCTCGACCTCTCGAGTCAGTCATCTCCCGCCCCCGCCGAAAAAGAAACGGAAGACAAAGGCTGGCGAGGAAGAGGCGGAGCCAGGAGCGGAAGGGTCGGTCGAGCCTGTCGAGGGAGACGGCGAGGAGAGTGCTCGAGGAAAGGGGAGAGGGAGAGGGAGAGGACGCGGACGCGGCGGAGCGACCGCTGGACGAGGACGAGGGAAGGGGAAGGCGAAGACGGATAGGGAGACGATTGAGAAGATGGTTGTGCCGACCGTCGAGTTTCCTGAGCATTTCGTCAAGCTGGAGAAGACGTTCAAGGTGCGGCGACCAATTCTCACGCGCTTCCACAGCTTGCCTGACCGATTTTGTGATTTGCAGGCGCTCAACACGGTCTACACCTTCTGCTCGACTCGCAAGAGTATGGCCACGACTTTCGAGGTGTTGAAGGGAAGCGTGGAGAATCTTATCAAGCGGTGCGTTCATTTCTCTGTTCTCAAAGTATGCACTGACTGACCTTTCACGGGCTGCAGACCCCTCGAGATGCGCGACATCGCGCAGATCAAGTCACTCCTCCCAGAAGTCGTGACCTTCGCCTACATCGACTCGGACCAGCTTCGCGTGCACGCTTCTGGTACACCCGAGGACGCTCAGGCGGCGAAGCGGGAACAGAAACAGCGCGAGCTGGACGAGGCGTATCGAGCAGGAGGAGCGGGGGAAGAAGCGGCAGAAGGGAGACGGACGGGAGGAGGGGAGACGGTGCTTCTCTTCAGCTTCAACGATGGCGAGCTGCGGAGCGAGAACGGCGTCGGCAAGGTCATCACGAAGAAGTTCCAGTGCATCCGTTTGCCCTTCTCTCGGTAAGGCCAGTTCTGACCAGCTTGCCAACAGGCGCAAGAAGAAGAAAGGCGAAGCGCCGTCACCTCTACCGCCGCCCGAGACGCAGCCTAAATTCTCGACCAAGTCGATGACTGACCTCATCAACAAGCGAAACCTAAAGTTTCGCGCCGCCGTCTCCGACCTCCTCATCGCCTGTTCCTCGCACAACCCGCCTCTCGATCCGGTCGAGCTCCTTCTTGAGGCGACGGAGGAGAACCTGCCCGTCCATCCGGACGAGTTGTTGACGGAGGAAGACATTCGCGAGCGCGGTGTCAAGGAGAGGAAGGAGGAGCTAGAGTTCAGGGAGAGGAACCCGGATCTGCGGCCGAGCATGCGGCAGATCATCGAGGAGATGATGGGCGACAAGGAGCTGTACCGAGATCAGATCGTCGAGGATGGGCATAGGACAACGGAGGCGAGACAGGCAATCTACGGTGCGCTCCCGTCCCGACTCCTTCGGGTGACACTCGCTGACCTCGCTCGTGCAGGCGAGCTCGACCACGCCATCTCTCCGGCGTTTGCTGAAGCCCTCCTCGCGACCAAGAACATCAACCCCCACCAATTGTACTCGCACCAAGCCGCCGCCATCAACGCTCTCCATCCTTCCGACGCCCATCCTCGCGGCCGTCATGTCATCGTTTCGACCTCGACATCGTCCGGCAAGTCGCTCATCTACCAAATCCCTGTCGTCCAAGAGCTCGAAAAGGATCCGGACGCGACCGCGCTTTACGTTTTCCCGACGAAGGCGCTCGCGCAAGACCAGAAGCGGTCCTTGGGCGAGCTCGTTGCCGGCGTTGAAGGCCTCGATGAAGTCAAGATCGCGACTTTCGACGGCGACACTCCGAAGGAAGACCGCGACTACATTCGCGAGAACGCCAATGTAGTGCGTCTCCCGAATCGCTGCCTGTTCCGCTTCCTGGCTAATCCCTCGACGCTCAGATCTTCACGAACCCGGATATGCTCCACATCACGATTCTGCCACAAGAAGAGCGCTGGCGCCGCTTCTTCCGCAAGCTCCGCTTCGTCGTGGTCGACGAGCTGCACATTTACTCGGGCCTGTTCGGCTGTCACGTCGCGTTCGTCATGCGCCGGTGCGTACGCTACCGCCAGTAGCTCCGCCGCCATGCTGACTTGTACTGCCAGGTTGCGCCGGATCTGCGCTGCCCTCGGCAACCGCCATGTCCGCTTCGTCTCCTGCTCCGCGACTATCGCAAATCCTGTCGAGGTGCGTATATCGCTCGTCTCGCCCCAGTCATCACTGACGAGCGCGTCTTCAGCACATGCGAACCATTTTCGGTGTCGACGACATCGTCTTGGTCGACGAGGACGGCTCTCCAAGCGGGCAAAAGGTCTGTCTTCTTTTTCTCCGAGTCAGTACCGCCTGGGCTAACCCTGACAACGTACAGGAACACCTCGTGTGGAACCCGCCTTACATCGACGACCTCGACCCGAAGCAAGGCCGCGTATCGACCATCGCCGAGACGAGTCGAGTCTTCCGGTTCTTGATGGAGCGCGGCATCCGTGTCATCGTCTTCTGCCGAGTGCGTCGAACCGTCACTCTCAGTCGCGCTTGTGCTGACGACGAACTCGCAGGTCCGCATGCAATGCGAGATCCTCATGCGGCAGGTCCGCCAGGATCTCATGCTCGACGGACGCAGCGACATGGCCTCGCGCGTCATGTCCTACCGCTCCGGCTACAGCGCGCAGGTTCGTCGGCTTCTCTCCTGCTCGAGTCCCGCCTGGCTAACCCGTCTCTCCCTCAGGACCGCCGCAAAATCGAGCAGGAGATGTTCTCCGGCCAGCTGCTCGGCGTCATTGCGACGACCGCCCTCGAGCTCGGCATCGACATCGGCAGTCTCGACGCCGTCATCACCGTCGGCTTCCCCTACACGCTTCCCGGTCTTCGACAACAAGCCGGACGAGCCGGACGGCGAAACAAGGACTCGCTCGCCATGCTCATCTGTGACCCGTTTCCGCTCGACCAGCACTATGCTCGCAACCCCGACCTGATCTTCTCGAGCCCATTCCAGAAGATGGCTCTCGACCTCGACAACCCGCTCGTCCTCGAAGCGCACATCCAATGCGCAGCAGACGAGATACCGCTTCATCCCGTCGAAGATGCCGTCTACTTCACCGGCGGCGACGAAGACAAGCTGCGACGGATCTGCCTAAGCCGACTCGTTGGCGATGACGACGGCTTCTACCACTGCCACCCACGCTACAAGCCTTACCCGGCGCGCAGCGTCCCCATCCGCAACACCGAAGACGAGCACTACACGATCGTCGACATCACCGGCGGCAAGAGCGAGGTCGTCGAGGAGGTTGAGACGAGTCGCGCGATCTTTACGACGTACGAAGGTGCCGTTTTCATGCACATGGGCCGGACCTTCCTTGTTCGCGAGGTCAACCACGACCGTAAGCTCGCCAAGATCGAGGAAGCGTCGCTCGAGTGGCGGACGAGGCAGCGGGACTACACGTGCGTTAGGTGGCTTCCTCGCCACTTGCGAAGTCTGGCTAACAGCTCGACTCTGCAGCAACATCGACCCGGTCGAGGCGCTGTCCATCCGGGAAGTGCAGGGTGGCGCCACGACCGCTTCGTACGGTGTCGTATCCAGTGCGTCCTTCGCCTCGTCTTTCGAGCGCACCAACGCTGACCTGGCTCTGCATAGTCACCGCCGTTGTCTTCGGCTACTTCAAAGTCGACCGAAGGGTGCGTTCTCCTATCCTTCTCGTCGACTCGTCATGTCTGACCCTCTCACGTCGCAGAACAACATATTGGACACGGTTGACGTCCATTCTCCGCCCTTTGTCCGTTCATCGCACGGGTTGTGGATCGAGATCCCGCGTACGGCGCTCGAGATCCTCCTCCTCAAGAACTTCCACCCCGCCGGCAGCATCCACGCCGCCGAGCATGCGCTGTTGAGCTTGACGCCCGTCTTTGCGATGTGCGCCGAAGGAGACGTCCGTACCGAGTGCAAGAACCCGGAGAAGGAGATGTCGAGCGTCAAGACGACCCGGAAACGGCCGGCCAGGCAAGTCGCTCCCAGTCTTGCCCTGCCGCCTGCCTCGCGCCTGCTGACACGCTATCTCACGCCAGGCTTATCTTGTACGACACGGCGGGCAAGTCGGGCGGCATCTGCGCGAAAGTCTTTGACCACATCAACACGCTTATTGCGCAAGCTGCCGACACGATCGCGAACTGCCGCTGCTCGCAGGGCTGTCCTTCTTGTGCGCACATCCTTGCTCTCGCTGTCGTAGGCGAAGCTGACAAGCATCTTGACAGGCGTCGCCTCCAACCTCTGCTCCGGCGCCAACACGATCGTCTCGAAGCTCGGCGCGCTCATCGTCCTCGACGCCATCCTTGGTCGACCCATCGATATCGACAGCATTCCGATGCAGGAGCTCGCCAAAGGCGTCACGCCTGGCGGTCCTGGTGCGACCATTGACCTCGCAGGAGCAGGGGTCCGCCCAGAGGTTATCAAGGCTGCGCAGGCGATGGCTGCGATGGGACCTGGCGCGAGTGCGGGCATCAAGCTGGAAGAGCTTGAGGAGGCGGAGGAGGTGGACGAGGCGGAACTGCTGGAGCGCGAGCGAGCTCTTGCAGAGCTCATGGGTCCGACGCCAACACCTCAGCCGCCGCTGTCTGCGGCCGCACAGCTCGACGACGACTACGAGCCGGATGAAGAGGAGCTGATGGAGCGGGAGAGGGCGCTGCAGGAGCTTATGGGTCGGACCGCTGGCGCAGGATTCGACAATCCTCGAGGAGAAGCGCCGACGGAGGAGCGGGAGACGGAGAAGGATCAGCGGGAGCGCGGGACGTTCCAGCTGAGCGAGACGGGAGGGTTTCTGAGGGGCGTCTGAGTCGTTCCGAGTGTATCTCCTGTTGCTGTCATCAGCAGGCGTCGTCTCCAGGAGGAAGACGAGGAAGCTGCGACTTCGCAACGCGATTTTGCCTGCTCTCCTACACATCTGCTCTTCTCCCGATGCTCTTGAGGAGCAGGACGTCGAATTAAGCGGACAGCGACGAGTTCGACACGGACCAACTCTGCGAGGAGAGGGTCTGCCGAAGGTCGCTCTCCGCCCCTCTCGCTCATCTCGCTCTGCCTGCTTGTTAGTTCGCGCAGTGCCTCCTTCGAAGCATTAGGTACGCTCACACACCTGCACTGGTTTCCGCGAGCTAACGACGCCTTCTTTCATCCGTTGACAGCACCCCGCCAGCTCCCGGTCACAACAGCGAGACGACGGCAGCTGGAGGCAGGATGGCAGACCGCGCACTGAGGATGCCAGCTGGGCTGACGCCTCCACGGTCGCTCTCGCCGTCTGCGCTGTCCCCGACCTCGGATCCCTCCCCTTCCCCCACCATCAGCGACGACCTCGACCTCGCTGTCCTGACGTCCGACGCGTTCACCTCCGAAGCCGATTGGCTGAACGCTGTCGTCGAGAAATCGCTCACGAAGCGCAAGTCGGGCGACCAGTCCCTCGCCGAAGTCGAATCCACCCTCACCCGCACCCTGCACTCTCTCGACATCTCGGTTGGCGACACTTCGGCTGCCGTTGACCGCCTGATCACCGAGATCTCGCTCTCGGTACCCCGCCTCACGTTCGACCTCCAGCTGATGCGGGAGAATGCGCTCCTACTGCGCTTCACGCTCGACGGAATCCGGAAACGAGGCGGAGGTTACGGAACGGAGAGTGAGGTGGGCAAGGTCCTCGAACGCATGCGAGTGCTCGACCTCGTTAAGCAGCGAATGGAGGCGGCGCGAGATGTCTTGCGCGAGGCGGAGAGTTGGAGCACGCTGGAGAGCGAAGTTACGGGCTTGATTGGTGAGGACCAGTACGCCAAGGCTGCCGAGCGACTCGCAGAGGCGGCGCGGTCGATGGTCGTCTTCCAGAACACGGCCGAGTACGAAGGACGACGCGCGCTCATGGTCTCGCTCCAGAACCAGCTCGAGGCGAGCCTGAGCAGCGGTCTCGTCAAGGCGATCAACGAGCGCGACGTCAAGGGCTGCAAGCAGCTATGGAACATCTTCGGCATGATCCAGCGCGAGCAGGAGTACCGCACCTACTACTTCAGCAACCGCCGCGGCACCCTCGTCGACAGCTGGACTTCGGCCAAACTCAGCGATTGCCTTGAGGCTCCGTCCGCCCTCCCTATCTCGGCCACTCCGAATCTCAACGCGCCGACTCAGAAATTCGTCGACGCCCTCGCCCATTTCTACAGCGACCTTCAGGTCCTCCTTGCCGAAGAACGCACCTACATCCCTGCCATCTTCCCCGACCCCGCTCCCACCCTTTCTTCCTTCATCGAGACGACGCTCGAAGGCCTGTCGCCGCCCATACCGCAGCGACTTACCTCGATCGCCGACTTCTACGGCCCCCTCGTCCTCCCCGAACTTATTGCCGCGTACAAAGCGACGGAGGAGTTCGCAGTCCAGGTCGAACGGACCTTCATCAAACTCGAGCCGAGTCCTGCCCCCGCCCCTTCTCCACCAGCGCACTCGCCGACGTCGCCGCGACCGGGTCACAGCCCGTCTTCGCCCTCCTTGTCCGGCGGCGCTCCTGCGACTCCCGCGAAACGCCGCATGTCGAAGCGGAGATCGCTGTCCAAACGGCTCTCTGCTCGGTCCATCTCGTTTGCGACGGGTCAGGGACCGGACTTCCTGAGCGACCATGGCGGCGACGAGGACGAGGAGGCGAGCGCGGCGCAGGTGCGACCTTGGGAGACGGCGCTGTTCGAGCCGTTCCTCGACTGGCAAGTCGAGTACCCGGAGCTCGAGCGGCGGTATGTCGCGTCCGAGATGAGCAAGTCGCTGGGCGACATCGGTGACTGGACGGCCGGGTTGACGAGCGGGTCAAGCTCAGCGGGGTCGGAGAAGGGCGCAAAGATCTTGCTCGACAAGGCGGGCAAGGTCTTCTCGGTCCTCGAGGAGGCCATCGGCCGGAACCTCGCCCTGACGCACGGCTACGGCGCTCGAGGGCTCGTCGATGTCATGAACGAGCAGCTCGTTGCCTTCTTCGACCGGCGAAAGGAGGACCTGATGCGGGCGGGACGGGAGAAGGGGTCTGCGTCGGCGCGGAGACGGGCGCAGGCGACAGCGGCGGCTCTGGCGGGCGGGATTGCGAGTCCGGACGAGGAGCAGGAGATGGTGCTCGAAGGGCTCGAGTACTCGACGGAGGACTGGTCGACCTTCCAGTTCGGCCTCAAGCTGCTGGATACGTGTCGCGGCATGGCGGAGCGCTTGACGGCGTTCGAGGCGAAGCTCAAGGCGAGGATGACGGTTCTGGCGCATGCGGTGCGGGAGGCGCGGGAAAGTCCAGCTCGCTACACCGTGCCCGGCACGACCAAGGGCGCCATCCTCCTCCTGCGACAGTCAACGCTCAACTCGGCAGAGCTCGCCGAGCTCCTCGACCCCCTTGAGAAGCCGCACGAGGCGCCGTCCGGCGGTTCGCTCTCCCATCCCCCTCCGCCTCCGCCGCCCTCGCCCTTTCTCCTGCCGAAAGCTCGCGGCGCTGCGACCGACTTTACCCGCACAACCCAGCTCTTCCTGCACGACACCATTCTCGCCCCACTCTTTGCCCATCTCAACGAGTACTCCACCTTGGCGTGCTGGACGACGACGCAGGAACAGCGACCCGGCGGCAAGGGCGCATTCGACTTGGCGATTCCGACTTTCTCACTCTCACCCACCGAGACCATCTCCCGCGTCGGCGAAGGCCTGTTCAACTTGCCGCGCCTGTTCGAGGTGTACGCCGACGACGACGCGCTCGCCTTCTCCATCGAGACCTTGCCGTTCGTTGATGTCGAGACGCTTCGAGCGCTGCAACAGCCGCCGCAAGCTGCACCGCCGATGCTTCGTCAAGGATCGGGGCACAGGTCGACCTCGTCCGAAGCGCTGAGCGGAGGCATCCCCGCATCTCCCGCCCTCACTCGCACTCGCCGCGGTTCGCTGGTCGCAGGCTCTCCCAGCTCGCACGCCTCCGCCAGTCAGCCAGCTCACATGCCCCTCTCTGCCGAAACGGTCATCGCGACTTGGCTTTCCTCCCTTACCCTCTCCATCCTCTCGCACCTCACTTCGACCGTCCTGCCTGACATCCCGCGCTTGTCGAAACACGGCTCGGCACAACTCGTCTCCGACCTCGAGTACCTTGCGAACGTCGCTCGTGCGCTGGACGTCGAGAGTCCGGAGGAACTCGACAGCTGGAGAGACGCGGCTGCGCTGGACGACAAGGCGCTGCGAGGTGAGGCGGAGGTCGATGAGCGGATTGACAGGACGGTGCTGGAGAGGGTGGCGAGGATCAGAGGTATCAGGCGGGCGGCGTGAGCGCGGAGGAAGCGGGTGCAATTCGCAAGCTCCCACGTCTCCTCTCTCTCTTCGCGATTGCAAGCGAAAGCGAGCATTGCAGTCTCAGCCCAGAAGAAGCGCCCTCGGAATCGTCCCCTCCTCGCTCTGCACCTGGCCCCAATGCTCGTCGTAAGGTCCAATCTCGACGCCCCTAGCTGCGCAGACATCCCTCAATCTTCCGCGCAAGGCGATCTCGCGCTCCTCCTCATCGGGATCCCACTCCGTAGCGTTCGTGTAGAGGTCCTTGAGCGGGTTCCCGATCTCGAGGACCTGGAGCTGCGGAAGATAAGTCGGCGAGGCGAAGGAGGACGTGATGATCTGCATGTCCTCGCTCGAGTAGAACTGCGGCAAGCGAAGGTGCTTGATGTGTGACGGGATGCCCGCAAGCAGGGTCCTGATCGTGCTGCCTGCGTCACCGAAGATGGGTTCGAATTTGCTGCAGACTTCGTCCTCCTCGTCGGAGTCGTAGATCGGATAACCGTGCGGTTGCAACTCTTGGCGCCGCATCAAGCGCTCGAGGTTAGCAATGACGCCCGACTCGCGAATCTCGAGGTAAGTCACGCCAGCCGGCACCGTGTTGAGCGTCTCGCGGACTACGCCGTACTGGCAGGCCTTGACGATGAGGTTCTTGAGCTGTGCGAAGTCCGAGAGGTCGAGCGATTCGCGAAGGAGCGAGAGACCGAGGGTGTGGACGGTCGACCGGGACGAGCCAGACAGCTGGTCGAAGAGCTCCTTCGTCGTCGGAGAGCCGATGATCCGACGGTCGAGGTTCGACTGGACTCGCAATCCCTTCTTATCATAGTCCTCCCACCGCCACAGCCAGTCGTTGTCGAGGAGCTCGACCTCGAGCGTCTTGAGGTTGCGGAAGCGGCAAACATCGTCGAGGACGTCCGTCACGTAGCGGAAGTGCGCTCCCAGAACGACGAGCGAACGGAGGCCGGGACGCTCTGCAGCAATTGTCTGCAGCACCTGTAAGGGCCAATTGACCTGGCTTTCGACGCGCGCCTCGGCATGCTGGACCAGGCGGGCCGACTGAATGTTTGGGCAGGCGCCGAAGATGCGGCGGACCGCGCGAACCGCAGCGCCACCCTCGAAGATGCCGTAGTAGACCAGCTTCGTAGGAAAGAGGGCAAAGGCGGGCTTGCGAGCGAGAAGGAGAAGGAGGCGTTTCGTGCGGTTGTCGAGCGCACGTCCCGCGTAGGCGTCCCCCTGAAGACGGTCGAAGTAGTCCTCGTCCATGTCATCGTCAGAGTTCTGCCAGCCAATATGCTTGTTCGAAGGCGCCGCAATGCCGCGTTCCTTGCCGGCGGAGAGCAGGAACTGGCACATGCCACGTGTGCGGCGGTCTTGCTGGCTGTAAACGACGACGGTCGAGAGAAGGTACGGCATAGTCGCTTCGCGGAAGCTGCGAGAGACCTTGCTGAGGTTCTCAAGCGCGCCGAAGTCGGCCTGCTGGAGCGGGTCGAGCCAGCGGAGGATGTCGGGCAGGACGTCGAGCGGCAGGATGGGAAGCATGGTGGCAAGGCGCTGGCGTGGTACGGTGGTCTGCCAGTCAATGACGCACAGCAGGCGCGCAAGCGAGTTGCCGGCGAGTTGCAGGAAGGACGAGGGAGAGAGCGGGTTGCGTCCTGTGCACCCCGCCGCTCACCGCTGAGCTGGTCGTGGAGACACTCGAGCTGCTCATGGATGTGCTACAGACCTACCAGACTCACGCGTGACCCGCCGAATGCCTTCGTCGCGTCTCTCGTCGTCCTCGCCAAGTCTCATCACTCGCAGTGCGAAGGGTGGAACGAGGACGCAGGCGTGAATCTTGCGGCATTGGACGCGTTCAGCAGCCTCCAGAACTCGTATGAACAGCTCGATCCGCCGGCCTGAGCGAGGAGGGGAGCCTGCTCGCCTTCACCTGCTCGTCCACACCTTTCAAGATGAGCGCTCGCCTTCTCTCTTCCTTGCTCTCACTTCACGCCTGTCCACAATGCTCGTACTCCTTCGCTCGACTGCACGCGCCACTCCACAGCTTTTCGCCCGACCTCTCGCCGTGACCGCCTTCCGCCGGCTCACCAGCGCCGCGACTCCTCCTCTCGCCATGCTGCAGTCGGTGACCTCGTCGAAATTCCGCAGGCAGGTGGAGGAGGCTTGCGGAACTGAGAATGACCAGGATGCCAGCAGGCCGATCGTTGCCAAGGTGGCGGCTGGACTTGCTCTTGACGAGTGGGAAGCGCAGGTACGCTCAGCACTTCAACCCGTCCAAGCAGCGAGAGAGGACAAACTACTGACTGCAGTACCTTGCAAGGACCTCGATTCATACGAGTTATTCAACTCCAGGACTCGATACGTCTACTCCGGCGAGATCGAGCCGTTAACGCCCGGTCAGGAGGTGGACAACCATCCTCTCTTCTGCTTCCTTCTTGGCCTTCACCACCTCGCCGCCCCGACGATTCGAGCGGCAGAACAGCCCGTCGTCATTTACACCATTGAAAAAGAGGCTGCGGCCGGCGACTCCGTTACGTTTTTGCGAGGCAACATCTACGAAGATCCAGCAATCGATGAACTCGCCACCTATCCAGCCTGCACCAAACTCAAGCTCAAGTTTATGGAGGACGATGCGGGCGTCGTCGAAAATCCGAAGGGCGTGACGGTCCGCCAGCTGCTCGACCTGGCAAGGCACTACTTTAACACACCTCTCACAGAGGAGGAGACGCGCTATGCACGGCGGTGTCTCTCCAGGAGGACGGGCGATGTGGTCCGCATCGGAGACTGCCTGCCGCAGGTCTGCAGCTTCATGCGGTCTTTCAAGGTTGAACAGGGTGGCAGCGTTCTGGCCGAGTACATGTGGTTCCATGACAGGCGGACACAGAAACAAGCGGAGTATGCACAACGGGCTCAACAGGCTGTGGTCGAAGTGTAAGCATTCTTTGTTGCAACAGCGTATTGTATTCCGTTTCTAAGCAGCAGCCGGAGCAGGACTCGCCGCCGGACTCGCCGCCGGACTCCCTCCGCCCGGCGTCGCACTCGCTACCTTCCGCTTCTTCGGCCTCGGCAGTCCCGCTCCGCCCGCTGCGCCTGGTAGCCGTGCGCCGAAGCCAAGGCGCTTGAGAGTCGACATGGGGAATTTGGTGCTGCGTTGTGCGAGAGCGTCAGTGGGGGAGTATGAAGGGAAGCGGAGGGAGAACGAACCGGCAGGTTGAGCAGACGGGTAGAGGGGAGCAGAAGACTGCGCGCGAGAAGCCAGCAGGATTGTTAGCTCATTCGCCTTCAAGCGGAGTCATACGAGCTCGACGCACTGGAGAGACAGACGGAACAGACGTAGCCAATGTCGACGATATTGCGATGGCAGAAGCATGCAGCTCGAAGGTCGACTTGTTCTTGTCGCGGCTGGTTGAGGTGTCGATGTGCGGCTGGGCCGGGGAGGAAGGCCATCTGTTCGCTCTCGAGTCAGCACCGCTTCAAGCGAGGTGAGACGGGCCCGCACCATGAGGTACTGCAAAAGACCGGCTCGTCGTGCGAGCTTGTAGTAGGATCCGCTGGTGAGGTGACAGGCTTGCTGGAGGAAGACGGCGTCGGGACCGAAGACCTTGCAGACGTCAATTTGGATGTTCTGTGCGGGTTCTCAAGCACCTCGCATCTCGTCAGTACGTTCGACAGGAACGAGCGCGTGAGGAAAGCGGCTCGCGACGGAGACGCACATTCTTTTGCGCCGTAAAGATGCAGTTCATGATCGGGACGTATTGTGAGCTCGAGTCTTGCGTGACGCTGATCACGACGATTCGAGGTTTTGGTCTTCGAATGGCGGACGTGGCGGAAGAGGCGGAGAGGGGATCGGTCGTGGAGAGGCGGTTGATGTCTAGATGGGATGGAGTCAGCCAAGTTCATTCTGAGCGAGAAGCACGCCGATACTCACGACACAGAGCCATCGACAAAGCGCCAACCAGATTCGAGCCTGTTCACCAACGTCAGTCAGCCCTCCGCGCTCGAAACGAATCAGCCCGAAACGCACCACCGTCCGGCTCATCCGGCACATGCCCCATCATCTCCTTCACGCCCGCCTTGAGGTGCTCGTCGACTATCCGGAATTGCTGGTAGGTGTTGCTGTCGTTTGCGGGTGTCGAGGTCGAGGGGGTTGAGGAGGAGGAGGTGGTGGGCGTGAGTTGCGAGGAGAAGAGCTGGCGGCTGTGCAATTGAAGCTGCCATCAGCGCCTGGTTGGAGCTATGGCGCTCCGCTTAGAACGCTGTCACTGTCGTACGCACCTCCGCCCAGGACCCGCCGCGAACACAGCCAACTCGTTCTCATGCCTCAGCGCCAGATGCGCATTGCAGAACACGAGTGTCTGATCCAGCGCCTGTTCCAGCGACAATGCGTCGTTCGTTTCGCCGCTTGGCTGAGCGGAACGCGCCCATGAGACCGGGTTCAGGTCGACCTGATGAGGATGCGAATGGGGTGAGCCAGCGCATGGGGCGGGAACGGGGCGAGTCTGGACGAACGATGAGGCACAGTAGGTCTCCTACGCTGTCTTGCAAAGCCATCCTGAGCGGTTGGGAGCGAGAGCGAGCGTGTTGCAGGATGTCAAGGTGTGGAGCGCCTCCTCGAAGCCAACTTGACCCTCGACCGCTCACCCTGCTGCTCCTGACTGCTTTGGACTGTTCTTACTGGGATCTGACGTGCTGCTACGTATTCCTCAGCTGCCACACAAGCGCTCCCACCGCACGCTCACCGCTCTCGCCCGCTTCAACGCCAACACCGTCATGAGCCGGTGGAAAAGCAAAGGGCGAGCGAGTGACGCAGACGAGGACGCCGAGATGTCTGGTGAAGAGGAAGCGAGGCAGAACGGGACGAATGGGCGCGTGAGGATGGCTGCGACGGCTTTCATGCGTGCGTCCCCCCTCTTCCTCCCTTGCTTCGCTCAAACGGTGCAGCTGACGCTCTCGCTTTCCCTCACAGCGCTAGCCAACTTCCGTATCGAGCCCTCGGAAACCTTCCCCCGCCCAGATACGCCAATGCGCCAACTGCAACCTCCTCCGATGCCTCTCGCTTCTTCGTCTTCCGGTTCTGCAACGCGTCAGCCGCCGAGTAAGAGGGCGAGGAGGGTGCTTGCGACGGAGGAAGAAATGAAGGAGTGGGAGAGCGAGAAAGGACGGACGAAGAATGGAGTCGCGGATCGGGAGACTGAGATGGAAGAGGGAGCGGAAACGAGCGTCGAGGGGACGAAGCAGAAGGCGCGACCGACGGGGAAGACCGGTACGTCCTACTCACTGTGCTCTTCGTGCGCTACACCGCTCACCTTTACACCCGCAGCTCGCCTCCCTCCCGACCCTCACCCTCCTCCCGCTCGCCCCATCGCCGCGACGCCGAAAACGTTCCGCCCCCTAACCGCCTTCGGTCTCTCCCCTTCCCTCACCACTTCCACCTCCAAACCCACCGCCTTATCTTCGTCCAGAACGGCCGCTCGTCCAGCGCCCGTCTCAGCTCTCGGACGAGTCCCTCTCCCTCTCCCTCCTCCAGGTCGGCCGAAGACTCCAACCACGCCGCGAGAGGCGGAGTCGAAGCCCGCAAAACCGCTAGCGAACCTGTCTTCGCTCCTACCCGCTCGCTCACCCTCGACTCCGAAGGACAAGGGAGAGGAGCGGAAGCCGATCCTCGCGCTTGCGCCGCCTGCTTCGATACTCGCTTCCAGAGCCACCGGGGACGATGCGGAAGTGGAGGAAGGCGAGGATGAGTGGAGTCCGAGGAAGAAGGGAAGGGGGAAGGGATACATCCAGTGCGTCTCGCTCCTCTCCCCTTCTCTCCCGAGGCTGATCGAGTTGCGACGGTGCGGAACAGCTCCGGTATCGCCGCACGTACCGCAACACTCCTCTCCTCATCACGCACAACCCATACCCTCTGGCTCCACTCGCTCTCTCGCCTCCTCTCCAACCACCCCTCGACGAGGGAAGAGCTGTTGGAACGGATGAGGCCGGATGTGAGGTTGAGGGTTGGAGAGATGTTGGATCCTTTCTCTTCCGTCGCTGGTGCTGCTTTGGGAGGAGGAGGGGCAGGGGGAGGGAGGAAGACGCTCCTTACGCGGTGCAGGCTGATCCTCCCCTCCGAGTCTACCACCTCTCTCGCCGACGAAGGACCCAGGAGGAGGGACCTCGAAGGACTCGTCTTCTTCTCCCTCCACTTCTCCACCTCCTCATCCTCATCCACCACCACTATCTCCACCTCTTCCGCGAAGCAAGAAGCCGGCCAAAAAGCCACCCTCGTCGTCCCGCAAAACCCTCACGATCTCGCGCGCTTCGTTAGCGTGGGGAGGGAAGTGTGGGTTTGGGAACCTTGGGGTGAGGTGGGGGTTGCTCAAGACCTGAGTGAGTTTGGGATTGGAAGGGCGGGGAGGGGAGCGGAGAAGCGCGATGAGGAGGGTGAGGGAGGGGTGAGGGTCGAATGGGCCCCTCCGGGTGGGCGAAGGGGAGAGGAAAGGCAGGGGGAGAAGGAAATGGCGAGGAAGGGGTTGGTTTGCTCGAGGTTCGCGGTGGTTGTCCCGTAGCGTGCGGGCGAGGACGAGGGTGAGCGGAACGAGATGCGCTTTTTCTTTCCGTCGCCTCTTCTGTCTCTCGTAGTCTTCCAGCTTGGCGGACAGGGTGGCAGAGGAGAGACGTAGCGTTACAAGATGGTTGGAGGTGCGATAGGTGTAGACGAGGGAGAAGAGGAGGAAGAGGTGAATGGCTGATCCTGCTCGCTTCGAACTGTCAGCCTGGACGGTTTCGCGCACAGGGGAGAGATCTCGACGCACCGTACGAGCCCGCGTGAGGCTATCGTCCCTCCGTCGCTCCCATCTCCTTCTCCCTCTCCCTCTCCTTGACCCTCTCGAGCCGCCTCGCCAGCTCGTCCATCTCCGCATCCAACTCCCTCTCCTTCCCTCTCAGCTTTCCCAGCCTCTCCTCGACCGCAAACCGTTCCTTGACCAACTGCGCGCGTTCGCCCGGCTTGAGACGGACAGGTTCAGTCGGGGGACCGGTCGCGGTGAGTGTTGGCGAGGCCGAGATGAGTGCGTTGGAGGAGTCGGTCGTGTCGCGCAGGTAGTAGCCTATCGCTACGCAGGCTGTGGGCGTGTTCAGAGTGTCAGTTCAAGGTGGGTTGAGCAGCGAGGACGAGTGAGATGGACATGGGACGGTGAGGGTGATGGCGACGGCGTAGAACCTCCGCGAGCTGCGCGTGGCGAACATCCGCGCACACTAGCACACTACTAGTAACTGGTATGAGCAGTAACGAGTTCAAGCTCGTCGTCGTCGCTCGTCGATGAGACTCTCGCTCGCCTCGCAACGCGTGAGCAACGCCAACCGCTTGCTCTCCCTCTTCCCGCTCACTCTCACTCTTGCTGGGCTCACGATGAGCGACTCGGACGACGACGCAGCCATCGCACGTCTCGAGGCCGAACTCGCGCAGAAGAAGGAGCGCAAGCGGGCGAGGGAGGACGAGCAGCGCAGGAGGGAGGCGTTGGTGCCGAAACAGCTCGTGCCAGACAGCCCGTCGCCCAGTGCGTGCACTGCTATACTCTTCTGGGCTGTACACTGACACGCGGGCGCACCCAGGGAAGAAGAAACGACCCTCGACGGATCCCTCCCTCTCGACTTCCGCTTCCACTTCGCGACCCCCTCCCCCTCCGCGCTTCTTCGAGAAACCCGCGCTCGAACGCACTTGCAATCCGAGCGACAAAGTCGAGATGCGCACGTCGAGCGGCGGGACGAAGGAGAGCAAGTTCGTGGATCACATGTCAGCTGTTCGTGCGTCCTTCCCTCGCTGCCTTACTTTGTTCCAGGCTGACGAGTTTTCGAACGGTCGCAGCGAAAGGTTTTGCAGAAAGCATGTCGAAATCTATCTCCGCCGCGCGCACTCAGCAATCCAAAAAGCGCCAAGTCGAAGAACGGCGTCGACAGTCATCCACTTCTCTCGCCTCATCCTCGTCCGCGTCGCTCGTCAAACTTGATCAGCTTGGGAAGGAGGCGCAGGAGGTGCTGATGAGCGGGAAGAAGGGGGACGGGGCGAGATTGAGGCCGAGAAGGGAGAAGGAGAAGGAGAAGAAGGGGACCGGCGCGAGGGAAAAGGAGAACGCGTTGCTTGCTTCCGCCTCCGCCTCGGCAGCGACGTCCTCCTCCGTCAAAGCCTCAACCTCCGCGCCAGCCATCTCCCGTGCCATGCCCTCGACCTTTCCCAAATCATCCACCTCTTCCTCCACCACCGCGAAAACGAAACGCTCGACCGACGACGACGACCTCGAGATCACCGACGGACCGTCCCGCCGTACGCGCAACAAAGACGGTACGGTCGTGAACGAAGTCGAGATTGGACCTTGGGAGTTTCCCGTGAGGAGTGAGGATCCGGAGTGGGAAAAGGTCGAGCCTTATAGCGGGATTCGGTTGAAGTGCGTCCTCTTCCCTCGTTCTCTCCTCGAAGTGCTGAAGTTGACGCTGGTGCGCAGGGAACGCCTGATCCCCCACTCTGAGATCCAAGACCTCCTAACAGGCCGCTACCCCCTCCTCCCGTCCTCGTTGTACGCCCTCTCGCGCGTCGATTCGCGCAACAGGATCGACCTCGACCCGGAGATTGTGGATGCGGATTATGTCGTCTTTGGGGTGTTGGCTTGGAAGGATGAGGTGAGGTTTTTGAATGGCGGGATGGGGAGGGGCGGAGGGGGGAGGGAGGGGAAGAAGGAGGGCGAGGAGGGGGAGAGTGAGGGTGAGAGTGACGAGGAGGAGGGTGAGGCGGATGGGAAGGCGAAGAAGAAGGCCGGTTCGAATTCGTCCTCGACTTCGCAAGACCCTCTCTTCCGCCCCCCCACCCGCCGATCCCGCCGCCTCCGCTACATCCGCTTCGACCTAATCGACCTCTCCACTCCCCGTGCCTCCGCCTCCGCAACCGGCCAGTTGTCTCTCATGCTCGTCCAAGCCGATTCGGTCGACAAGGCCGTCGACGAAGAAGGGAACGAGACGGAGGTGTACAAGGGACAGAGCGGCGGAGCGTACGAGAGGTATTGGAAGGAGAGCCCGGGAGCGGTGGTGGCTATTGTGAACCCGATCTTTTTGCCGCATAACAAGGTGCGTGCCCCGGCCTCTCCCTCACTTCTTGAAGCGTACTAAGGAGACCTGCTGGGCAGGCCTACTCGTATACCATCAAGCCCACCTCGGCAGACTCGGTGCACGTCATCGGACGCGCAGAGAACCTCACCTTCTGCGAGGCGATCAAGAAGGACGGCAGGCAGTGCGGGAAGTGGGTCGATGCGTGCGTCCTTGCCTCTCTTCTTCAAGCGGAGTGGTGCTGATTAAGGGGAATGGCAGGCGGACGGGCAAGTTTTGCCAGTTCCATGTCGAGTTGGCGATCAAGAGGACGGGCGTCAGGAGGTCCGAGACGAACGCCAAGTACGCTTCTCCTCCCTCCTCATTCCCTCGCTCGAACAATCACTGACCGGTCACTTGTCGCGCAGCACCGCATCGCTCGCTCAGAAAGGGACCTTCAACCATTCGCACTTCAAGAAATCGCTCGGCTCGTCTTCCTCCTCCACGCTCGACTCTGCCCCCGCCGCTCAGCCACTCGCGAAGTTCGTAGCTGGCTCAACAACCTACGTGACAACCGGCACGCGCTCTTCGACCCTCACCGTCCCGCGCGGCGGCTTGCTCTCCTCCTCCACCTCCTCCTCTCGCGCGGGAGGGTTCATCCCTAACCTCCGTGAGGGCCCGTCGGTGATGGAGGAGAAGAAGCGGTTGAAGAAGGTTGTGGAGGACGAGAAGAGGGCTAGGGAGGAGATGAGGCAGTTGAAGAGGTTGGATAAGGGACGGACGGCGGGTGGGGAGTATTTGATCCGCAGCTCGAAGCGAGTTAAGGCTGAGGGAGCGAAGGAGGGGAAGGGGGAGAAGAAGCGCAGGAGGACGGACGAAGAAGACGAGTCGCCTTCGAGAAACAGCCGGTCGACGTCGGACTCGTCGGATGAGGAAGACGAGGACATCAAACCCAACCTTTCGTCCGTCTTCAAAGCCGACGCGCTGCGCAAGATCGGCTTCAACCCGACTGCGAAGCCGGGCGACTTGCCGAGGGACGAGTCGAGCGAGACGAAGCGGTACCGCGTGCGTACCGCCTTTCCTCGTATCCCTTTCTGATCATGGCATGGGCTGACCGGGTTTGGCTTTTTGGCGACGTACAGCTCGCGCTCGAGTCGGGACTCGCGGATCGCGAGATCAAGCTTTCCGCGCCGAAGCAGCCGCCCAAACCCAAGGTCAAGGCCCGCGCCGAGAAGGCCGCTGAAACTTCCGCGACGAACACGGAGGACGACGCGGACGAGGACGACGACCTCGTCATCGAAGGCGGGCCAGGAGGGGAGATGCCAAAGGTGCGTGCGCCTCGTGCTGTTCCTTCGTTTCTCTCCGGCTGACATCTCGCTCGAGCAGATCTCGCTCGCCAAGGCTTCCGCATAGCGCGCGCCACCCTTGACGCTGTTTGTACTATCTCCGCTCATCGCTCGCACTCCTGTCTCCTCCCATTCTTCGCATGCCATCTGTCTGTCATTCTATCTCGCCATCCGCACTCTCGCCTGGCCCGTATCGTAACTGCACACATCATTGCATCCGCTAGACAGAAGGAGAGAGCAAGATGAGCCGAGAGCATCCGCATCACCTCCGCAAAGGCTGCTGCTGCTGCTGGTCGTTCGGCCCTGCGCCGTACTTGAGCAACACGCCCGTGACATCCACATCCTGATACAACCGCGTGACCTCCTCAGTCGTCTGCTCATTCGCGCCGTCCTTGCGACCGTTGATGTACAGCAGCGTATTGCGGAAGTGGCGCGTGACGGCTTCGGGCGTGTTGACGCCTTCGATCAGGCCGGAGGTGGCGCCGCCGAGTGTTGACGGGGCGTAGGTGGTGTGAGGCGCGTGAGACGGGTGGGCGGGGTTGGGCGAGGGTGCGGGCGGGAGGGGAGGCAGAGAGTCGAGGTTGGATGAGATGAGCTCGACGAGCGAGTTGATGTGCTTGGCCGAGATCTGCGATGTGGACTTTGAGCGTCAGTTCGAAGCCTTCATCGAGCACTCCACAAGCGAGCCGCGAGCGGGTCAAGCAGAGGTGCGGAAAAGAGCCCGACTGACCGCCTCCACGCCGCGCTCGAAGTAGTACAAGTACTGGTCCAGCGCGTCGCAGTAGAGCTGCACGCTCGTCAACTCGTCGATGGACGAAGTCGCGATGCGGAGCGCCTTCTGCAAGCATTCGAGGACGCGCTTGCCGTCTCGGTACGGAGGCTGTGAAGTCGCAACTCGTCAGCACCACCGGCGAACAGAGGTGACGCGTGGCCACGCACCTTATCGTTCTCGCTCGGCTCGCGTCCCGGCAAGTCCATCTGCCACCACATGTGGCTCGCCAGCGCCACAGCCGTTGCCTGCTGACCCTTCTTCAGCAGTTTCGCACCATGCAGCGCTGCCTTCGTGATGAGCGTGTCGTAGTTGTCGTCGCCGAAAACGCGGGTAACTTGCAGAGCACCGATGATCGCCGTGATGGCCTGCAGCTGCGCGCGCGATTCGGAGATAGACTCCTCGTAGATGGTGAACGCCTGGACAGCGAACTCGTACGCAAGCTCTTCGTGACCTGACTCGTCGGCAGCGGCGAGGGCGAGGAGATACAGTCGAAGGCAGATGTCGGACGCCTCGACCTTGTTGTAGAGGATCGAGGTGCACTGGTGGATGAAGCGGAAGAGGGCGGAGATGCGGGCGTCCCATTCGTCTGGCGGGAGGGAGCGGCGCGTCGACTGACGCTGTTTGTACCGTCGTGCGAGCTTGATGGCAGCGACGATGAGAGGCGGGAAGGTCCAGCGGATCCGATCGCCGCCTTCGGTGAACTCGCGTCGAGCGGTTTGCAAGAGCTGCGATGCGCGGAAGCGAGACTTCACTCAGCACTGCACCGAGATGGAGGTCGGATGACCACGCCAGATTGTGATCGGCTGCGCACTTACCTGGAACTGCACAGCCAGATCGTCCGCCCGGAAGAGGTGAACCATCCGCGCGACCCAGCCCTGCTCCTCCGCCATCTCCTCCTTGTCGTACCCGCCCTGCTGACCGCCGTTCCTGTACCCTCCGCCACCATAGCCGCCCGAAACAAACAGTCCACCTCGTCCGCCGTCGAGTCCTCCCGAGTTCGCACGATCCGCCATGCCTGGTCTGCTTGCAGCGCCAGGTCCAGACGGCCGGTCTTTCTGATCCCGCACGAGGACGTGGCAGAGCTCGAGGACGCCCTTGACGTCTTCGGGCGAGTCGATCACCGTCTCGTTCTTCAGGACGCTCGCGACAACGGCGTGCGCAACCGACCGTCGTGTCGCGTACGGCTGAGCGTAGAGGAGCTTCTCGTACGAGGGCAGAGCGAGGAGGGTGAGGACGTTGACGTAGTTCTGGATTGGCGCGAGGAGGAGAGCGAGAAGGTGAGCGGCAGTCGTGGCGTGGTGCAGGTCGGGCGAGTCGGCATGAGCGGTGCATTGGTAGGCGGCGAAGGAGAGCACTTGGTCGATGTAGGTGAGCTGGGCGGGGTAGCAAGAGACGGAAAGGTTGGCGAGGGAGACGAGGAGCGCGGTGATGTCTTGTATGGAGAGGTCGGGGCGAGCCTGCGTGACGGAGTGATGGACGTGAGCATGCTGACAAGGAGAAGCATCGTGTACCACATGACTGGCGATACACCCCGCACAAGGTCGACCAGAAGTGCTGCTCACCTTGATGAGGTTGACGACCTGCTCCCAGAAGACCTCGAAGAGCTTGACGTCCTCCGGGATCCCTCGGAATTTCCTGACCTGCCCGTCCTGACCAACACTCCTGACTTCTCGCCCTTCGATCTTACCGTCACCAACCTCGAGGTCCTTGACCGCATCGGGATGACCTGGCGGGAAGACATTGACTGCTGCGCCCCATCCCTCCGTCTCCTCATCCTTCTTGACCGCGGCCGTCTGACTCGGCAACATATCCGCCTTCTCCATCGCCGCGCGACGCTTCTCCCGCTGTTTCCGCACTTCGTCCGCCAACTTGCGCTTCGCCTCCTCCTCCTGCCGTCTTCGCTCTTCAGGCGGCTCGTTCTCGGCTTCTTTCGCGGCGTAGGCGGCGAGGCGGTCGATGAGCGCGATGACGATCGACTTGATGTTGACTTTCGGGTGGAGTTGGGCGGTCGCGGAGAGGAAAGGAGAGAGGGTGAGAAGGTGGAAGTCGGGTGTGAAGACCTGTACAAATAGAGCGAGTTTAGGAGCCGTCGAGAATGCGGATTTCCCCTCATAACGCACCTGGATGACGACCTCCATCAAGTACTCCTGAGCAATCACGTCCTTGCAGTTGACGACCTGCTCCAGCACGCTCGGCAGGATGATCCTCCTGTACATCTCGAGGTCGACTCCCTCGAGCTGGCTGAGGCGAACGAGGTTCGTGCCCACGAGGATCCGCAGCTCCCGTCGCTCGAGCTCGCGGCGTTCGCGGTCGCGCGAGAGACCCGAGTGCTGGAGGCGGACCCAAAGCTTGTTCATCTCGATGAAGTTGGTCAAGACGAAGCCGATCGAGTCGAAGAGGTTGCCGCCGGGGCTGTAAACGTTGCGTCAGTACAGCCCGCGCTTCGACTCACCCCTCGTCTTGCGGTAGAGTGCATGGAAAGCTGGACTCACCCAGGATCGTCGCCGATAGGAAGGTGGTCCCTCGTCATTCCGCTCAAATAGTGCCGCAGGAACAGTCCCCTGGTCGGGTGCTGCACTCCGCGCGTCATCTCCATCATGTCCTTCATGATTTCCTTGACAGGCGCGCCAGGAATCGACATGTAGACGGTTCCGACCGTGATCATCAGGTCTGCGAGCGGAAAGGGGGTCAGCCAGGGGGACCCTTGGTAGACCGGAGGCACCACTCACAGAGGCGCGGAACGATGTTGCCGGCATACTGGACGAGCTCGTACAAGTCGGCGAGATGATGCTTGCCCGAGGTGTGGGCGTCGAAGAGGTAGCTCGAGAGGTGTCGCAGGGCGTCGAAGACGGCCATGTACAGCTCGTAGTACTGCTTAGGCGAGAGTGACGACGTCCGCAGCTCCGCCAACATCGTCGACGCTGCCTTGAGAGCGTCCATGATCTGGTCGGCATCCTGTGCGAGCGAGCGAGACGAAGTCAGTCTCCGTGGAAGCGGTTCGGCCTGAGGACATCGCAGCGTCCGTATGTTCCTCTCGACCCCATGTACCCGTCCACAGTGCTCGCCGCGCGGGAGAAGCGAGAGGGAGAGGCGAGGTTCCCCACACGGACGAGGAGGAGAGGGGAACGCACCAGGCATCGTCGCAGCTGGGTTGTCTGCGTGTGTACTGTCGCCAAAGCCTCGGGCAGGTTCCCACCGCCATCTACCGAGTGTATCGACGCCGGCGCCATGGCGAGATGGTGACGAGGGGGAGTGAGCGAGGTTGCGGTCGCTCAGATCAAGATGGGACCGGTTTGGGCTGGTTCAAGGAGTGTCGAGAAAGCGTCCAAGCCTGTCAGGATCCAGCCAGAGAGCGAGGAGAGCGGAGGCAGCGTGCTGAACCTGGACGAACCGATGAGGCCCCTCTTTGACCGCTACCACTCGCTCACTCACTCGAGGGAGGGCTGCTAGCACGCACAGAGCCATGTTCAAACGCCCATTGTCGGCCAAGACGTCTTCGCCGCTCCGCTCGAGCGACCTGCGCAAGCTTCGAGACGAGGTCGTCCGGTCCTTCTCTCTCGCCGACACAGCGGCAGCCAAGGCGCTTCTGCCTGATGGGACGCTCTCCTGTAAGGCGACGACGCATCTGGACGAGCCATGCACGCTTTATTTGACGCCGGGAGGAGACCCTCGGTTCTTCAGGGTTGGGAAGGGCAGCGACGGACAGCTCGTGCCGACTTGCTATGCATTCGACATTCGTCCAGACATGCTGCCTGTTTTGGCGACGGCAGAGGCAGTCGTCGAGAACCTCGTGAGCGGTTCAGGTGCGCCGGAGTCTTCGCTTTCCCTGCCTCTCCTCTTACTGATCCGCTCTCTCTGCTTCTCCGTCCCAAATCTTCCTCCGACTCGCTGGCATACAGCTCTCTTTGCCGCCGGCGTCTCGCCCCACACCCTGTCCCGCCTGCCCGCCTCGATCCAGCCGGGATCGCTCGTCGCAATCACCGTCGCTTCCGATTCTTCGCAGCGAGTCGTTGCTGTGGGACAGCTCGGCTGCACGAAGGAGGAGCTCGTGCGGATGCAGCAGAGCGAGAAGGAGCGGAAGGGAAAGGCGGTCATCACGGTGCGTTTTAGGCTTCTTCCTCTTCCCGCACTGCTTGCTCAATCCTCTTTCGCCAACAGCTTCACGCGCGAGGCGACTACCTGTGGGCGACGGGCTCAGCGGTAGATGCCCCACTGCCCGAGCGAACTGCTGAGCCGGCCTCAACGAACGACTCTGCCGAATCGCTCGCCGACAACCTCGCTTCTTCGACGCTCGACGACTCTTCCGCGCCTACGAAGGCAGACGACGCATCCGCGCCGACCGGTTCCGCATCATCTACCGAATTGAGCCCCTCAGACGTCGACCAGATCCTCCTGAATGCCCTGCTGCTCGCCATTTGCACCTCGCTCTCGACTGCTCAATTCCCTCTTCCCGCCTCTCTCCTTTACTCCTCGCACATCCTCCCAGCTCGTCCCGCCACCCTCCTCTCCACCCCCGCCGGCCCCGGTGCTGCCGAGATCAAGAAGTCCTCCTTCAAGAAGCTCGACCGGCTGATCAAGGCCGCTGTCAAGAAGGGCTACATTACCGCCAAGGAAATGAAGGGAGAGTGGGTCGTGCAGAGCGTGAATGCGAAGCACGCGGACGTCGAGACGTTGCGACCGTACAAGACGATTGCCAACGAGGAGAAGGCGCAGGCGCGTGAAGCGAAAAAGGATGAGGAGAAGAAGGAGGCATCGGAGGCCGGCGCGAAGGGAGATCCAGAGGTGACAGAGCTGTGGAAGCTGAGCGGAGACAGCGTCAAGGAGTTGTTCCGAAGCGTCGAGCATGAGCGGTGAGCCTGGCGTCCTTCGCCTTGTCTCGACTTCGGAAGCCTTCGTGCGAGGTATTGCGTCGACGCCTGACTGACCCAATGCATTTCACAGACCGCCGCAAGACCTCTACACCGCCTCGCAACTCTCAACCCTCCTTCGCCGCTTCACCGATACTCACTCCGTCGCGCACCCTTCACATCGCTCTCTGCTTCTCCTCACGCCCTCCGCACACCCTTCGCCCTCCTCTCTTTCGCTCGAGTCCGAAGCCGCCATCGAGCTCCTCGCGCGATGCGTGCTGAAGAAGGGCGAGACGCCCGACCAGGTTGGGAAGGAGAAGGGTTCGCCTGGGTGCATCACGAGGGAGGAGGCGCTGAAGCGAATCAGGAAGGACGGTTGCACGGGCTACTGGGCTTTGCGAAAGGGAAAGAATGGGGAGGAGAGCGTCAAGTGCGTCACCTGGGGCTGCTGCATCGACCCGCTTATTCACGTGTCTAGTCGTTCGCAGGAAGGGCTCACCGCCGACCATCAAGGTCGCGATCAAGAACGTCGGCAAGCGGCAGGTCACCCTCGTGTCCGGTGCGTCCAGTACCTTCGAAATCTGCCTTGACCGCGCGCTTACCCACGAACGACCTCTTGTAAGGCCACGAGCCATGGGACCTTTTCTCGTCGGACGAGTTTGCCGAAGAGCTCAAGCACCGGAGTGCGAGCTCGACGTCGAGTGAGTTGCCGCAAATACCCGTATGGAGCCTAACTGACGGAGCGGCCTTCTCCTGCAGTTCAACCGATTGCGGGTTCGGCGAAGAAAGGCCAGGCAAACAAAGTGGAGATCATGTGTCAAGGTGCGTGCATCCCGCTACCCCCGCCGTTCTGCGAGGCTCACGAGCTCGCTCATAGGCACGCACGACGCGCTCGTCGTCAAGCTCCTCACTGCTCGAGGCGTACCGAGGGCTTATATCGACGTCGACACCTCGAAGTCGAAGAAATGACGGAGCCCTTCTCACTCTCCTTTCCCTTCCTTTCGCTCCCTCGCAGACGTCCCTCGCAATCGTAACGCTTTACACTCCCGTGCCGTGTCGTTGAACAGCGCTGTCACTCGTATGAGGAAGTGAGGGCCGCTCGGCTTTGCGGAAGAAGCTGTACGCGGCGAGCCTGCTCTTGCGAAGGTCAACTCCGCTTAACTGTCTCTGTCGCTTCGCCGGGGTTACGCTACTCGAAGCGGTGATGATGCACAAATAGAAAATGCAGCAGGGCGCGCTAGAACATCGACCCAAAAAGACGGACAACAGAAAAGTGAACAACCGCCTTCCATCGTCTCCAACCGCCCTCCCTCACTACTTGCGGTCCACCGCCTCGAGCGCCATCTCTTCATCGCCGTGCGGTACCCGCTCGACCTCGTACTCGAGCCTCGACTTGCTCGTCTTGCTTCCGAGCGCCTCTTCCTCCTCCTCCGCGCGCTGGTGCTCAAGGTCGTCCTCGCCGAGGGGAACGATGAACTGGAGCGGTACGGCGAGTAGGAGGGTGATAAGGTAGGACTCTTCGACGATGAGAGTGAGGGCGTCGAGGAAGCCGCGAAGGGCGTGATTCGGGCCGGCGTAGGTGAAGAAGTTGGCTGCGCAAGGGGAACCGGTTAGTATCGGTGTCTCATGCCCGCGGTAGTGGACAAATGAGACATCAGAGGACTCACAGAACCAGCCGGGCGTGGTAATGTCGGCGAAACCGAGGGACAAGGCGGCCGTCGCAATGAACCGAGTTCGCCTCGTCCAGTTGAGTCCGGCGAGGATGCGCAGGCCGGCGACGGCGACCGAGGCGAAGAGGAAGACGGTAAGACCACCGATCAACGGGGCGGGTAGTGCGACCCACACCGCCGCGATTTTGCCGAAGAGGCCGAAGAGGATGAGAAGGACGCCGCAGACGTAGCCGGAGATGCGCGAAGCATTTTGACTCAAAGACAAAATGCTGACATTCTGCGAAAAGGTCGTAGATGGCGGTACCGTGGCGAGGCCGGAGATGCAGGAGAGGACGGCGTCCGAAGTCAAGCCGCCCTGGATGTGTGAAGCGTAGCGCGGGCCCTTCACAGGGTAACCGCTAACTGCACATGTCGCTGTAATGTTGCCAATTCCCTGCAAGCAGCGTACCAGCTGTCAGTCACATCATCGAAGCGGTGGGAGGGGAGTCCGCGAAACAACGGAGTTGGGAGGCTCGGAAGCTCACCTCTGAGATGACGACCAGGTATGACGCGATGAAGGGGAGCACAAGCTCGCCCCTGACGCTCAGAGGGAAGCGGTGAACCCAAAGGAAGGTGATGACCGGAGCGGAGGAAAAGGCGGACTTGTCGAAGTAGCCGATCGCGCCTGCGACGATCATGCCGATAATGAGACCGAGCATAGCGCTCATGTTCTTTGCGATGGGCGGTCCGAAGATGTCGATGATGAGCTGCGGAGCGAGAGAATTGAGGAAGGACAGAATCCAGACGAGGCGTGCGCCGGTCAGCAACGACGGTGGCGCGCAAGGGGGCGAGCGTACGTACGATGGATACCCACACAAGGAAACCGAGACCGATCAGGCGAGGCGAGCCCCAAGGTGCGGCGTGAGGAGCAGTGGCGTTCGGGCAGAGCCCGCCAGACTGACACGATGAGCCGCCGGCCCAGTTGGTCATGCCGGATCCCATCAAACTCAAGCCAATCATGAGTAGGATGGAGCCGGTGACGAGTGGCGTGAAGATCTGGTATCAGAGGTGTCAGCGAGAGATCTAGGGAAGAAAGGCAAAGCTTCTCACCTTGCGCAAGACTCGGGACGGCGTGAACGAGAGGAGGACGGCGATAGGTCCGACGACGCTGGCCGTGCCAATGACTGCGCCGTACGCTTCGGGGCACGAAAGCTTCGATCCGTCGGCGGCGAAAGAGCAGAGTCCGCCTTCGCGGGTGTACTGGTTATTGATGAAGGCGAGTGCGCTTGAGACAAACGCAAACGAGGAGCCAATGCAATTCAGCACACCGCTGCCGAGGTAGTAGCCTTTGCCGAGGGGGATGCGGGAGACTTGGAGGATGGTTCCGAGGCCGCAGACTGAGGATAGCGAACAACGTCAGCGACTGGTCTGCTGTCTTCCTAGCCATGCCGACTGAGTCGAGTGACGGAGATACACGCACAGATGAGGGCGGCGGAGACGAGGTACGACTGCTGAGCAGGCTCAAGGGCAGCTCCTGCAGCTCCTCCAAGCAAAAGGGGCGGGACAACCTATACATCGCGACGTTAGTACCCGACGATCCTCGAGACGAAGGCGAGAAGCGCACGAGACCGCCGACCTGCGCAGGATAAGAGTATAAGTTGACGTTCGAAAAGACGGCGCGGAGGGGGACTCGCCATTGCGAGACAGTGTTGCAGGCCTAGAATCAGGGCGAGCACGGCAGGTAGAGGCGCATTGGGTGCGAAGAACGGCAGTTTGCGGCTGCGGAAGGACAGAAGGGCGCGGTAGTCCTGCGAGAGGCGGAGACGGTCAGTCAAGGACGGTCAACGGCGTCAAAGTCTTGCACGCACATAGTCGCCGAGCCAGAAGTTGCGAGTGATGAGGTCTCTAGGGGAGATCCTGCGGAAGAGGCGGTCGTTGGAGAAAGCGGAGGATGCGTCGTCCATGGCGACGCGGGCAGCCATCGAGGGGGATTGGAGCTGGCGAAGTGGGAGTGTGGAGAAGGAGAGAAAGATGCTAGCGGGTGATAAGCTCTGGACAGATTGGCGAGCGTGCGGTGTCGGGAAAAGTCGAATCAAAGCGAGATTGCCGCTCTCCGCGCGAGGCAGCGGACGGAGCGGAGAAAAGAAGGGCTCCGATAAGCTCGGCCGGGCTGAACTCATGCCGCCGTTGATCGCGCTCTGCAAGGGTCCAGAGATTGCGGAGAAGCCGCCCAGGCGCCTCCACCTCTTGTCTGCGCAACCGCCAGCCGTCCCAGAGCAAGATGCGGGTTCGTCGAGGTCAAGCGTTCGCAGGAGTGTTGACAGCGTTCTCCACGGTCGTCCAAGCAGCACACTACCCTGGTTAGTCCAGCGACGTCGAACAAGAGCTTATCAGAGGAGGAGCCGAGATGTGATGTGCGAGGAAGAGGAAGTTCGCTGATGAACTTCGTCCTCCGCCCATACCTCTCGCGCTGGCAAATGCACTGCTGTGCTTGATAAACGCTACCGCCGTAACGCCTAACAGGTCTGGGACTGCACAACGATGACCAGAGCGGCCTGTCCATCAATGGCGTTCCGGCGACGACGCGGACCAAGTGGATGCGGGTCGCGAACGAGTGCGTGCAGCTCCACTGTTCTCATTGTGACACAGCTGACAGCTTGTCGTCCTTCAGCGCTGTCCCCGAGATCATGGGCGAACCCTGTTCTCCTTTTCCCTTCGGTGTTGCCGTTGTACGTCCTTTCTCCTTCATCTTCTCTGCTACGGTTCTTCTGACCGTTTCTGCAGGTCAACACGACATCCGACGAGCTCGTCTGCGTTGCCGCCAACCAGGTCGGCGTGACTGGCAGTGCGTCTTCGCTCGTCCTCCTTCGTGAGAGCTGCCGCTGACCGCTCATTCCGCAGATCCGAGCATGCACGGCGAGATCAGCGGGATTCACCGCTGTACAGAGGTCTTAAAGCAGCGTGGACTGACCCCGAGCGAGATCCTCGCTGTTTGGCGGTCTTTCTCGATGTACACAACGGGCGAACCTTGCCCGATGGTGCGTCTGCATTTTCTCCACTGCATGGGTGTCTGCAGCTTCTAACACTCAATTGTGCAGTGTGCATCTGCTCTGCGCTGGGCTGGAATGGGTGAGGTGATCTGGGCAACCTCAATCGAGACCATCATCAAGGGCAAGTCCTCCTTCCTCGCTCAAGCTGCCTGGTCCTTCTGACAATGTCCCTCTCCAGGCGGTCGCAACCAGATCTACCTCCCCTCCTCACTCATCGTCTCCGCCTCCTACTCCCTCCCACACATGACCCACTGGCTCGGCTCAATCCTCTCAAACGAAACCGACCCGTACTTCCAGCAGCTCAATGAGTCCGCTCCTTGCCCTGCTGCGTGCGCTAGGCAGAATGTTCTCGGTCAGCGGGTGAGCCAGTGCGTGCCGACGAGCGGGTGGAAGGCGGAGTGGCAGAAAAGGAGGGGAAGCTGGGAGGAGAAGCTGATGGAGACGAAGGGCGCAGTGGCGGAGGAGTGGTATGGTGCCGCTGGAGGGAACCCGCATGTGTACACTCATGCGCACGACGAGTTGTAGACTCTAGACGACGGAAACGAGGCGGACCTTCCCAAGAGGCGTTCCATGACTGCGTAGCATGGTATTTCTGGCGGAAGTGGCAGTCAACAGCAGTGTCAGTATCAATCGCCTAGCACAACATCGTGCGAGACAGCACGAGACTTTGAAGCCTTTCCTCGCCGAGCTGCGACATCCGCCCCATCCTGCGAGACTGCGTAGCATCCCACGACCGGCACAAGCACGTACGAGTCTCCTTCTACCCTTACCGTGTACCCCACTCTTCTCCATCCCGCTCTTCTCCTCTCTTCGTCTGATGCGCGCGCGAAAAAAGTAAAGGTCAAAGTCATGTCATGGATGGTGTGCAGCCATATCTACGACTTGGGAGCCGGCTTCCAGCCCAAGCAGTGCTCCTGTATGATTGAAGAAACGGGTAGAGAGTTGTGGAGAAGGAGGGAGAGAAAGGGGAGGGTTAGGAAGGGAAGGAGGAGAGAAGGGGAAGGGGAGGTGTGAGTGTGAGGTGAAGAGCCACGGAGGGTGAAAGGGCATGGGAAGGCGGAGACGTGATGAGAGCGAGATGGTAAAGGGGTGACCGAGATCGAAGCGAGCAGGACAAGTTGAAGGCAAAGAGAGGTCGGAGGTGAGGATCAGGGCGGAGGCGGTGGAAAGGGCGCAGTCACGGTCGGAGGCGAGAGCGAGGCGACAAGCGGCGAGTCGAGAGCGCAGATGACGGCGAGAGGGTACGTAGGGGTAGAGGCGAGAGGCGAGATGGAGGGCGAAGGCGAAGCATGCGAAGGGAACCAAGTCAGCGACTGGACTCAAGAAGGATGAGAGAAAGCGGATACGCGCCTCGCCCATCGCCGAGGTAACCGTGACCATGATGTCGTCGCCGTTGTCGAAAGCAGCCTGGATCTGGTCGCCAATCTCGCCCTCCGGAACCTTGACGTCGTTCTTCTCGCCGCCGTCAGCAGTGAGGAGGTTGAGGAAGCCGTCGTCGATGTTCATCAACTGGTACTCGTTCCTAACAACGTTAGGAACGTCCATGTTGTGAGTGGAGGGCGAGAGGTCCTCGAGCTTCTTGCCCGTGAAGATCTGGAGGAGCAAGCGGGAGGGTTAGCTTTGCCTTTCCGTGGCTTCCATTCCAGCCTCCACGCCCCAGGGCTTCCAACCGAGGCAGTCCCGCACGAAGAGGAGACTCACGTCGATGGCGACAAGGTGGACCTTGGCGTGTCCGTGCTTGCCGGTCTTCGAGGTCGACATGTCGACAATCTGTGGGCACGACGGCGATCAGTATGAAGCCACAGAATGGACGTCGCCAATTGATTCCGCGCAACGAGGCGATGCTCCACCCGGACGACCCCAATTGACCGCAACCTCGCCATACAACGGCCGCTCCTTCACTCCACCTGCCCTTTCGTAGCCTATCCTGCATTGTGCACCCGTTTCTAGCCCTCCTGACCTGCTGAACCGCATCCACCACCAAGCGAGCTCGGACAACCCAACGACCGCTACTGACCTTGCACGGGCGACCCTTGATGACGACGTGGCCGTTCTTGCGAAGAGCCGAGCACTGCATCGGGAAAGTGAGCGAGGCGCCGGCCGAGGCCTGCTCGAAGGTCTGCTGGTGCTGTGTCGCGGACACGCCACGGACGGCGAAGCAAGTGTCAGCCCTCGCTCTGCGGCCAGCGCGCCTGTCCCTGCGCCATCCTAGTTGCTCTGAGACGCACCTGCTCCTGTTTGCGTTCATCGCGGGGCGTGCGAGGCGAGTGTGCGGGCGAGTGAAAATCGGGAGGACGTCGGAGGGCGATGCGGGCGCTGGGAGGGTCAGCGGGCGTTCGGCGGCGGCATGAGGAGTGCCGTGTGGGTTCCACGCACGTCGTCAGACATCTTCTAGACTAGTAAACTGGTGGAGAAGGGGGTGAGGGAGCGAGATCAAGCCGGAGGCGAGCGCTGTCCTCCCAAGTCCCGCCTCGTGTCGACGGCCCCGTTTCTCGCTCACATCGCATCGTGTTCGCTGGCTGTTTGGCTTGCAAGACTACAGCAATGCTATCAAACCGGTACAGCCTTTGAACGGCGCACTTTGCACCGGTGAATGGCGAGTTGCGAGTTGTATTCGGGCAATACAAAGCGAGTGTAATGTGCGGCTGTTTGCTTGCCCTTCTCAATCTCGCTCGACGACAAGTGAGCCGGAAAGCAGTCCAGGGCAGGGTCAATAGGTTCGCAAGACGCTGCAAACGAGCCACGTCGTCTACTGCTCGAGGTACTCGTCGAGCGACTCGCCGAGGTGCTCCTCGATGCGCTTGATGAGCCTCCTCGTCGCGGCCTCGACTCCACCCTCCGTCTCCTCCCTCGCCTCGGCCAAGAATGGCGTCGACTCGGGCACGAGGCCGAGCATGCCGTCTCCCACCTCCTGCCAAACGATGTCGAGCGTGTCGATCGCGCCGCGCTTGACGCGCAAGTCGTCCGACCGCGTGAGGTGCAACAGGCGAGAGTTGAACGCCTTGAGCTGCGTCTCGTGGTTGGCGAGGAGCGCAGAGTACGACGTGACGAGCAAGTTGTACGCCTCGGGGGCGAACAAGCCGGCTGGCGCCTCGAGCTGGTGCGCAACGGGCGCAGCGAGCTTGCCGAGGCGAGCGGGCGACCAGAAGCCTGTTCAGCGGAACAACCGTCAACTCAGGAACGTATTCGAGTGAACGGGAAGCGCGACTCACCACCCTCGTCAAACTCGAACGCCTTGGTGAGCGCACTCGCGACCGCAGCCCACAAGTCCTCGTCCCGCAACTCGCCCTTGGCCGCCTGATCGAGCAACTCGACGGTCTGGTCGAGCATGAACGAAAAGTACGGGACAAAGATGCTCCGCAGCTGTCCGAGGAGGCGGTCGACGATCTTGTACAGCACCGTGCGGCGCGCGACGAGGCCCTCGCTCGAGGCTGACTCGTCTTCGGCGAGGTCGATGACGGCCCAGTCGTAGGTGCGAAGGAAGAGCGGGCGGAACGTCTGCTCGTTGAGCTTGAGGATGAATTGGACGAACGCGCCAAGAGCGTGGTCTTCGATCGAAACCATGTCGTCGTGGTCGAAGTCGGCGGTATGCGTGCGGCGCGAGTCGAAGACGGTGAGGAAGAGCTTGTACACGCTGCGGTAGTTGTCGGCAACGTCGGTCGTCTTGCCGTACCGCAGGGCGCGGTTCAGGAGGTCGAGCAAGCCGAGCATCGGGTCGCGTTCCGTAGCCGAGAGCGAGGCGTGAAGACGGATGATGGCCGGGTAGAGCGTCTTGGCCGGCAACTTCTTCGCTGCGGTCGAGAGGAGCGCAGCGCGTGACTTGGCGGCAGCGCTACCCTTGATCGTCGAGAGCGCCATGACATCCGTCGACAGCGCGGCGGAGAAGACCTTGTCGAGCTGGCCGCCGACGAATGACGGGACGGAGCTGAACAAGCCCTCCAGAGTATCGTACGCGCCAGTGACGAGCGAGACGGCGGCCGATGTGCCGGCTGCAGGCGAAAGAGTGTCAATGAAAGGCTGCCAGAGCAGGGATTGCAAGTGCACGCACCCTTTGCCTGGGCGTGAAGCAGGTCGAGAGCGAATGGCACAAGCTTGGCGACAAGGGGAATGAGGCGGGGTCCGAGGCGGTTGCTGCGACAGCGAGCATAAGTCAGTTGGCGGAAGTGGTGTTGACGGAAGAGCGCGAACGCACGTAAGCTTCCTGAGCACCTCGAGAGCTTTCGCCCTCGTCTGCTCGTTCTTCGACGCATCCTTCGCGACGTCGACAAGCGGCAAGACGATCTTGGCCAACGCAGCGTCCTCGTCGGCGAAAGTCGAGTCGGCGATGACATCGAGCGTGTCGAGCGCGTCCAAGACGACGTCCGATTCGCTTGCGAGGACGTCCTGGATCTGCTCGACGACGGTGATGATCGCGGGAGAGAGGTCGCCACGGCGAGTTGGCTTGACGTGCGGGAGACGAGTGCGGAGGAGGGCGAAGGCACGCGGCTGAATGGCCGGGTCTGCGAGCTCGAGGAGCCAGAGCAAGGCGTCGGCGAACGACTTGGTCGAAAGGAGGGCAACGGCGGCGTGGACGTTGTACTCGGCGGCTTCGGCAATCTTGTTCCGCTCAACGTCGCTGAACGAAGGTGACGTCGCAGAACCGATGTCGAGCAGGCCGCGGAGGAGCTCCGACAGCGAGGTGTCGACCGTCTCCGAGCCAGCGGTGCGAGCCGAGTCGACCTTGCTGAGCAACTGCTTGGCCTCGAGCGCAAAGCCGAGGAAGCTGAGGAGATTGATCGTCGTGTCCGTGGTCTTGCCGGTCGAGACTTGACCCTCGACGGGGCCTGCCTGCAAGAAGGATTCCTCGAGGTTGACGAGGCGAGCGATCTCTTCGACGACCTGCTTGTACGCGGCGAGCTGGACATCGACGGAAAAGTGCTCGACAAGAGTGAGCGGGAGCGAGGCCGCCTCGGCAGTCGCCTTGCCCGCCTTGTCGACAAGGAGCATCGAGATGGCTGACAAGAACTCCTTCGGGCCGAGGGTCTCGACAAGTCGGACGAAGAGGTTGATGCGGCGGTGGCGCGGGACGTGGTTGGCAGCGTCGGTGAAGGCGCGCAAGAGCTCCTTGAGCTCCGCGAGTAGTCCCTCGCGACCGCGCGCCGTCTTCTGCATCGCCTTGACGAGCGTTGGAACGATGTTGTCGAGTGTCTGATCGACGACGCGAAGACTGTAGGCATCGTCGCGCTGGAGGACGTTCGCGCCCATGAAGGTGAAGATCGGCATGACGTTGTGCACGAGTTGGTCAGGGACGAGCGGGCCGAGCTGGGCGAGCAAGAGGAGCGACTGGTGGTAGGTCTGCGGGTTGATCGACGACCGCATGAAGTCGATGACGGGGGCCATGCGGATCGAGTCGCTGGTGATGCCACTCGACGGCTCGACGTTCTCGACAATGCGTGCGAGGGCGCCGAGGATGAGCTGGCCAGGATACGAGATGTCGGTCTGGCCGGTGGCAGTTGGCAAGTCGACGAGGCTGGCGAGGAGGTCAAAGAGGCCGAGGACGAGACCGTGGGATGCCGGAACCAAGCCGAACTCGACCGACTCGAGGACGACGACGAGCTCAGGAATGCGCTCCGTGCGCGAGGTGGTCGACGCTGCGCCGGCAAGCGAGGTCCTGCCGCGCTTGGCGCCCTTTGCAGCGGGAGGCGAGATGGCCGTGCGGATCTCGTTGAGGACCGCCGTAATCGTCTCGCCGTCCACCTTGGACTTCCGAATGCAGGCGAGGATGTCGGAGTTGACGCGTGCTTCGGTCGTGACGGCGAGTTTGACGAGGCGCTTGAATAGATCGACGCGGGTCTCGCCGCGAACGGTCGGGAAGACGGACTTGGCGGTGAGACGGAGCGCTTCCTTACGGAAAGCGGCGCGGAGACCTGTAGGAAGTATTCGTCAGCACAGTGCGCAGTGGAAGTCAAAAATCGCGCAGACTCACCGGCAACATCCTCCGTCTCGATAGCCTGAACGAGAGTTCGAATAGCGCCGGTCTCTTCGCTCTCGAGCCACTTCCGCTGCGCGCCGTCGAACGGCTGCAACACCAACCTCGCATACTCCTGCACCAGCTCCGGCTCGTCCTTCGACTCAGCTTTGTCCGCAACCGCCTCACGAACGAGCGCCAGCAGCGCAGCGGACTTGTCCTTGTCCTTGACGCCCTCGAGCGCGGCGAGGATCCGGACGCGCGCGACGAGCGAGGCCTTCCATGCCTGCGCGTGCGAGACGAGGTACGTTGCGATGCGGAACGAGAGGGACGACTTGCGCTTCGTCGCTTTCGCGGGCGAGTCGTTCGGTCCGGGGGCGTCGAGGAGGGAAGAGTGCACGACGGCGAGGTGGGTAGGCGAAAGGGTGAGCTCGGTACGCGAGGCGAGGAGCTTGTCGAGGTAGGCGAGGAGGTCGCCCAAGTCGAGGTACTTGAGCGTCGAAGCGGTCGCCTTGGCGCCGTACATCTTGTCCCGCCCATACACGGTGCCGACCTTGGCGTCCTTCTTTCCAGCCGCAGCCGGAGCGAGCGTCGCGCGAACCTTGTCGAGCGCCTTGAGCGCCTCGGTGCGGATGCGCTTGTCCTCGTCTGCCAGAGCGACGACAAGTGATGGGACAACAACCTGCCAGTCGACAACCTTGCCCTTCGGCGAGGCGGTCGCAGCGGCGAGAACTTCGATGAAGACGGTCGCGTCGCGAAGGGCTGCGAGGCGGAGGTCGAGGGTGACGTGACGCGAGGTGCAGATGGAGGCGAGGAAGGCGAGCGCATCGTCCGTGACGAGCGATGCGAAAAGGGCCTCGAGGAGCGCCGTCGAGAGGGTCGTCGAGGCTGGCGAGCCGGTGTAAGCGTGCGCGAGGCGATAGACAGAGTGGCAGAGGTCGCGGTAGGACGCTTCAGGCGAGTCGGGTCTAGAGGGAGCGGCAAGCCAGCTCCAGCTTGCCTCGGCGAGAGGGTGGATCGCCTTGAGCGACCCGACGAGAAGCGCAGCCTTGACTTGCTGAGCAGTCTTGTCGGCTCCAGGGTGCGCGAAGACGGCCTGCTGGACGCTAGAAGCGACGACGCCCGAGTTGTCCGCCTGCAAGAGCGCATCAGTCTTGTTCGGCTGGGCGGCCACGAGCGCGTCGAGGCCCGTCTGCGAAACCTTGAGTGCGGAGATAAGGCGCTGGGCGAAACCGACGCGGCGAGACTTCTCGACCTTGCCCGCGAAGCGAAGGGCGACGAGGTGTGCGAGGAGCGTGGCGAATCCATCGGCACTCTCGACTTGCTTGACGAGGAAATCGATAGCCGCCTCGACTTGCTCCGATGTGCCAGCAGCCATGTTCTTCGCGACGACCTCGACGAGTTTGTCGTTCGTCTCGACGGTGACGGTCTCCGCCGCCGTCGGCAAGACGGCCCCGACGCCTTTGAGCCAGTGTTGCGACTTCTCGAGCTGAGAGCCTTGGATCGAGGCGTAGACTGCGAGGCGGAGCTTGATGTCCGCCTTGATGGCGAGGAGGCGGGGCCAGAAGACCTCCTTGACGAGCTTGTCGGCTAGGGCAGGGTGACGCTGAACGAATCGGCCAACGAGGTAAGGCAGGACAACGGCGAGGTACTCCTCCTTCTCGGCGGCAGCGATCGAAGTCCTGAGAAACTCGACGACCTCATCCGCATCAAGCGTCTCCTCCAGGACATCGAGCGCCTCATCCGCGAAGAGGACCTTGGCGACATCCACCTCCGGCTCCGCAAGACGCGCCACAAGCGTATCCTTGACGAACTGCCCGTTACCCTGCTCGCGGATCTCTTTGGCGTGCGCAAGGACATTCTTGAGCGCCGCGACGCGAACTGCAACGTCCGGTGCTGAAGCAGAAAGAACGAGTGCAGTTGAGTCGTCCGTGAGAGTCTCACCGCCGAGGACGGCGTTCATCGCTTGAAGCAAGCGAGGGAGGGCGGTCGAGTCGGATGAGGACTGGGCGCGCGTGGTAAACGTGCGGGACTGGGTGGTCCAGACGGTCGGGTAGCGCTGGTAGATTTGCGAGAGGGGCTTGAGGAGCGCGGTAGGCGAGGAGGCGGGGCTCGAGACGATGGCGGAGAAGCAGGAGGCGAGGAGGTTGGGGATGATCGAGGTGGGAAGGGTGAGTGGGACATCCGAGTCGGGCGAGGAGCGCGGGACGAGGAGCGACGAAAGGAGTGCGAGAGACTCTTCGGACGTCAAGCTGCGGAACCGAGAGTCAGAATGCGCGAGATCAAGGATGAACAAGGGAAGGCACGCACGCATCCTCTGCCAGCGTGTGCAAGAACGGCCTCAGGAACCTCTGCGCGTCGTACTGGTTGCTGAGCTGGACGACAAGCTGGTCGAGCCTCTCCGTCTTCAACAAGCTCTTCCACCCGCTGTTCCCAAGGAACTTCTTCCCCACGCCAACCGTCAAGTCCTCCTCGCCAAGTTGCGAGATCACGACGAGAGTCGTCACGAGCGCTGCGTCCGTCTCTTCGTCTGCGACGTGACTCCTCGCGCGGTTCGTCACGACACCCTTCAGAACGACCCGGAGCGTCTCGGCATCGAACGGGTTGTGAAGCGCAAAGCGCGAGACGAGGATGTACGAGGCGATGAGGGTGTCGGGATACGAGCGAGCTGATCGGAGGACCTCGAGGACGGTCGAGAGGACTGCTGCTCGCTCGCCATCTGGCAGGCGAGGTCCCGCGCGGTCGAGGTACGCCGCGACAGCCTGCAGCCAGAAGGCTGTGAGAGCGCGGTGAGGCGCTTCTTGGTTCTTGAGGTAGTCGAGAGGGAGGTGCAGGATGAAGTCGAGCATGGGGCGGGCGGTAGTCGAGCGCGAGAAGGGTGGGAGGAGTTCGACGATTGCGGGCAAGTCGATGGGCGCGAGGGTCTTCTTCGCAGGGATGAGGGCCGCAAAGGGAGTTGTCGCAAGGGATTGCTCGTTGAGGAGGTTGAGCGCAGAGGGGAAGTGGGCCGTGTTGTGGTAGGGGAGGAAGAGGGCGATCAAGCCGGGCACGTTGAAGTCCTGGACCCTGTGATACGCTCCGCATGTCAGCAAGAGTACCTTGAATCAGGCAAGATGCTCGTCTGCGCACCTGAACCTCCGGACGAGCCACTCGAGGACGATACCAGCCGGCTTGAGGAGCATGTGCCTGCCGAGCGCCCTCAACACCTTGTCGACCGTCTTTCCGACCTTGTCATTCTCCTCCTTCGTCAGCCCAGTCCTGTCGAGCGTCTTGCTCTGCTCGCCGAGGACCTCTTTGAAGTGCGCATTGAAGAACGGGTCGAGGGGAGCGAGTTGCTCCCACGCGTTCGCTGCAAGCGAGTGAAGGTCGGCGGTCGAGACCGATGCTGCGTGGCGCGGTGTGAAGATGAACGTCGGCGGGTGCTTGAGCGCCTTTGCCGACTGGAGGCGAGAGGCGTCGAGGGTCTGGCGAGCCTGGAGCTGCGCCGCGAGCGAGGTGCTCATCGCTGCGCGTGTCGGGTGATAGGCTGTCGACACTGTTCCCTGAGCGTGTCCCAGTGTACAGCAGCGCGCCAGCGAGTGGTGAGAGAGCAAGCGAGCGTCGTCGTCGTCGCCCGAGCGCACAACTTCTCCGCCGCGATGAGACTCTCGCTTCGTGTGTCCCCCTGTTCACGGCCTTGTCCGCTCTCTCTTCTACGACCAGATCCCATTCGTGGGAGTCTTACATATTCGCAGTCGCAATCGTAGGTAGATGCAACTGACGAGAGTGGAGACGGAGAACGGCAGGTCCGTCGGACGAGACTCGCTGTTACCCTTCCTGCAGCTCTGTCTCCGCTTCGTGCGCTTCCTTCGCAACGTTCGACATTCTTACAATGCCGTGAGCACCTCCTGGGCGCCTTGCGTCCACAACTGCCGACAGAAAGGCGTCCCATCCTCGTCCTCTTCCTCCAGGCCCACTATCGAAGCCGTCGGTCGTCTCGCAGCAAAAATGGCAGAGCGTGCATCCCTCCCACCTTTATTCCAAGGTCTTCTGACCTGCTTTTACTAGCCACTCTGCCGCAGGGCAACGGCAGCGCGGCGCCCTCCTACAGGCTCCTAGTTTACGTCCATTGTTTCTCTCATCCTCTCCATGTCGGGCTTGCTACGGAATGACTCGGTATACAGCTGTCCAAGAAGAACGAGACGGACACTAAACACCCCAATGCAAGAGCAAACACTTGTCGGGCACCGGACGACTCCGATTTACACGCTCACCAGGGACGGGACGCTGCATGCCAATCTGGTACGCGGTTGCTCACACATCTACAGCTATTGAAAGCCTGGGTTGACAGTCACTGCGCTTGGGCAGGCTTTCCGTCGGAGACGGAACTCATCCTCGCAACTGCGCTAGGCATCGAAGGTGTGGTCCTTCTTCGCGACGCCCTCCTGCTCCTTGCCCCGTGAACGATTCTGACGCACTCATTGACACTCATAGTATCTTCAGAAGGAGCGCAGCCTGTAACTAGTCCCGCCTGCTCATCCTCACACTTTTTCCCGCTCCTGTCCTCCCGCAAGCCCCCCTCGCTCTCTCTCACCTTTGCCCCCACTCTGGCACAACCCTTTTTGTGCACACACTCCATCGCAAGTACAGAGACCCTGTGTATCCAGTGAAGACTCGCGACGATCCGTTTTCTCGTTGCGACCTTCTTAACCCTGCTCTCCTCGTTGCGCTGTCACTTTGTCACTAGTCCAGCCCTTCTCTCCCGCTTACAAAGCTCCCCCCACGCTCTTGTCAGACTGTCAGCCTGCCCGGTCAGCTAGCGGCAGCTGTTCACACACGAAGCGCAATTCGAACGGCGACATACTCCCGCTTCGTTGCCTCCCTGGCTCGCCCCTGGCTTCGCTCGCACTTGGCTCGCACCCTACAGTACGTTCACATTGCGCCGCGTCGAGTGCACACACCGGACTTGGCTCGTTCATGGGACCCGATGCTGATCCGGCCGAGCAATTCGCCTGCACCGCCTCCTCTCACCTTGCTCTCCTCCCGCTCACTCACAAACCGCATCGCAGCGCACATGGGCAAACGCACGCTCACCACACACTCTGCTTGAGCCGCACTGACTCATCGTGCGGAACAGCAAACGACAGCGCACCTCCAGCGTACTCGGCTCCTCCCCACGCGAATGGCTCCTCTTCTCAGCCGAACCAGCAGGTTGCGCTCGTCGACTTTGCAGAGTACCACGTCTACAAGGATGGGAGGATGTGGGGGAAGGACGACATCATCACGGGGCCGGACAAGCAGGTCATGCTGTTTGTCCCTCGTTCCCTTTCCGCTTCGTCCTGTCCCGCAGGCTGACTCTAGTGTGCGCAGCTACTACCTTCACTTCCCCGTCAAATTCTTCAGCGCTCGGTGGGACTTGTCGCTCAGACGAGGCGGGCCGGACGGGCAAGAGGTGTGCAGGTTGGTCAAGGGGGGGTCGTTTAGCAGTTCGTTCGAGATCATCTGGCCGTGCGTACCTTCTCTCTACCTGCTGTCTCCTGCCATTTGCTCTGAAGCCCCAAACCGCCCAAAACTGACTCGCTTGTACAAGCAGAGCCGGCTTCTCAACCAAGTGTATCCGCCAAGGCACCTTTAACATGCGCTACGAGTTTGTCGATACCACTACGGGTGAATGGTACACCTGGAAGCAAGACAGTATGTGGATGAGCTACTACGACTGGTCGGTACGTTGCTCTCGTTCGTCTCTCTCCTCCTCCATATCTAGGCTGCGTGCTTTGGCTCGCTCGGGAGTTGAGGCTCACTACAGTGGGTGCGCAGCTATGGAAGAAATCAGAAGCCGACGCCAAGATCCCGAAGGAGCGGCGAACACTAGTCGCGCACTGGCGCACCCCGTCATTCTCATTCTCGAAAGACGGGACGCTGCAGATCAATCCGGTGCGCTACCCTGACTCTCCTGTCCGCTCAAGGAGATGTCCTGACTGATGACGATGCTGGTGGGATGCAGAACTATGCACATTTGACGGAACTAATCTTGGCCACGGCGCTCGGGGTCGAAGGCGCGCTTTCCATTCTCATCCTCCCTTGCCGGGTCTCCTGCTGACATGCTGGATGCTGGTGCTACAGAGCGCAGTCGCGAGAAGCGGGAGAACTCGTAGGCCCCGAGGGCTATGTACCACCACTTACTTTGCGTGATCTGTTTAGCTGTATCATGTTGTAGTTCTCTTCCCTTTCTGTCGTACGTTCCGTTCTGAGCCGTGTCGAGCTTGTAACGACTGCCCCCATTGCCTCATCGCAGACTGTGCAACATGCCCGCCTGCCCAGCTACTTTCCGTTCTTTCTGCACCGATCCTCTCAGACCACAAGTGTCGTTATCGGTGGACGAGTAAATCGAGATTTGCATTGCTGTACAGAACATGCAGGGACGTTATGCGAGACGGAATCGCAGCGAGATTTGGAGGCGAAGGCAGTTCTACTGCGCGAGGAGGACGGCCGAAGGAACGAGGTTGAGCGTTTTGAGGTCTTTGTCGAGGTCAGATCCGCCGTAGGTCTTCCTGTGTCGTTCGCCGGAAAGTTAGTGAAAGCTGAGAGAGCAGAGCGGGCAAGGAAGCCTCGGAAGCTCGCGAACGCACCTCGGGAAAGAGCACGTCAACGTCACGCTGTCCATCCCCGTCTGTCCCTTGACCCACTCGACCACCTCGCGCAACGAGCTCGTCGCCGGCAACGAATGCACGAGCGGCGCACCCTCGGGCACACGAATCTGCAACCTCGCGTTATCGTACGTCTTCTTCTCGCCGGATGCGGTCGGCGCGGGCGCTGCGGGTGCGGGTGCGGAGGAGCCGGAGGAGAGAGCGGAGACGGCGGCGTCCGGGTTGCGGCCTTCGCGAAGGGCCTTCTCGCGAGCGGTCTTCTCGGCACGGGCGCGCTTGTCCGCCTCAATTTGCTCCTTGATGCGCTTGCGGGCGGCGAGCTCATCGGCTTTCTCTGCAGAGTGGAAAGCGTCAGAGACTCGCTGAGGGCGTCCCACTCAAGTCCATCCGGCCTCGATGCGACGAACAGCGCGAACAGGACTCACCCTTCTTGCGCAACGCAGCCTGCTTCTCCGCCTCCCTAAGCTGCAAATCGGCCTTGGCCGCTGCCTCATCCTTGCCCGACTTGCGACGGATCTCCTCGTTCCTGCGCGCTTCTTCCGCATCGAGTTTCGCTTGGGCTTTGCGCTTCTCCTCCATGCGTGCACGGAGCTGTGCGTCACCAGAGCGCAGAAATTCGCAATTGCTTAGCATAGCGAGCCGCAAGCGGAGAATCGTGAGCCACAACGCACCTCAGCCAACTTCTGCGCCTTTTCCTCCTCCGTCAACGGCTTCAACTCCTCGGTCGACTCCTCGAACTCGGTATGCCCGCTCTTCGTCGAGTGGTACTGCGCGAGTGCCTGATTGCGGAAGAGCTCTGTACGGTGCAGGAGAAAGCGAATGAGCAGGGGGGGGGCGGGAGGAGGGTTGAGAGGGAGAGCACGTACTGCCGCATTCTGAGCACTTCAAGCTCTGCGAGACAACTCAGAGAATCGTCAGCAGGGCCTCTCCAGGCTCATCGGGGGAGACAAGACGCACCTTCGCCTCGAGATCGACCACTCCCTCCTCCTCGCCCTCGACCGGCTCAGCCCAGAACTCCTCTCCCTCGTCCGCATGCTTCTCCAAGTAGTCGAGTCTGCGCACACGTCCCGTAAGCCCAGCGAGCGAGGAGAGCGGAAGATGAGCGCACTTACGCGGGCGAGAGACCACTGTTCTTCGTCGCGCGGAGCGCTTTGGTGACCTGCGCTTCGGCAAAGCCCATGGAGAGGAGAGTCTCTTTGTCTGACATGGCGAGCGAGCGGCCAGCGGGTGAGCGAGTGAGCGTGAAGAGGGAGAGTGTTCCGAGGAGGAGTGACGGTGGGGGTGGTCGAGCAAGGACGCGAGAAGAGGCGCTTGCGGGATTTGCACGGCTCTCGTAGACTCGAGCAACGCAAAGGCAACCCCGGAAAGCCCTTGCACAGCAAACACTAGTACTACCGCAGGACGACTCTGGTCGACGGATAACATAGACAGCCCGCGAAGCCTCACAAAACGGACCTGGCAGCGCGGAGAAGGTCCTCGCCAAACGTCATCTGGATGAGGATGGCGAGGATGAGGATGAGGAGGGTGAAGAGGACGGTGTAGGTCGTCGAGTTGCCTCCTGAAGGGGCAAGGCGTCAGCTCTTGTGCGGAGAGCGAGCGAGTGAGAGGCGGGCCCACCTCGCTGGCCTGGACTGGGCACTTCGATGACCCTGACGCTGTTGTCCGCGCTCCCGCTGATCAAGATCGAGGCGGACGGATTGAACTTGAGCGAGGTGACGGGGAAATCATGGGCGTGCAAGACGGTGAGGATTGGCTACGGACATCGTCATGCGTCAGTACGGTGTCGAGTGAATGAAGCGGAGCCTGGACGGACTCGGAGAGTCACGGCGTCGAGTATCCCGACGCTCAAGTCGGACGAGCCGTACGCCAGCAAAGTGCCGTCCTCGCTGAGAGTCGCGGAGGCTCTTGGTCAGCGCCTCTGCATGCGAGCGCATGAGACGCAACATTTCAAGTCTCGGCAACGCACCTAACATCGAACGCCGTGACCGGTTTCTGGCTGACTGTCCTGGTCTTGAGCAACTTCCATGCCCTCGCGTCCCACAAGCTCACAAACGCCTTTTGCGATCCTGCGGGAGGCTTGCGGACGCGGGTGGCGGGGGAGGCGTTGACGACGGTGTACAGATTCGAGCCGGTTTGGGCGCGGCCGAATCTGCGAGGATGCGCGTCAGCAATGAGCTGACAGGCGTGGGAGGGAGGCGAGCGCACTTGGCTGCTCGGAAGGTGCACGCCAGCTCCTTCTTCAGGACTGGTCGCTCGATGACTTGCAGCGGTTCAGGCGTCGCCTCCTTGTCCGCAATCTTGGTCGACCAGACGCAGAGCTTGTTCGACGATGTTCCGACGAGCTGTAGAGCACGACTTTTCCAGTGAGCTCCAGGCAAGCAACGAAAGCGCGACTGGGGGGGGGGGGGGGGGGGG